TGCATTGCTTTTATTTTTTGTTGGATTTCATAAAGAGACAGAAAGCGTAGGAAAAAAAGAGTAATAATAAGTAATAGTAACAAAACATTATATTTTTACAAATATACATTAATTTTCATAAGTCATAGTTTAAAATTATTTTAATAATGTGCTATAAGAGTGTGATACAATGAGACTATTAAATATTTCCACCTAAAATTTTTTTAAAAAAGAATGGAAAAAAAAATTGTTCAGGAAAAAAAGAAATGAATGTGAAATAATGAGAGGGGAATAGATAAGATATTTGTGAAATTTATCTCTGCAATAATCAAACTCATTCCAATGATGAAAATAAAAATTCGTTTGTCTTTTTAAGAATCTTTCGTGAAGGGTAAAAGTTAGACATTTGAATGATTATAGAAACAGTAAATTGTAATTGTATCTAAAAATATAGGTTAAATCCGGAAAAAAAATAATTACTGGTACGAAATGAAAGTGAAATTTATGAATGAATGTAAAGAAAATGATAGTGAAAATTTTGAGAGAATAAAAAGAGAAAGAGAAGGATTAATAGGGAGAGAGAGGGAGAGAGGGAGAGACAAGGAAAGAGCTCTTTCCTTTTTGTTAGAATGAGGACGGATCCGATATGGCAGTGACACAATTACCTAAATTTTAAGGCCGGTTTTTATTAAATACATGTATATTACTAGAAAGATATATGCATGTATCCCATTATTTACACTTCTTTTTCTTGTTTAACAAAAACCCTCCTTCTCTTTTAACCCGAAAACCTGAAAACGAAACTCCGGTTAGTTGCGTAACATAGGAATGAATTGTGCAGAAAATGAATTCAAGCTGAACTGCCGTCAGGAATAAAACGAAATAAAAAAGTTCTGATATGATATATTTGTTTATTTCTTCACTCATTTATTTATTCATACAATTCATTGAAAATGACTAAATTCTCATTATATTTATCTTATTATTTATAGCAATCATTAAAATAATGATCGGAAAAAAAAAGAAAGAAATTGGTATTTGATAATTTGTTAGATTAGATTAGATAATTAAATTAAGCGAATCATACAATATCGAAATAAATGGTAATATTTCCTCTTTCTACAATTGATTTCATCAAAATCTTATAAAAAAAGACAAGAGTAATTAGTAAGGTCACATTTCTGACTTATAATTTAGGATATTTCTGTGGAAAGTAACAAAGCAAAAATAGGATCAAGCAAAATAAACTAAAGTATTTCGGGTTGCTTTTGTTAATAAATTATTGAAAGAGGCGAGTGATGATCTTCTAAATTTAATGAGTATGTATGGTTTGGTTCAAGCTGTAAACAATGAACAAGTGCTCCTCTTCATCTGCACCACTCTCGATCACGCCAATTACCTTAAACCTAAGGGTCAGTCTCAATCTATTGCAAACTTAAATCAGTAAACATATTCAATTTGTAGCTAACCAATCATCATCATCATCAACATCACTACATTCTTCTACTTCTTTTAGATCCATATGCTTATCTATAAAAATATGTTTAGCTGCAAATAATTCTAATTATTCCCATTATTATAGAATTAATATAAAGATTAATATAATTAATCATTAGATGCTATATTAATAATATGTAAGTAATTTCCTAATTGCAAAAATAAAATATGCAAATTGATCTTTTTTGGATAAGCAGATATTATCATAGGAAATAATATGACTATAAAGATAAGAAAGAAAAAAAGTTATTAAACAAGTTAGAAGGAAAATTAAGGTCAAGGATAGATTTCTCTTTCTATTGAAAATAGAAAGAGAAAAGAAAAAATAAAAAAGCTGACAATAAAAGAAATCAACTAAAAACCAAAAAGATATCCTGACTCCATTGATCTAATTTTGATCTGTTAGCATATTATTAATCCTTTTGTTTTTTAATGATCGATCATATCAGCTCATTAATATTCCATTTCATTCCCTTCTCTAATATCCTTATTTTGTGCAAGAAAGGAGAGAGAGAGAGAGAGAGAGAGAGAGAAGGACAGAGAGAAGAAAAACAAAATTTCTTACCATACATATTTCAGGATTACCAAAATAATATCAAATAAAAAAAAAACAAGAAATTTTCATGAATGACAATGAACGATAATGAATGGAATAAAATGAATTACACTAAACACATTCGGTTGTGTTTCTTTGAAAATTCAAATTTAAGCTAACGTTAGAATTTTTTTTTTCTCACGAAGTGGTCAAGTTACATTATTATTCACATATAATTTGATCAATCGATCAACTAATCATTGTTCGTAAAGTGATTAAATCCTTTTATGTTAAGATTCACTTCAAATTTGCAAAAATAAAGCCCAAAAATGGTACTAACGATCGATTTATAGTTTATTAAATTATAGTGATTGGTGGGAAAAAAATTAGTAATAATTTTAATTGATTGATTGAAGACAAAAATAACAATAATTGATTTAAATATTAGATTCTATCACAATGATATAGTTAAATAGATAAATGATAGTATGATAAATCAATTAATTTTGTATTTGTGATTTTTCATGTCTAAATTGTGTATTGTAAACGAAGTGTTCATTTTGCTTATAGCTGATAGGAGCTCCAAATTTTGATACATACTACTTTGTTTAAACATATGTGTGTCTGTATCTGAATGAACCGGTTTTTTTTTTTTTTTTTTTAAATGTCCCAGTAGTAGAAATTAAATAAGCCGAATTAGGGTCAACAATTTTAACATCCTTTCGTACATTTTTCCAATCACCATACCGGCTCTTTTGAAAGCGAAAACGGATGTGTAAATGTTTGTGTTACATATATTTTCGATGTTTGAATGTTCATTTACCGGTTCCTGTCACCGTTACAAGGAAAGCGATTTTGGGAAGACAAATTGAAGGTGCATTTATTCGTGTCAATAAAAACTATCCTTGCGGATCGTACGGATTTGCATCCTATTGCCAGAAGGTGGAAAAGAGGAAATCTTTGACCTTTCTTCATTTTCGCTCGAAAAATATCAATTTCAAAGCCATTGTCTAATTTATTTAAAAATAATTTTAAAATTATTAACAATAAAATTATAATACAATAAAGGTAATTAATCTATGGAGAAAAATTTTTGATAATAAAAGAATGTAGTGTTTATGAAATTTTTTTGTTTATTAACTTGAACCTTTCAATGCTTTTCAAAAATTATGCCAAAATATTAGCATAAAGTGCTTTTTTTGTGAATCACAAACAATGTATGCATAAAACTAAAACATTTAACAATGAAACTGCTGATGGATCCATAAATTTGAATTCAAGTTCAATTCAAATAATTTTCGATATAACATTATTATAATTTTTTATTCGAATTTTTCATTTAAAATGCTAAATTTTACCTTTAATAACATTTGTGAAATTCATTCATCAACGCATTTTTGTAGATTCGAACAAGAACTGATCTCTTGTCTTTATAACACTACAAGCCTATATCACTTGCTACTTTATTTTTCGTTTTAATTGTGCAAATTTGGAAGATACACTTGAAGGATGGAATGAGATGAAGGAACTGACAAACTAAGAAAAGTTGAAATTAGTAATTGGCAAATTACTAATGTCCTGAAACAATCTCAAAAAGGATAATTAGCCAAAAAAAAAAAGTTTGCGGTTTGTTTCCGTACATCACCCTTGTTTTGTTTTCGTTGACAAATGCAGACTTTCTTACGAAGAAACATATTTCAATATGAGAAATATATTGCTGATTTATTACGATTCTAGAGAATTCATACTTTTAATAGATGAAATAATTTTAATTATCATATTTTTGGAATTTGAATATTTTATAAGCTCAAATAGATTCGAATATTATAAAATTTTTTTAGAAAAAAAAGCAAATAATTACTTTGAGCATACTAAAGAATTGTGCTATTGAATCTTGTCAGGTATTTCTTTCAGGTACTTTTTTTCTTTCTTTCAGGTTTCTTGTATAAATTTTGAAATTGACAAATCTGCCATATATAAGCCTAAAAGTCAATCGCATGTAATCTTCTAACTTTTAACTCTAAAAGATTTGAAATTTCAGTTTCATACTATAAAAGAATCACTTACATGTGGTACTTAACAATTGATGCATGAGTTAAACATTTACTTAAAAAAAAAAAGGAAAAAGTTTATTGTTATCATCATTCCTTAATTGTGAACTTTTAATATAGATAAGTTTAAAATTCATTACAGTTAAGCAATGATTGAAATAAATTCATTTTTATTTAATATAGATAAGTTTTAAAAATTCAATACAGTTAAGCTCAAATGATTGAAATTTATTACCTAATCTTGCTATCTCCGTACTTATTAATTTTTTCAAACTGTCCCAATTTCCAGATTAAATGCTGAATCTGTTTTACAGTATTTTTCTTTTTTTGTTAGTTTATTACAGATGACACCATTTTATCATTATTATCGTTAAAAATATCAGTTCACAGAAATCACAGAAAAATTTTCTCCAATTAGCATTTCTCAAATAGTTAATATCTTTCACATTTATTCTTAAAGATATTTTGAACGAAAATTGTTTATTAGCCCACTTGAAATAATATAATATTATTTGTTTTTCAGGAAAAATACTCAAGTATGGATGACCGACCAAAATGAGGAATAAACATTTGTTCTTTTAGGTTCGTTGACATTGTCAGTTTTTGATAGTATATTACTGATAACACTTGATATTCGATAAAAATTTCAGTTTTTCGACAATATTTTGCATATTTCTTTTGATATTCTAATATTTGATAGAAATAAACTTATAAATATTTAGCAATTTTGCTAGTTTGCAAGAAAATAAAATAAAAAAAAAAAAAACAAAAACAAAAACTGAAATATCCGAAATAAAATATCAGATCAAAAATATGAATCTTACTACCAGTTATTCCCGTCTGACTACTCAAAAATTATTTATCAAGTTCTTTGCAAATGGTAAACATTTATAAAAAATTATAATTTTTTTTTTTTTTTTTGCTTGTGCTGGATGTTGTTATTGCATATCCGAAGAAGCAGAAATATGTTCTCTGGTGCTCTCATTTGCTTTCACTGAAACATTTCCGGATTCATTATGGTTCTTTTCTGCATTGCTATTGGCTACTTCGATTTTTTCCTCGTAATCAACAACCTGAAATTGTTTGGAAAAAATAGCAAATTCAACCTTTAATTTTTTTTGTTTGTTGAAAGAATTTGCAAATAGCTAAAGCATACCTAAAATCATACTTTCCTTTACTTATTACAAATCATTCACACTTATAATAATTGCTCATATATCATCTATCTTTTTTAAAATAGATTTTAAAAAAAATTTTTATTCTTTGCTACTTCAGCACAAGAATTAACTAGCATTGATTAGTTTTGTGAAAATTTCCAGAAAAATTTGTCATAATAAGTAGTTTTCTTTTCATTTCATTCATTATGATAGTTTTTCCATCTATTTTAAATTTTTAATTAGAATTTACCGTAAGAATATAATAGAAAAAACATAGGAATCCACTGAATACAAATAATATAGAAATAATGATAAGTATGCCAAATGTTTTTGGGTCCGGTAGTATTATGGTTAAGATATCCTAAAGAAAGCAAAGGTATAATATGTTGAAGATTTAGTAAAGAATGAACAAAGTATGCTAATTGTTCAGGATAGATTAAAAAAAAAGAACAAATTTTGCAAACATTTTTATGAATCAATTAAACATTGAAATAGAGAATCTCTATATTTACAAAACAAACAGAAAAACATATGGAAATGATATAATATTGAAGTAGTATCCAGTCAACTAAATTACAGCTATATTTCTATTTACATTTCTAATTAATTAGTGTTTTAGGAATTTGAGAAAATCTCTCGCCATGATTGTGCATGAATTCATATTTTTAATAGATGAAATAATTTTAATTATCATATTTTTGGAATTTGAATATTTTATAAGCTCAAATAGATTCGAATATTATAAAATTTTTTTAGAAAAAAAAGCAAAGAATTACTTTGAGCATACTAAAGAACTGTGCTATTGAATCTTGTACACCGAAAACGGTATTTCGTTCTCTTTCAGGTACTTTTTCTTGCATAATTTGTGAAATTGACAAATCTGCCATATATAAGCCTAAAAGTCAATCGCATGTAATCTTCTAACTTTTAACTCTAAAGGATTTGAAATTTCAGTTTCATACTATAAAAGAATCACTTACATGTGGTACTTAACAATTGATGCATGAGTTAAACATTATTTACTTAAAAAAAAAAAGGAAAAAGTTTATTGTTATCATCATTCCTTAATTGTGAACTTTTAATATAGATAAGTTTAAAATTCATTACAGTTAAGCTCAATGATTGAAATAAATTCATTTTCATTTTAACATATTACCTAATCTTGCTACCGCTATACCTATTAGCAGTGTGAAAGCGCTAATAATAGAATGTCCATCTGATGTCCAGGTTGACCAATCAATATCATTTGGGCCAGTTTCATTTTCATTCTTATCGCGAACAAATGCAAAACTATCTTTTAATTGTTGCCACCAAATCTACAACAATTACTAACAACTTAAATTTTTTTTTATTTTTTTTTCCAAAACTAAATAGACACAAAAAAAGTTGTCATTTAAATCCATCTAAAAATAAATTATGAGAATTAATAGAATAGTTGAAAAATGTGAGTATTCATAGATTGTTTCACTTAATTTTTGAATTTAAATTACTGTGGATCATTTATCGATTGAGCAAACATACAGCAAAAGTAATTTCTCTAAAATATGTTATTGGATCAAATGGTGAACCAGGTAACCAAATAGAAATAATGCAAATATACAAAGCCAAATGCTGAGCCTTGAAGAAAAAAAAAAATTATATCGGTAAAATGAAATGCAAGTGCAAAAGTTTTCCCTTTTCATGCTTTAATATCTTAATTAAATTTTGAAATAATTCAAACTTGATGCCTCATTTTCACTTTTCTATCTTATAATATGGCTAATAATTTGATATTGGTACAGACAGTTAATATTTATTGACCAGCAAAAAAATTAAGCACAGCAATTTAATTGCTTTACCTACTAATAGCTGTCAAAAATTTCGTAAACCAATCATAACTGAATAAAATTCTCAAAAATTTCCCACAATTATCATTATAATAAAATCGGATTAAAATTCCATCTAAAAAATACAGTTAAGCCAATAAATCCGGATTTCCTTGCCGAAGAATGAGTTTCGATAAGAGAATATAAATATGCACCCATAATACCAAAAGCAGCACCAATACTTCTCAGAATGCCTAACCATAATGCTGATAGGCCTTGTGATTTTGCATAACCAATGGCTATCTGAAACAAACAAAAAAAAAATGACAAGAATTTGAAATATAAAATGCATCGACACTGCTATTTTTATTTTATAATTTTAATCATTCTATTTTTATATATTATTGCTATTATTTTATTTTATAATTTTAAATAATTTCAAAAATTCCAAAGCATGTCAACAAATAAAAACAGAATTGATTTTAATTTCTTTTTTTTTTTTTGATTTTTTTTTAAATTTCTAGAAAGAAAAAGAGTACGCCATCAAATCCAAGCACAGTCATGTACAGTAAAGTTAGACCAAATGCTGCTGGGAAAACATTTTGTTGATAATAAATGTAAAATAATGTAAGCCATCTGCCAATTGTACGCTGTATAAAACCTGGACATTTCTTGCAACATTCAGTTTTTCTTTGTTCATCTAAAAGATTTAAAAATTTCAAATTATTTAAAAATAATAATTAAACTTTAAACAGATGTTATTTGTATTATTCAACAAAAAAAGGTTACTTAATTAACTTAATTTAATTAAGTAGCAATTTTTTCATTAGTTAAATATAACTGTGAGAAGGGAAAAATTGAAAAAAGTAAAAAATTGGAAATTCAGAAGTTAATTTAAAACTGAATAAAAACTGAAAATTGAAAAGAATTGAACAAAAAAAAATTAAAAAATTTGGAACTCTTTATTTTTACAATTTTATTTGCAAATAATTTTTTTTTTCTGCTGCACTGCAAAAGAGAAAAATGAATAATTTTGCTAAGAAAAAATCGCTTGTACAAATTGATTAAATTAATTTTTATTTTTAATTATTACTCACTTATTTTTACAATTCTTTCACTTATATTCCACAAAAATCTCTCTCACTCACTCTCTCTCTCTCTCCCTCTGTCATCTATCTTAATCCAGTTATTCTTAGTATTTCGCTATATTTTTATCCAAATAGAAACTAATAATTATTTACGTTGAATTCATCAAGGAGCACTGAACTAGTTTTTTAATAGCTGCAATTCTTTGTAATTATAAATATTAGCTGTGAATAACTTTCATTTTTGAAAGTGCTACTATGAACAGTATTGCTTATAATCGTGATGTTCAAGTCTCTTGATGCAATGGTAGCACGTCTGACTTCACGTCTGACTCACGTTCAGGTTGATTAGTGCGCTGTTTTTGCAGATCTTCCAGTATTTAAGTCAATGTCGAAGTTCACAAAGTCTGTCCCTTCTACTGATTACTAAGGTACTTAAATCACGTCCCACTTAGTGTACCTCTTTTGCGGATTGCTAATGTCTTCGAGTCATTGCTACGGCTTAAAAAGTTTATTTTCAAATTTAATTTCAATTCTTTAAAATTCATGTTAGTACACAGTTTTGCCTTTTTTGTTTTTTCAAATCAAAATTTACTTCCATTGATAATCATTAATAATGAATTTACCAAGACAGGGTGATAAATCTCTTTTGGCAAGTTCGGCTACTGCATTGTAAACTCTGATGATAATATATGCTTCTATAAATACTGATAACAAATTCCATACTACGAATATCATACATGCAAAGCGGTAACCAATCGAATTGATAATATAACCAGATATAAAGGGTGACACTACTGATGATGACAGATCAATCGTTTTCATCCATGCATTTGCAGCTAAAACAAAAAAATAATAACAAACAATTTCTAATTAAATAAAATAATAAAAGCTGTTGTAAATGTTATTATTTAATTGTTTGTTTACCTTTTTTCTGTTTCTTTTTTTTCTTTTAAATTTTTATTTATTTATTAAATCTGTCAAATTTTTTCATTCAAATTTAAGTAAATTTTTTAAGATTGAATTAATAATTGATAATGCTTGAGCAAAATAAAATTGTACCAGACAATGATGTTTCATCTTTTTTAGTTATAACAACAATCCAATCTTTGGTAAATGCCATTTTTTCCATTTCACTTGCTAAACAACTGAGCGAACAGGTAATTATCGATAAAACAATGCAAATGACATAGAGAATATGCCATAATAAAGAATGTGACTAAAAATTTTCTCTTTTAGAATTAAAAATTTGCCTAAATTTTCATATAACGTGACAATAAACAAATTTATGTTAAATACATCAATTAAGAAAATATGAAATATTTCAGAGAATGGAAGGAAGGAATAGCATTTACATGATTAGAATATTATTATGAATAAGTTATCACTAATTCTACGGCAGTTGTGATAATAACACGGATAGCAACGAAGGTAATCATGACAACAATTAATGACAATAAATAATCACATACATCATAATTAGTGCTTATTTCACTAATTGTAATACATGATGCAAGCAATGCTGCTGATATTGCTACATTAGTATTATTTACAATCAACACTGTTATTATACCTGAAAATCGATCCATTACACACTGATGATAACATTACTTGAAGCCAATAATGACAACGCTTAATTAGTTAATAAGTTGTAAGATAAAAGTAATTGCTGAATAAGAGTAATCTGAGTTAGATTTTTTTAAATAAAAATCTTATCGATTGCTTCACAAAATGTCGATAAGAAAATGGAAAAAACTGAAAGTTAAAAATTTTAATTTAATTTACCGCGTTTTCTAGTATGATGATCCATCCAACTTCCAATTACTGAACCAAATGCCATAATGATTATTTCTTCGAATAACTGGCTGAAACATACCAATCGAATACCGCCAATGTATTCTAATATTAATATAAGCGCAAAAGTCCACAATCGATCACCCTATGATAAATACTGATCAGATCCTGCATTTATTTATTTTTGTTTTCAAATTTTCATTTCAAATTTATTGTTGATTGGTATTTGCTACATGCAAATCTTTACAAGATTGAATATCACAACTTCTTCGTATTAAATCTTTCGAACAGTTCAATAAAATTCCGTTAAAATAAGCATTTTTTTTTTTCCAAATACAAATTTGGAACTAACAATGCAAGAGATTGCATAAGCTGAATATAATCCAGTTAAGCTTGTTGATGGTAACTTATGGCTCCTGCAAACACAATACTGTAACAAAAATATTATTTCATTTAAGATAAAAGACCTAAAATTATAGTTTAAATTCAAACTGAAAAGTGAAAAAACAAGCAATTAATCTCATCACTTTTTTAAAATTTCTTGCATAATAGGATGTAAGAATTATTGTGCAGGTAATTAATATGACCTAATGTATAACTTTTGTTAATTTTAGGAGTAATTTTTTTTAAAGCCACTAATTGTTTTTAAGCCAGTAATATTTTTATTTGAATTTTTTGCTCGAATTGAGAAAAAGGAAAGACACATTTTCTATTAGGTCATAATAAGAACTGTAAATTTTATAATTAAATTTTTAGGAAGAATCGATTATTTATTAATTAAAGATAACTCAAAAAATCTGGAGTATATTTTATTGTTGAGAGGATGGATGTTAAGACTTAGAAGAATGGCAAAGAATACTTTACCATTTAATGTATTTCTCCAAAAAACGATTTGAACTGTTAAAATATGCCGGAACCGAAATTTCTTCATTTCGAACCCACCATTGTCAAGTTCTAATAAAATTTGACACATTCACCTTTGCTCATTATGAGACTGCATGAGATCCACAGTTCAAAGCAACCTTTCTTCGATTATTATATTAAAAGAATAAATTACAATTGCTGAACTGTTAGCTTTATATCAGAATAATACAGTGATTGTAAGACAATTTATGCCTGTAAATTATTTTCTACCAAATGATGAAAAATATCGCAGAGAGTGAATTTGAAGTTTCGGTCAAATCAATTCTTCAATTTTTTCGCTCTGTAATGCTTGATCTTGATAAACTAAATTTTTTCTTTTTTTTTTTTTTTTTATTTTTACGAAAAAATTAATCTAGACCAAGACATCTAAAATGAAAAATGAAAAACAAAAGAATACCTGAATATACACTTTCTATATCGTACTACAATAATAATTCTCTATTTTTTGATATCTTCTGTAATGAAAAATCTGTAATCATAAATCTCGATAACCTCGATTTATACTTAACAAATGATTTTTGAGATATTTAGAGACAAGCTCAAGAGAAATCATTTATGACAGAGCATCTTCTAACAAACAGAAATCTGGATAAACATGCATAACGTGCTTCTGCTTGACAGTTTTATAATGACCGTTTCTTTTTAACTCAACCACAGAACTATTTCGCTTCTCAAACTATTACTGTTTATTTACTTTTCGTATGAAACCTTAAAATGATTCTCGCACACGAACTTTTATTTCTGCTGCGTTCTCGCATATAAACTTTTTTATAGCGTCCCCGCATCTGCATATTACCTTCCAAGAAACAAATTTGAAACAGATCTGCAAGAATTCGAACACAATATCGATCGTAATTTCTTGAGCGGAAAAGTTTTTTTTTTTCAAAAATTTTCAATAAACCTCTAAACTAGTCACGAATACTCCGAGTTTTTTTTCCGGACTCTATACTGAGTAAAATCCTCCATTACCTTAAAATTAATTTTAAAATATTTACTATGGTTTGAAATATTTGAGAAAAAGGTGTAAAAGAACATGGAAATAATCAACAATTATGCTGTGATGGGTCACTGCCTGATACTGAGAACCGAAAATCAAAAATCATTCTTAAGCAGCACTTTTTTTTATGCAAAAAAAAAAAAAAAAATACTTTTACAGGACTTTTGATTCTCACAGTGCCACAATAATTAATGACAACATACGCTAACATAAAATGACTGAAAAATCTTCAAATGCTTTATTATCTCTTCACAGACTTTGAATTAGTTGTTTTTACATCTAAATTATTCCGGGATAGCAAAAAATTCCTTTTATTCCTTTATTTCTTTCGTGTTTGATTTTTTTTCATCTTTTATTTTTTCAAATTTATTTTTTCTTTTTTTTATTTTTGTTTTATGGTTTTTTTTTTTTTTGATTTTCTTAATTTTTCCTCATTTTTTTTTTTTTATTTTTATTTTTGAGTTATGCTAACCACTTGGACGTAAATCATTGAGCAGGGGGATGGAGGGCTGAGACAGGCACTAGCAGATTGGCCAAGTGAGAAGAGCCGAGTAATATCAGTGGCCTGAAAAAAAATTCACTGGTCAGAACAAATGTGAAACCTAACTTTCCGGATGTTTTTTTTTTCTTTTTTTGTAACCATTCGAATTTTATTATCTTTTACTTTTAAATACTGCTTCTTAAATGTTAATAATTTCTCACCTGGAATGGTAAGTATCCTCTTCTTTCCCCACCCGTCTTTCGTTGACATGGCCGCACATCTTCAGCTGTTGTTCTTTATGCGGCAGTGAATCCGGATGGTAGCAGGAGATTCATAATTGATTAGTCTGCTAACTTCTAGATGAATCAAAAAAAATCGTTTTGAAAAACTAACTGGAAATTCTGATTAGAAATACTTACCGTCCTGTTTGTGTGTCCTTGAGACGTGAATAAGCAATCTTTCAATGTCCCAGCCTGTCGCAGATACCACACACTGAAAATAGAAATGATTAGAAAATAATGTCACACAAACTGTTTCTAAAACATCCATATGGGAATTTTGTGACCATTTTGACGTATTTGAACGAAAAACTTTTCATAAATATGATTTTATCATTATATTCTTTTGAAACATTATAGACATAAAACCACTTCTAACGTTATTAAAATTATGAATTACTGATGTTGTTATTCCCTTTGCCCACCGTGTATGGTTCCGTTTGCGGCACTAGCAACTTCCGTCGGAGCTGCGGAAAGTCCCCTAAATCAGCGGAGTGAAATTCTCCCGGTGATGCCGCAACCAACGATTCATGCGAAAACCGGAATTTTAATCGTCCTCGTTATTCTGAAATAGTTTAGCTTGAATTATTTAGCAGCTAAAGTTAATATTGCTCTAGTTATTACTTTATTTACTACATAGTTACTATACTTATTTGAGAAATCAGAGTTTACATGACGAGTCGCAAGTCGATTTAACCGGTTCCGCAACGATACTTGTCTCCATCGATGCTGCTGGCTTTTACTCTCATCATCTGGCAGAGGATTCCACTGTGCTCCTGACAGTTAGTTCTCGGCGTCATCGTCACTTTCAGGCAGAGCGGCGCACTCTGCCTCTTCTTTGTTAAATGTCAACTCCTGAAGTACGGGCTTCTTTTCATTTCGTCCTTCGTCCTCCAAGCAGTTAAGAGTAAGTTTTCAATCTGAAAAGACTGTGTTTTACAGTCTTATTTTATCTTAATCCTTATTCATGACAAAAGGAAAAGAGAATTACCTTCTTTTCGCGCACATATTCCTACTATGTATTATAGTTCCCTTTCTAAATGCTTCTAAATGCAACATCGGAAATATCCGGATGTGCTGGATTTTGTTCGCCGGATCTGCTCATTCTATAAAATAGCAAGTTAACCAAGTATTAACCAGATACAAATTGATGATAAAAATTAATTCCCCTTAAGTCCCATTTTTTTTGTAATAAAATTGATCAAAATGGCTCACCAAACATCAAATACCCTACGATTTTTCTTAAGCTCATTTCTAATTTAAGAAAAAAAAGTATGCAAGAATCATTTATGTAAACATTTCCTGCTTAAGTAATGTTCTTTCAGGCTCTGAGAAATATGCAAATATCTTATTGAATGTACACAAAACCTTTTGTTCTTCTCAGGGAGTATCATTTAATCACTTTTCCGATCTCTAATACATCCCAATTTGATATCATCATACCATGCTCGTTGCCACTGCTTTTTTATGCAGTGACCGAAGCGAAGCAATTGCTTTCTCTCGCTTTTTTCTTTTCTTTTAATGCAAATTTTTGCTAAATTCCTTAACTGAATAATTGAGTAATGGATAGCCAAATAAACAATAATTGCAATTTATTACTTTCAGTATACCATTATTGGGTAATTTTATATGATTCTTCCAGCAATTCATTTTTCCTTATTTTAATCTCTACATTTTATCATCGTTAGTTAATTATATATTTATACCATTATGGAAGCAATTAGGTAGTCCAACATCGCAATGGAATTATTGCTTACTACGTTGAAATCATGTCCATATTTCTTATGTATTTTTTTACTAAGTTATGGTTGTATTAAGAATCATTCAGTTTTTCATTCCCTTTTTGTTTCCATTACATGCCTAAATAGCATTTGATTATTTCCACATGAATCGTTTGTTTTGAGGTATGATGTTGGATAAAAAATTATTGATCAAGCTATTTAGCTATTATTAATTTTAATTGCTATGAACAGAATTAATAATTTCTAGTTGTTGTGATACCAATTCATTTGAATAACAATTTATAATAATTATGCATTACTACTTCTCATCCTTTGTTAATAATATATTAATTTTGTCTAATTTTTCTGTTTTGACTAAAGTTTGAAATTTTGGGGTTAAAATGTTAATGGTGGGTGATAACAGTTATTCAAATATCGTGAAAATTGCCCATATCATATACGTTATGGACTATGGAGAGTATTCCCTGTTCTCATGGGACTTTCTTCCATTTCACCAAATTAAATAACTTCCGGTATTTCTCGAAGCTAATAGATTACCTGTGGTAAAACAAATATTGAAATGTTTCTCCGCATGTCTTTCTCATTGAAATGTTCTTTTTTTGAGATACTAGAAGATGCAAATCAATAACTCGAATTTATAAGGCTCCTTCCTCCTTGAAATATTAATCTAAGTTGATATGATTTTCAATATACCACATTTAGTGTACCCACTAATCGAAAAATTCGGCAATAACTATATTTTGTCTCGCAATCTTCCCACTGTGATTGACACTTCCTGAAATTGATCTTTCGATTATATTTTGGAGAATTTCAGACAGCCTCATCCTTTTGTAGTTGTTTTTAACTTCCGACAATCTTGACAGCGAATTTTTGAATTTTGAACAACATGTAGGACTACAATTAGGCTTCTGTTGTACTTGCTAATGTACACTCTAATTACAGTAGGTATCTGTAATTTAAAAATTTTTTTAAAGTGGCTTTGTAAATTTCTGGCTGCTGACGTAACTGCTGAAATTATAGCAAAGATATTTGTGTGATTGAAGAAAATATGAATGCTTTATTTAAGAAAAATCTTCTAGAATAACAGCATTTGTGCGTCAACTTAAACGTTTCCAGTATTTTCCGATGCTCAGATCTCAAGAAAGATCTGAGCTTTTAACGACATACGTATAAAATCAATGCAATACGTATAAAATCAATGCAAACGTAAACGAATCACAAACGAATTTTTCAAGTTGAACTGAAAAAAAAATTAATTTTCTGATTTCATCATTACTTATGTTTATTATTCCATGTTCATAATAACAATACAAGTTAACCAATCAATAGGTAGCATCATGTTTTCGTCAGTATTTCTCTGGCATTATTACGAACAATAGTTTCCATTCCTTCAACTTCAGCACACCAGGCTCCAATACGATCACTCATTGCCAGGATCTAATTTTGGAAAATGTAAAACAAGTTTACGTATTAGGTTTGATGAGCAACCAACAGTTTCAGTGATAACCTTATTTCAGATTTCATTATATAAATCATTAATAATTAGAGCTCAAGAGATTTTACAAGTTGCATAACTTTAGGAAGCAGAAAACAAATGTCTAGCTTCAACTTCGAAATACAGAAGAAAGTGGAGGAAAAGAAAAAAAAATAAAAGTACCTGTTGCGGAGAAAGTACTCTTGGCTGTACCCATGTAATATTAACTAGTTCCTCCACTTGATCAATTGAACCTTGCACTAGTCCTTTACTTAGTGCTCTCATTACAAGAGCTTCAACTCTATTAAGATCAATCTGGGCTTTTTCAGCAATTTCTTTAAATGAGATGTATCGTTCTTTTGATGGACGAGCCAAAGCAATCTATAAATTTCGTGAATGAAGTTTCGAAGTCTAAAATTGAAATAAGTTTATACAAAAATTCTGTGGCTAAATTCCCAACTATATCAGTGGTGAGTTAAAAAATATTGAGCAAACGAATTACCTCCATCAAACTCAATAAGCGAATTTTATCTTCCAGAAGGTCCTGATGATCCTTCAAATCATCCCATTCGGCCCATTGTGGACGATATTCATTAAATTTATTAAGATCGCCTGCATTGAAAGCGTATAATACATCAATGATCCATTTTTCACGAGTTCCTTCTAGCGATTTCAGGATCGGATGTGCCAGCTATAATTAAACAAAACCAAAATTTATTCCATCATGTATCAATAAGGCTTCCAGTATTTGCAGAATGAAATCTGAGAGATATTCATTGCAATACAAAATTTAGCATAAAAGAGAAGGATGAGCTGAATTGAGAACAAGGCATGATATTTAAAAATATAATATAATTGTAAACAAAAAAAAACGAAAATTCATTGGAAAAAGGAACTTTACCAATTCGCCAAAATTGTAAACATTATCACCCAGCAGGGCAGCAAATCCTAGTAATACTGCTTGCAATTGCTTCTCAGACTGCGGTAACTTTGCTTGATCTTCACAACCCAAATAACGTAAGGCTTCACGATAATAGCCAGCGTAGTTACCAATTTCCTTTAGATAAATAGACGAAACCTAAAAAAATTTCATACTTTCTACAACGATTTCTAATCTCTAGAATTAAAAAATTGACGGTCATTCTGATTTCCAAAAAAAAAAAAAAAAAAAAAAAGGAGAAAGAAAACCTTATAAAAGGGTCCGTGTACTGGTGTAACTCCGGGCAATTCGTCTAGCAGTATCTGAGTTTCTTCAATCATTTTCTAGAAAATAAGGATTTTTCAATTTTTATAATGGAAAGATGATCAAATATAAGAATAACAAAGTACTTTTAAAATGTGTTTAACTTATACATTCATGCTTTGTAATAAAGTAAAAACAAGCTGAATAGAAGAGTAGCAGTTAGTACCCTCACGACTTGAATGTCGACGCAACGATCTTTGGAGTCTTTATGCATCAGACGTAACTCAATCTGTCCTGTTCGCACACGCACTACAGCTTGTTTTTCTTTCGAAATTGTCCTTTCAATTTTATTCAAAAACGCAAATGCAGCATCTCTATCTACAACAAATAAATTACAATAATATTAATATTTCAGAAAATGTATTAAAGAATATGTCTCGTTTCATTTTAGTTTCAAACCTTACATTTTCGCTATTGCCATTCCCTCTAGCTTATCATGCTTGCCAATATAAAAACTTTGTCGTAATTTATCATAGTGAAAATTTCTTAAAGTAAGGAGATATTATTCATTATTTAGTTACATCAATAAAATAAATGGCCAAATTCCGATGACTGCATTAAATTAAATTCAGTAAAGTTAATACTTCAAAAGTTAATTTCAACAAACTAATTTATTACAGACTGAACGAAGATGCCTTTTAATTCTTCAGATATTACTGATCTCTACTAATCAACATTTGAAAGGAAATGGCAAGGTTTCTTATTTTTTATGAATACTTCTTGTACTGGCAATAACATGTAGGGTAGTAAAGAAGGCAATACCGTAAAAACCAATCCACTACCACTAAACCATAATTATGCTCATGAATGATAAAATTCCTCACTTTTTACAAAAATTGATTTTGCTACCGGAATGACAATTTCAACAAGCTGTAACGGATTTATTCGATGCTCAAATTCATTGATGAAATTATCATAAAATTCTTTCAAATCAATTGTTTGGATAAATGCATCATTACTTATTACTTTCCGCAATTCCACAGTTAACTGATGCCAAAGCCTGGAAAGTCAATTTCGAATAACGTGGAAAGATGCTATGATGTTATGAAGATTTTGGCCTAATTTGGGCACAGTTCTCCGTGAACACCACAAAATAACGAGATTATCTGCTAAGTAAACTATAAAAAGTTTGTTCTAAAAGGGAAATATAATCACAAACATAAAAGAATAACAATAGAGATGGAGTTAAATAAAATGCTGGAAAAAATGGAAATCTTTCAATAATACCACTTCTTTCAAAGCTAAATTATTAGCTTACTCTACATAGAATTAATTTTCTAATAAAAATCTATCTCTGTTTGGTGAATAAATCTGAAATGCAACATTTCTTCTAGAAAAACCAGTACACAATTTACAATCTCTTAGTTACTTATTCGTTATGACGCAAAAGTTTACTTTCTGAAATAGAGTTGTTCGAGCTTTTGCCAAATATCAGCAATAACATCATGTGAAACACTTTTATTTTTCACCAAATATGCTTCAACTCTTTCCGACATTTTCCAGTAGTTCGATTTTGATTACTGTTTAGATTTGCAATAACCTGAAATAATGAGAATTCTAATATCTGAAAATTGTTTACATTAGCACAGCACTAAATGCAACTTTTCCATAGAATTAACATAATGAAAATGTTACAAAATTAAAGCTACAAAATTACTTTAAATGACAAAGTGACTGAACCACTCAAAATTAAGTATCTGGTACTAATTAACTTAATGAGTCACATGTATATGTATTGTGTGTGTAACTATGTGTGACATGAAGCAATACTGACAAAGATTATCCTAATTTCTAAGTAAAATTATTGACGCACAACAACATCTCGGACAAAGCCACCGAAAATAATGTTTGAATTGCATAAACCTGTGGCAACTTGAATGCAAACCCAACATGTGTGTATTGCCGCGGGAAATTTGAATGTTTTCTTAGTCGTCGTTGGGGAGGGGGGAGAGGGAGGGAAGTTCGAGGGAATGGTCGAAATAGCCATTTAAATTATTTAAACATTTTCAATTCAAAATATTAGGAGAATAACTGCTCACAATAAGCGTTAAAAATTAGGAGTCAATTTAAGAGACAAAAAAAAAGTGATCGAAATAAGAAGCACTCAGAATAGCGGTATATTTTCTAGTTTTGCTTGGATTTAAACTCTTACTATTTTATCATTCTTTATCATTTAAAATAATTATTATTGTCATCATTTCACTAGTATTTCACGCAATTATCATCAAAATTTGTTAAAATGCCATGATCAGTCTGATTGATATTTGTACGAAATGATTGCAGAAAAGAAATATGACCGATTAGCATCTTTATTACTCTTATTTTTTGTTTCAATTGCAATATTTATTTATACTTTATCTCAGTCTTTTTCTCTCTCACATCCTTCCATCTCTTATTCAAAAATTATGCAAAAATTCAGTTAGTTCTCCCGATGCAACTGGAGGATAATTCATCATCTTTGCGATCATCAGTACGAAGTTACCGGTCGTCAAGATTAAATGCTGTTAGTAGTGAGGTAAGAATTGCTATGTGAAGAGTAAACAATTCAAGAAAAATAAATTGTTACTGTTAATTATTATTACCACTATTATTGTTATTTATTATTACTATCAATCATCATCGTTATGATTTTGTTCGTCACTGTTATATTCATAGCAATAGTTACTAAATTAATATCAGTTACATTACTGCGAGATTCTGTCTAATTAATCATCATATATATATATTTATTTTCAGGCTAGCGATAAAAGACGTTCTGTTCGTGGTCGGCGTTCAAGCATGTCTGTAAAAGAAATTGTAGATGGTACTGAAGTTACTGTAAGTTCAGAATTGAATTGAAAGATAACATTTGTTATGATATTGATTATTCTCAATTCTTTTTGTTGCGCAAATTTTCTCCAAATCCATAGCGGAATTCTGGAGGAGGGGAGGGAGAGAGCAAGCGAAGTCATTAAACGGACAGACATGTATCTGTTTTGCTAACAATTTTCTATAAAATTCCATCATAATTAATTGAATACATTTTATTTTTTTTTATTCTAAAAAGGCTTGATTTGATTTTCTGGGAAGTAGTACATTGAAAAGATCTTAGCATTAACAAATGATGTATTTTGGAAGGCATTGTTACTTATAATCTTGAAGTTATCATCCTAAAAGGAATTATGAACATTTTTTAGAAAGATGTGATTATTGGAGACGACATGGCTAAAATAGATGAAGGACATTCTTCTCTTGTGTCTGCAAAAATAGCTGCTATAGAAGAAGAAGAAAACCATTTGATGAATTATATGGAAAAATTAAACAATGAAAAAGAACAATGGGATAAAATGCTTCAGAATTATGAGAAGAGTGCCGATATTGCAAAGAAGTTCGTAATCTCATAAAATCAGTTAATTGATTTAAATCGTTATATTTATATCAGTATTGATGAACTATTTTGATAATCGTGTTCTTTCAAATTAACATAGACATTTGAACAGAAAATAATGTAGAAGATAATAATTAGTAAATGTTGAGCTGGAATGTCTTCTAATTCCAAGATGGAAGAATTGTTTTTGATTATTCTAACTTGAGGTGTAATTTTTTTTTTTTTCTTGTGAAATCCTTTGAACAAGTACATTTACAGAGAGGTGGATAAACCGATTCTATTTAGTCCAAAGCGTATAGAAGAAGTACGCATTGAGTACATGGGTATCAGAGACGCTCCATCATCCATCGAAATTGCTCTAGCAATGAAGCCATCGTTGCAAAAGAAAGCTGAATCACAGGTTTATCTTGAAGTGATTTGTGCTAGATATTAAAGAAAAAAGAATAGGAATTCCAAATTTGAAAAAAATCATCTTTGCTCTGGTAGTCCTAAATTTTACCAATTTTTTCAGGTATTACAAAACCAAAAGCTGAAAGCAGAGATAACGGTTGCTGAAGAACGACTTCATCGATTGCAAGAAATGATCAAAATACAAGAAAAATATTTGAATTACCAGAGCAAAGATGAGCTTTTAGCACAAAAAGCTGAATGTGATGCTGTTCTCTTGCAGATTGAAAACTGGGTGACAGAGCATGGATTTTCTGAACGTCTTGCTGCTATTTAAAGCTGTCAATTGATATCACAATCTTTTCATAGCTGCTTTTTTTGATATATTTCTTGCTTTTCTTATTTTTTTTGGAATTTCGTCATTCTCATACTAATATATGGTATGCGTGAGAGCTGCTTAAAGTTTTTTTGACAGTTATGTTCCTCTTCAATTAATATCTGCCAATGTAAATTTTATTTAAATCTAATCTATGTGTAGCTTTCGGATATGATTCAGAAGCATATAAATCGTAGTGGAGTAGCAAGTGGGATGATAACTTGTCGATAACTAAGATTAATATATCAGCTATAAAAGAAAGAAGTAACAGGAAAAATGTATATTGAAAGAAAAATGATGAAAATTTGTGACATCATAATTTTTTAAATTGTTTGATTATTTGAATAATTGCTAGTTATATCTTGCAGAATAGAAATTGGGCCACAATTGAATGAACGTTTCAAATTATTTCACTGATTGATATTTTAAAATTCTTGAAGATTTCTTTTCATTTAATTAGAGTATTGATTCAAAAAGGGAAAAAAAAGTATTGCTAAGTTATGTACAACGTTTTTGTTTGGTATATATACATGACATCCTCACATTCTCTTCAACTTTCAATCTGTACCCAATGATTCTGTTCTGATGAATGTGATATGTGTTTGGGCTTTTATGATGTCAAACAAAATTAAACATTCTTTTTTTTTTTTTTCAAGAAGCCAAAATATTATTTAAAGAATCTATGAATATTGAAAAGGTGCCATAAAATAAAGTCTTTCATCAATTAACAGATTTATGAGTATCAGACATTTCTTATCTCATAAAGAGTTTTTAATTCTTTTGAATAAAATATGAAAATTATTGTATTAAAAAGCCGAATATATGATAACATTATGTGTATGTGAAAAATTAAATTTCAGAAATATAATCTATTTTCTACTTTATTCAAGTCTTCAATTGAATTATTCAATTAGGATTTCTAATAGTATTCAAAACAAGAAAAAAAAAGGATTCAGGATGTATATCCGAGAAGAATATGAGAAAAATAATCAATATATGGTATCCATTTTGTTTCCTTCAATATTTCAATATAAAACTTAAACAAAATCAATTGATATTTCTCTTTTAAAGTTGCAATCATTCAATTAAATAATTATCATGAATTATACGCTTCCATTTTTTCAACAATAATTGCAAAGCATGTATATTCAAATTATTAGAATCCGGATTTGAACTATATCCATTAATTAGCAAATATGGTACTTCCGATATACGATTCGGTGTAGCAGACATTGTACGATGAAATGCTTTTCGTTGCAATTGTATACCACGTTCCGAATCATAACATCGTCTACAAATTTTTTCTTTTTTGTTATGTTTTCAAAAAGAAAAAAATAATAATTAAAAATACACTAATTTTATTTTTTATTTGAAATTGATAAGTAAAAGATATTCAGTTTAATTAAATTTAAATTGCAATGAAAAAAAGAAATTTGAAAGAAAGCTTTTTCATGCTAACTAAATGATAATATTTTTTCTTTTTGCAATAATAATTTTTAGAATTCATTCTTCTCGGTTTTTTTTTTTTTATTTTTAGAAAAGTAAGGGAAAAAAAAAGAAAAGCAAACCTAATTCGTCGATAATGATTACGAATAAAACCAGAACAATATTGAAGTGCTGATTCAACATTTGTATCAATGAGTGATCGCTCAAAACAGATAATAAAAGCTAATGCATGCTTCATTTTTGCATATTCTAATACACAACTTTGTAATTTATTAGCATTACATTCAATTGGTCCATGATTACATCGTATTGTACCATCCTAAAACTTATTTGAATTTATTCATTAAATGAAAAATAGGGAATTAATAATTTTTGATAAAATTCTCTATCTCTTGCTGTTAATTAAAGTTCAAACGAAAAAAGAAACAAAAAGATTTATATTGCTTTTCTTTTTATTTTATTTTTTCAAGAAAAAAAATTGTTAATTTATTTATCCTTTGATTTATTTTGTAAATTTGCAATTTAAAAATTATCTTTAATTAAAGCTTGAAGCAAAAAAAATCAAATTTGTTTTATTAATTTTCAATTAGAAAACGTAAAAATTCATCTTTTTTTTGAAAAAAAAGTGATTTTTTAAATGAATTAAATGGTGTAATCATTTTATCATCTTATTATTACATATCAAATTTTTTAATATTTATCAGATAAAATTTTTTTTATATCGAAGAAAAAAATCATTCTGTAAAAAATTAAAAAATTTTTATTTTGTAAAAAAATGAGAAAAAACTATATAACTAAATAGAATTTATTATATGCAAATATATAATTTATAAAAAAAAAAAATAAATTTCCACATTTATTTAATAAAGAAATTATTTCATTTTTTCCCTCTTTATTTTTATTCGTATTTAATCATTAATGAGAAAAAATAATTAGTAATTTTTAATTAATTTTTAATAAAAACTAATATATATAAGAACAAATTTTTTAGTAGTGCTGTCATTGCTTAACAATGAAACATAAATAAATAATAAATAAGGTAAATAATGAAAGAAATTACTTATTTGAAAAATTATTGAACACAGAAATATTATTGTACATTTTATATTCAATTTTTAGCAATAATATATGTTAACAATGAAAAGCAGTTCAATAGTTTATTAAATGTAATGAAATTTTATCAATTTGACTGGTTGTTATCAATAATCAGTCATTAGCATATAATTTATTTTCCTTTATAACTATTCATTTTAAATATTATTTATTCAACAAATTTTACAACAATAATATTTTATTATTAATTTTGTTTCCTTTTTTTAAAACAATCTCTCAAAATTTTATTTATATTTTCTTGATATAAAAAATGACATTTTTTTTTCCTTTTAAATTTATCTAACAAATTTAGCATTTCTAATTTTTTATAATTTTTTTATTTTTTTATATTTTCATTTTTGTTTTTTGGTTTTCATTTTTTTTTAAATTCGTTAATATGTAAGCTGTAAATTTGGAAGGTAATGATAAAGTGTAAAATGATAATTTATTACTAAATTTGAAAATGTAAGATAAGAAAAAGATTACAAGGGAAGTGGTTGTGCTTAATTTTCCGAACAATGAAATGATTTATTTATGCTACAGCTGTTTCAATTCTTATGCTTTTAAAATTTTTTTGAAATTGTGATTACTTTTTTCTTTCAAATTATGAACTAGGAGCTATAATTTGTTTATGTTAATGTTATCATAATCACGCTAGGCATTTTCTCGTGCTTATCAATTACTGATAGAAAGTGCTACGAAGCTGATAAAGCCCCCGCGCTTCATTGTGTAAATATCAATTTATTATTAAAAATTTGATCAGTTTGAAAAATTCTGCTCAAAAATGCGCAAGATTGAAGATTCTTTTTTTTTTTTTTTTTTTTTGAAAAACTGTATTAAATGCAAATTAATAAATTAAATAAAATTTATTTTCAATAAAAGTTTAGGAAAAAAATTTCGGCGAGGAAATTATCCTTTAGAGAGTCAATAATTAATATATGAATTATGAATTAGAGAATGTTTGCTATTATTTACCTTTTTTTTATTCTTTTCATTTAATTAAGATAAAAAAAAAAACTGGAAATTTGGTTTTTTTTCTTTTCTGTTTTTGTTCTTTTTTGAATATGTGCGATTTTAATTAGCTTAAATTATAGAAAAAAGAAGAAAATAATTTCTGTCAAAAAAGAATGTATTATTTGTTGAAGATGCTAAAAGCTATAATAAATTACAAATTTCTGCTCTTTTTTTTCTTTCTCATTCAAATTATTTTTAGTTTGTTTTGTTTACCAATGCAAACATTAAAGACTGGTTTACCTTAAAATTAAAAGAAATGAAAAAAGAAAAAAGAAAATTGGAATGCAGTAATAATAAATTTAATTTTATGAGATACTTTGTTTTGTTGTCACTTTTTCCCAAAATTAATTAGTTTAAATGGATTTTATTAAATATTTTGAACAGATTGCTTCCTATTATTATTACTCAAATTTAATTTTACAGAATGCAAAAGGTATTTTGCTGGAAATATTTAAATCAATCAATTAATCAATAAATTAATTTATCAATCGGTCAAATAATACCAACAAATACTATTTATTCTATTGTGCTTTTAATTTTGCATATTTAAAAAATAATTCAATGAAGTTAAAATTTTTAATCATATTACTTGCATGCAGTTTGAATTAATATAAAATTATTAAAAATTAACTCTGCTTCCAAAAAAGAAAAAATACTTCAATAATGCATAACTTTATAAGTGATAACAAATATCAGAAAAATTATATAGATTTATTTTATTGCTACTGAAATATTCTTATCTATCAATAGATTAATCTAATAAAAGAAAAAAAGGTGAGCAATAAATGATAAAAATAATACTACAGATATTTTTAAGAAGAAAAATCGAAACCTTTCAAATTAATTAAAATATTACTTACCTGAAGTAATTTCGAATTTCCCCATGGTATCATTTCAAGTTCAATAAGTCCACGAAATTGATTGTAAATATTTCCCAGATGATTTACAATAAAACGTTGACAATATGGGCATAATGCTTCATAATATAAACTTAATTTTACTGGTAACTTTACCCGTCGAAATTGATCGCATTGTTGCTTAACATTACAACGTTTAGCTGATTCATGGCTATCACACCATAGATCGGGTGGTATATCACAACACTGTAACAACTTAATTATTAATTAGTAATAAATTAATTCCGTCTTTTTCCTCTTATTCAACAATTCATCGTTTATTTTTTGTTTTGAACTGCTTTTACATTTCTTACATTTTATTTGTTAAGATAAAATGATTTTTTTGCTGAGCGAAATATTTATCAAATTTCATCAAAAAAAAAAAAAAATATCCTTATCATATTAAAGTTAAAATTTGCTTTATTTTGTTTTTCTTTCTTTTTTTTTTTAAACTTGTTAAAGTAGCGATATAAATTTATAATATTATTTTGTTGAAGAAAGAACAAAATTAAATTTTTTGTAAAAAATTTCATTGCAATTAATAGAAAGCAAAATTTACTATTGATTGCTTGTTATTGATTAATGATGTAGTATTAAGTGATTAGTAAACAAATATTTTTTGTTTCTTGAACTTAAAAATATTTATTATGCTTTGCTGTTATGTCATATTTGATAGCACAGTAATTACAAACTTTCAATTGATCGTTTTAATTAAAGTATATAAGTTAAATACAACCTTGAAGCAGAGAATTCATGTTAACATGTAATCAATTCATAATTTTTTAAATTACATCATCCTCATCGCAATGTTTCGTGATTTAATTTAAATCATTTTCAGTTTGCATTCAAAAATCCTATATTTTAGATAAATTTCTTTAATTGTACTTGAAAATTTGATTTTAACTTCGTTCTAAAATTTTCATTTTTTCCTATTAATTTCGTTATTCAATGATAAATTATTTTCTAACACAACAATTCACTGTTCTAGGATATGCTAATTAACAACAAAAAGTATTAGCAAAAGAAATAACTAAACAATTAGAAATTATGGACTCAAAAATTATTTCATCATAAAAGCAAAATGATTAATAAAATTTATCAAAAAAACTATATCACCAAGAATTTTACTTTTATAAGGATACTTAAAATATATTAAAGACTTCAAATGACACTAATTAGCATTCTCAAAAATTTTAAGTGCTAATTGTTGGATTTCAAAAAAAACTAATGTTGATTAGATTAAATAAACAATTGCTGTAACAGTTTTATTTCTTCTCTTTTAAACAAATTAATTTAACCTTTTCATTTCTTCTTTATGTTTTAATTTTAGAAATTAAAAAAGAAAATTGTTCTTCATTTTTTTTTTAATTTTGGAAATTAAAAAAATAATTTCTCACATTTGCAAAAAATACTTTAGAATTAATTTATATTTTAAGATATTACTCATTTTTTGCTTTATTTCATTTCTGTTGTTCTCAACTGTTTTCAATTTTTGAAAAAAAAAAAAAAATTAATTCCCTTTTTAATTTCTCTTTAAAAAAAATGTGATAAACTTTTTTTTTCTTCTTGGAAAAAAAAGTTTATCACATTTTATTCTCTTTAAAAATAAAAATAGTTTAAAAGTTTGACCAATTTTCGAAAAATTTTCTTCTCAAACTGTTTGATTAAAATCATTTTCTATTTCTTTCTCGTTCTCTTTCTTCCTTTTTTTTTCTAAATCTGAATGGATATTAATTTTGCTTCACTGAAAAATTTAATGCTTTCATTCTTTTCTCTTAGCTTTACAAATAATAAATCATTTCGAATTATTTTCTATTTTAAATGATAATTTTGAGTTAAGGTATATTTTTTCATGCAAACTAACAATGAAAAAATTTGAAATTACTTCCGCTTCGTTCTTGAAATTATAATAGTTATAGTGAAAAACGAAATAAGAAATTATTTTTGTCCAGATAAGTCTTTTGAAAGTAACAAAAAAAAAAAAAAAAATCCAATAGAATTAAAAATTTTATTTTTGGAAATTTTTCATTTTAAAAAGATTTGATCAAAACCAGTGAAATATTGTGGATGAAAAAATGATTCGGAAGTTACTGTGAAATTGTGAAAAAAAGAAAAAATTAAGTAAATAAAATATGAAAAAGAAAAATGTTAATTTTTTTCTAATGTGAGAAACATTAAAATTTTTTTTTTTAAAAAAAAAAAAAAAGTAAAGTAATTAATTATACACGGAAATTGTAAGGAAGAAAATTAATCGTTGAGGCTTCAAAATTTCTTTGCTATATTATATATAACATTTCATTGTATTATCAATTTGATAGTTTACTGATTCAATATATTAAGTGCAAAAATATTTAATTCAACATTTGCTTTTCCATGAAAAACGATAAATTGAATTAAAAATGGAATAAATGGTGGTAATTAATACTTAATAGAAAAAGTAAGAGAAAAAGATGTAGGATTTCATTGTGTTATTAATATATTATTACATTATTATTCTCATTATTATTGTATATTGCATCTCATGTCATAATAATGATTATTATTAATGCTACTATTGTTGACATATTATAATAATATTTCGAATTTATGAAAATTTACAACTTCGAAATTGAGCTCCGTACTATATTTTCAACAACTAATTAACAGCTCTATCAAAATGATAAGAAACAAACCTTGATTATTTGTATGAATATAATAACTAGTGAAAATGATACTGATAAGCATTTATTCCAAGTAGTAACCATTAATAATATTCTTCACTTTACAGCAATTCACAAATAGAATTAAATTTGAAGTATTCACTAGTGGCACCTGTCGTTAATGTTAACAAATATGCAGATGAAATGATATTATGGCACAAAAGGAGCCGAAGTACCGGAAAGTAAATCGAAACCAAACAGATGTTAAACTGATTGTCTCTTCAATTTTTAAATAAACTGCAAAGTGAAAAGTTTGATAGTTGCTAGGGTGGAGCTAACATAAATTATAACCAATACAAATGAAATAATTTATTTAAGATGTAAATTGATGTTAAACTATTGATTTAGTGGTACCACAATTACTACTACTACTACCATTATTATTACTTTTTATTACTACTGCTATTATTAATATAAATATTGCTGTTATTATTACTATTACTGCTTGCAGTTCCAGGAATGAATGATTACTTTGCGAATAATAAAGACAGTTGCTCGTTTAGCACTGCTTTAGATGGAATTATTCTTACTTAATTATTTAACAATATCTGACAGTAATAGTTACTTACTTACTTACTTAATTATAACTAACTACTATCTAATACAATAACTGTAAATAAATGAATGAATGAATGCATCAACTAATGATGAATGATTAAATAGTATCAGGGATGAAACGAAATACGAATAATGATAAGTAGGATAATATCATAAATAAAACAATATAAAACAAGAAATTGATTTCTGTGAACAATAATTTTCTGATATGACATTTGAAAGAAGCAATTTAACTTAATTAGTTAATTGGCTAATATTACTGTAATTAGTGATTTTTTAAAAAAAAAAATGTAAAAATTTATTAATGTAGAAAAGCTTATTAAAGAAATTTTTAAGAGCATTTAGTTAGCAAATTGAAAAATAGTTTCTCATAAGATAACGCATCTTTGTTGTGTAAATAAATTAACACATTTGCATCATAGATTTCATTTTTTAAATGAAATTTGAAAAAATTTCGTTTGAGAATTGAATGAATTAAGCATTCAAAAATCTCAACTGCAATTTTTTTTCTCGAAGTAATTCAAAAAAATTTTTAAGTGAATTTTTTAGATTCTCCTTATTCAAATTTATTAGTTAAAGTTCAAATAATAAATCACAAATGTTATCTGAAAAAACAATTTAACATTTTCAATAATAACATTCAGATTAAAAAATTAAAGAAAAGGAATTCTATAAATTTTATTAGAAATAAAGACCCATTATTTGAATAAAACTAAATGAATGACTCACCCATCGGCGCCATTTGTATTAATCCTACTTTACTTTTTTTTATCTTAACCAAAAGCAAACATTTTTTTTCTTCTTACCTTAAAAGCTATACTACATTATCCACAGATATTCATTTTATGTCTCATATATATTTGTTAATAACTAAAAGAAAAAAAAAAAGTAAGAAAGCATCTTTTCATTCTGTAAGTCAAATGCATAATTATATAATTTCACTGCAAATATAAAAACGACTTAGTATTTTATGTAATTTTTCAATTTTTTCTTTCATTCTTATTTGTTTAATCATTTTAACTAATTGTATAAATTATTGATTCGCTATTTAAGAATACGAGAAAATACCTGAACAATGTAATTTCAAGGTTTTTCATGTATCGTAAATTCCTATCATGAATACATTTATCAATGGAATAGTAGATGTTTATTAATTTAAATGATTGACAAATGAATAAAAGTAATTTCATTGAATAGAAAAACTACTGAAAATTATACAATTCATAACGCTATAGATTGAATTAATTCCTATTCGTCATCCAATTTTAGATAACTAACACGAATGAAATATCATTTATTTCAAATCGTTTCAAAGTATGTTTCAATTGAAACACAGATAATTTAGAAACATAAAATCCTAACAGAATATAATTCAAATTCATTCAAAATATGAACTGCAGTTTTATATATGTATATCTGAAAAATTTATAAAAATTGATGAATTTAATGACATTTACAAAGAGGAAATTTGTTTAAAGCATACTTAATAAATGAGTTAGAATCATATAAAAGAATAAAAAGTTTCATTACAATACAATAAAATTTCATTTTTTTTTAAAAAAAAAAAGGAACCCGCAATTGATAAAGATTTTCTGCAACAAATAACTATTAGATGAGCAATGGCTGAAGTAAATTAAATATGGTACCATGCATCGAACGACCTAAGCCAACTAATAAATCTTTTTCTCGTCTCACAACTTTTAACATTTCCTCAACATCACGTACACTAACAATATCCATTCGAAAACGTAATTCAACTTCTGTTGCTCGATCGCACAGTTTTGTTATAGCATCATGAATCAAAGCACGGGTACCACTTCTGAAAACAAACAATTTATCTCCATGCAAATAAATTATAAAGAAAAAAACCATAGAAAAGATAAAATTAAAATAAAAAAAAATCCTTTGTAAATAAATGCAATTATTTTTTTTCAAATTGATGAATTATGAGATTCCTATAATACTAATTTTTTCATAAGCAAAAAAAAAAAATCACAGAATACCATTTCTATCGGAAAACTTTTTAAAAATATATTTCCCTACTTTGTTATTAAATTAGTGAGATGTATATTCAGATCTTCTAGAATACGTTGCGCTTCATCCAAAGTTTTCGACCCTGCTACCAATGCAAATTTTTTCGTCAACATAGCTTGCAACTAAAATTACCGTTTTAATCATATATCTGGATACTGTTTGTTTAAAAAATATAATTTCTCTATTACTTATGTTTTAAAAATGAAGTGAAAAAAAAAAAAAAACATACATGAGTGAAAAAAATTTCAGATATTGCAGTTAATGGTTGTGCGATAAAACAAATCAAATGATTGAGCCTTTGTCGACTAATGCTAAGTTCTTTCGTTGCAGCTACTAAAAATATTCTCTACAACTGGAAATAACAATAAAAAAATTTATTTTTAATGAAATACAATTGATTATTGAAAAGAGTTGCAAGATTTTTTGTTGCCAACATATGTAGGAAATATGAAAGATTTAATTGATTAAATACATCTACAATTTACTGTGCATATTTGCTATCATAAATATTGAAAAAAAGGATAAAATACTCAAAAATTTACAATCAATTCGAACTGCTGATAAAGCCTCTTGTGCTTGTAACAGTCGTAACAAGAAACGAAGACAGAGATTAAGAGTGGAAATAAGCTTGTCTTCTATTAAATAACACATTGGCCAAGAAAGCTAAAAGTAAAAAGTTTCATTGCTAATAAAATTAAAACTGACTTATCAAATATTGTTGCAATTTATGTTTCCGAGTAGCCTTAATCTTAAAAGCGGTAGAAGCAATTTTTAGCAAAATTAATTTTAAAATTAAATGCAAGTGATAAACAGAAACAAGTACAACATTATGTCCAAATAAGAAATATCGATTTCTATGCATTCTATATACACTTGCTAATAAATTTCTAAAAACAAAAAATTCCCTCACACCTCACATTTCTTCCAAAATTGAATTGTTAATAAATAAGATAAAGAAAAACCTTTGGTGTTATTACTATATCATCCAGAAGACCACTTGTACAACAAACATCCCATCTATCGAGAATTTCAAGTGGAAAACCAGAGAGCAGCAAGCTATTTTGAAATGACATTACTACATTGAAATGCGGTGAAGTACGCGTTGCTCCAAATAGATCAAATGCCATTTCACGCACCGCAAAACCCGTATAAACTGACTGAAAACATTTTTGCATAATAAAAGTTAACTTTCTTAATAAATAATTTAAATATTTTTAAAACCTTTCAAATAGTTACAATGATTAAGATAATGATAATGATAAATCCGGCTTGAAACATGCACGTAGTAGCAGCAGCAAACCAAAACAAAATTATAAAAATTAAATTTAAATACTTACTTCAATCTCTTTTAAGACTTGAGACAATGTATTATTTTCTAACACACAACGAAAAAGAAGAGAAGAGTTATTTTTGGCACATCTTTCACATGCATATTCCATACTTCGTATAATTTTTTGTGCACTAATAAAAGAACAATCATCTTTCAGTTGTAGAGCTTTTCTCAAGTAGACCGAAAATTCTAAAATAAATTTTATTCACAATAGAAGAGAAATATGGAAAAATTGTAAGAATGAAGACTGATTTATTCACTCAGCTAAATTATTTTTGTTTCATATCGATTTGCTTAGTAATTTTTCTACCTGTTAGTCTATCATTAATACAGGACATATCATGTCAAAAAAAAATTTAATAAGCAAAAATCAAAAAGATTTTTAATTTAATCGAAGCTTACTATTAGGTGCTTCATAATCATAGCTGCCAGCACGTAAACGGCGAGCATTTAAAGCACCATTTTCTACATATTTGATTAGAAGTTTAGACCAAAATAAGCAACGTGTTCGCCTTGCTTGAATTACTGCATTATCATTTACACTAAAATTTTTCAAAATCAGTCCCATTTTAGTTTGAAAATCATGTCATTCTTCACTTTGACTCAAAATTCAGAATGGTTAGCTGTACATAAGATGAAATGTATAACCTCTGAAAAATAAATTCGTTTTCAAGCACGGGATCAATTTCACCTGTACTGAATAAACGATCAAAATATCGCTCGAAAATTGCTAAAATAACATATTGCAGCCGTCCAATAACTTGTTTCTAAAATAAAAGATGAGAAAAAAAATCTGAATTTAAAAATTATTTTCTACTGAAATAAATATACAAAAAATTATACCACAGAAAGCGGTCTCAACTCTGCATAAAGAGTTGTGGCCAGAAAACGATCTAGAAAGCAATCGACAGTTCCATAATTCCAAATGTCGGCAGTGATAATCACCGATAAGCTATTATATACAATAGAAAGTTCCAGGAGTTCTTTACGAATTGAATGCAAAAGAGTACGTAAATCTAAAAATTAAACAAATAAAAATCAGAAACAACTATCCTATAGATTTGACAAGCAAAGCGATAACAGTATCAGAATTAAATTCAATCTTAGATATATTATCATTTTATTTTTGCTGTTTACATCTAATAAAAATACTTTTGTTTACAACGGGCTCAAAAAAGAATTTTCTAATGATTTCGTTGATCAATTACAACATAATAAGATGCTGGGTAAAACTTAGCGCGTTGAAATACTTCACCTGGAAATCAAAACAAAACTAAAATACTAAGCTTACTTAACATATCGTTATTGTAAAGTTGTCCAACAGCTCGAGTGTGCCTACTTAAAAAATCAAGAACAAATTCCTGAAGAACTTGTTCAATCTGCGAATTAACTTGATTCTTGTGACTGAAAGCTATCAATGCTATGAGTTGAGTATGTGCTTCCAGAAATGGCTCTACATAGGTAGCAATCTGAAAAAGTGATCTCTTTTTTGTTGCCTTTCTGAAAATATTTATGGTTTCTAAAAATCGATGAACCCCAATAGAAGAAATCATAGCTAACTGATTTTGCTATTTAATACAGAAAAAACATTCTTACTTCAGTTTGTTTTAGAATTCCATCGCTGAGATAATAACTGTCATCCAATTCATAACGCCCACATGATTTTGGTATCAAAAATGAACAATTCCTGTTAACATCCAATAACCTGAAATAATCACTGCAGTTATTTTTAAATAGAAACTTGCAAAACTTGAAATGAAATTATTAATTGTGAGCAATGATCAAAAACAGAATTTTAAGCTTCAAAAGACTACACTAGAAGTATGCAAAATATGCATGGAGAAAAAATTATTCGATTATCGATAGTAATGCAACTGAATATCGTATACGTCAAAATATTGACTACAAATTAAAGTAAATGGAAAAATCGTAATCGTAAATTAAATCATTTAAAGTAAATACTAAACAATGAAAAGCAATCTTTTTATATCACTTCACTTTATGCAAAAACTGCTTACTTCCACTTTTTCTTCAATCTTATTACAATACATAATTTTATGTTGTTTAAACGTAAGGAAAATATTTCAACAAATATATTAAGCATTAAATGCGATAAGTTAAAATATAAATGTGAATTTATAATAAGAACAGCTTAAAAATTATGCCTTAAAAGATGATTGATGAGTTCGTGTTCCGTGATCTTAACTCTGTGCTTTGATGGCCTGAAATATGACGTAGTAAGTTTTAAAGATTGCAAAACGCTTAAAAGAATGCTATCATATTAAATAATTTTCGATCAATTAAGCTGAATTTAGCAATAAATTTGAGTAAGATCAACCATTTCTTGATGAATGATATGGTACAGTTTCAAAAACTATTATTATATATTTCATGAATTATATACGATCTATATATATTAATAAGAAATTTTTGCATGGGATCATAGAGGTTAATAATGTAATGAACTTGAAAATAAAATTGAAAACGCTAACCTCTTTTCAAGAGTTTTTAGAATGTTCCTGGTTTTTTTCATCAGTATACTATCTTCAATACTAACTCGGAATGCTTGTACACCTTGTGGAATATTTAACCGATTTGATTCATTTGATACATCAATTTGCCATTTTCTTCCCTTTTCTACAACACGTCTATGATGTGTAAGTGTTCCTCTTGTTGTTTCATTTGCATTCTGAATCTGCAATAAAATTATTATCAAAAACAACAAATTTAATACTTGAGAAAAAGCTGATTTATTTTTATTCATAAATTTACTAGCAAAGTTTCAATCCTTCACTTATAATTCAAAATTCTGAATTTTTGATTTAGCCTATACATAAATAATACAGTGTTTGAAAAAAAAAAATCAACATTTGAACGCATACGCAAAGCATAACTTAAATTTTTATGATTGAATGGAAATAAATTAAAAAAGCAAATAACATCTGTTAATAAATCAAAAAAACTGATAATGCATTTTATTAAATGTTCATTTTTTCAATCATTATACTATGTTTTTACAAAAAAAGTCTTTTTTAAAGGAATTGAATAATCATGCATACCTTATCATTTGAATTTTGCTCTTTCATTCAGTTATTATTTCAATAGTCACAGCTCAACTGACTGTATCGGAAATTGAAATTGAAATTTAACATGGACAAACACAAAAATTATAAATAGGAAATATGAAATTATAAAAGAAGATAAAGTCAGAGGTGAAATTAAGAGAGATAAACTTTTAGTACTAACATATTCTACTGAAAGTAAAAGGTAAAGAGAAGAAAGAAAGCAAATTAAAAAAAAAAAATTTCACAGCTTACATTAATAAAGAAAAAAAGAAAGGAACGTAAAAAAATACTGTGTACTGCAATGATGCTGATGATAGAAAGAATGATTGAGATATAACGGGGGCAGAGATTGTAAGGATTGTAACACATGTAAAATGAAGAGGGTACGAAAGATTGAAAAGATTTCTAGCATGTGGTAGAATTAGAGACGAGAAAAAATGACCAAATAATGATAATTACTCACTTTTGAATTATTAAAATAATACTTTGATTAATTAGACGAGAGAGCAGGTTGGAAGTTAAATTACAATCGCAACAAGTATCGATGCCCACGGGTAAATTGTTAGGTAAACTGGTACATATCAGGGATGAATGTGATTGCATTGTATGGACTGTTTGGTTTGGATCCGGTTATATTTTTCTCAATTTTGACAGTAAGATTTCAGTTAGAGTAGTTTAGATGAAGCGGACATTATTTACGTGGGGCCAGGCGATATCGATTATTTGATTAGCATGAAGTCAGATCGATTTGATTAGGATAAGATCAGATCAGTTCGACTGGTATAATTAAGGAAGAATTAATATGCTAAATGATGTGCTTGATTTATTTCTTTCTCAATTTTGACAAATACTCCGCACATATTCTTCTTGTACTCTTAAGCTTTACAAACTATTATAGTATCAGATATTTCCGTTTCTTATTGTCATTCCTTTTCTTCTCTTCTCTCTCTCATTTTTCTCACTTGTTTTCTTTCATACTTCACCAAAATTAAATCTTATGTTGCACATATTAAGTGAATTTCATAACGTTTGTGTTCTACGTGTTACGTGAATTTCAAAATTTACATATTACGTGAATTCCATCAGATCATCAGTCGGCACTCATTTACATTTGTTAGGTTTACCATTTGTTCGGAATATGTACATTTTTCGTTCTAAAGAATTTTTTATTAAAGTACTTTATAAAATATTTTAAATAGTGTATTTTCAGAATTGGTCGACATAACATATCGCCTTCCGGCAGTGACATGTCTGGTATTCTAGCAATGCATCATCCGGCAGCTGGACGGGATATTAAGTCAGGTGTCATACTTTTAAATTACTTTAAAACTATTTAGAAACTTGATTTCGAAAGGTATAACATGCCTTAATTTCATTCTTTTTTTCCCCCAAGTATTTCAACATTTTTTTTGGATAGTTCCATAGGGAAGAATTCATAGCTTAAAGAACTTTTCCCTGTGGAATCATTCCAAAATTTGTAAAGTATAGGTTATAAGGAATTGTCCACTTTATCTAAGTCTTTCCAGCAAAAATTTCATTGCAGATATGAATTATCGACAAAGCACTGGTGAACCACTTAAACGATTTGCTGAAGCGAAAACTAGCATTGGTGATATTTACAATCAATTGGAGACTTATGTTACGGATCTCTTACTTTTCTATAACGGTATATTTTGTATTAATTCCATTCTTTATATGCACACTATAAGGAATCATTTTATGGTTAGATTTTCTAATGTATATTTAGGTAGGATATAGTTAGGAAGTTTTTTAATCTATTTTAATATTCCTAATATATTTTTCTAATGATGAAATATGACTTCAGATATTTTCATTGAAAATGATCTAGCCTGTAATACACCACTCGTACACTGTAGCAGTTAAGAATTTCTACATTATTGCAGGGACACTTAACATATTCAGTGGCTGAAATGTTTTTTTCTTCAATAACTAGTTTTTTTTTTTTTTTTTTTTCTGATTTATATAGCTTAAGTGTTCTCTTTTTTTTTAAAATGCAGAGTTTTCTATGCTTTCTTCTAATTTGATATTTTAAAATGAAAATGCTCTATTTCTTATATGTTCAATTTAGAAATTCTGAACGACAATGGAAATGTGCCAGATGAACAAATGCATGAAGTTGCACGCTTCAAAGATAGTATCAAAACAATTCGTGATATGTTTATGCGTGATACTATGAAAGTTGTTTTCTTCGGAAGGTAACTTTCTATTTAATTGAGTGGGAAGCTTATATATCATATTTATCAAATTCCTTTTGCGCATTTGTATTTTGATTACATTCTTTTTCCAGAACAAGTAATGGGAAGAGCTCAGTAATTAATGCTATGTTGCATGCAAAAGTATTACCACAAGGAATGGGACACACTACTTGTTGTTTCTTGCAAGTAAATTCTTTCATTTGTTATTTTTTTTCCTTTTTATAATCATTGTTACACCATTTTTATGCAGAGGTTTAATCTAAGGCAAACTACAAGCAAAGAAATTGATTAACATTATAAATTTTATATAGGTGGAGGGAAGCCCAGACGATCAAAAATTTGTTTTAAATGAAGATTCATCGGAACGAATGGATATTGAACAGTTGCAAAAACTAGGGCATGCAATGAGTGATAGTAATGTCTCACTTTCTGCAATGGGGCAAGACTCACTTTTACACGTCTTTTATCCCAAATCAGCATCGCGTTTACTACAGAATGATGTTGTCATTGTTGATAGGTTAGCCTTTGTTTTCATTTCCTCGTTTATTTTATCTCTACTTTAATTTTTTTTTTTTTTTTTTCTTTTGAGCGAAAGGAAATTCAATGTTTTTGTCCCTAAGCAAAGACGATTGTTTTAATTTAAGTTTGGAATTTTAAGAAAAGTTATTCTCATGTATCCAAAAGATCTTGTCGACTTTTAAAATGAATATAATAAGTTAATATTTTGAGAGATGAAATAATGCAGTTATGTGTTATTAAAAGGGGTGGTAGTGCATATTTCCATATTAAATTTATTTAAAAACTATTCATAAGAAATAAAAATGGTGAACTTACATTGAAACTAATTATGAAACGTTTTCAGTCCTGGTGTAGATTTATCACCGCAATTTGATAGTTGGATTGACAAACACTGCATGGATGCTGATGTCTTCGTTTTGGTTTGTAATGCTGAGTCGACTCTTACACAAGCTGAGAAAAGTTTTTTTCATCGAGTGAGTTCGAAGTTGAGCAGGCCGAATATCTTCATCCTTAACAATCGATGGGATGCAAGTGCAACCGAAGTGGAAAATATGCAACAGGTTGAAAAGTTGAGTTGATGTCGTGATTTGTCAGACATTTGTTATGCTATATTTTCCTTTTTTCTTCAGCCTTGAAGTTCCTTTCAGAATATTTAAAAAATTTTGGCTTGCAATTGCAAAGAAAGAACGGAGCCTCAATCTTTCTTTGTTCTTTTAAAGCTGTGGATAGATTTTCTGTGGTCGTTCTATGAATCATTTGATTTATATTGCTCGTTTTACATTGTGTTAAAAAAGTGATATTGTAGAACTTTACTTATCCAGCTGTCCTTTATCTTTGTGAAATTCATCCTTCTTGGAAAGATAATTGCTTAATATCTTTTGTACCTGTGTATTTTTATTGCTTTTGTTACTATTACTGTATTTCAGATCCGAGAGCAGCACATGACACGATTTAGACAATTTCTTGTGAACGAACTCAAAGTGTGTAGTGAGGCAGAGGCTGCAAATCGCATCTTTTTCATATCGGCACGTGAAATGTTGGATGTACGCTTAAAAGAACGAGGTGTAATACATCATGGTAGGATTTTCCTCCTTTAAATATTTGAAAAGCTCAGGTGATTGTCGCAAAAATATCATAGTGAAAGTAATGCTTAGCTATTCTGCATCGAATTCGTCTGGTAAATTAAAATAGATTTCAAGAATAAATTATTTGATTTCAGCTTATCAAGTTGAAGGACATCAATATCGTGCGATGCAATTCTGTAATTTTGAAACGCAATTTGAGGTGGGAATAGATATCATATGAAAGAGATTGGCAGTATAAATAAAGAAATGATAAATGGGAAAGTAACGAAAGCAAAACTGTATTATTTCTCATTACGGGACACATTTCTTTCTTTTTTCACAATTTCAGCAACTCATTTCGAAATCTGCTATTAGCACTAAATTTGAAGCTCATGCACGGAGAGCCCGTGAAATTGTGGGGGAAATGAGAAATAATTTGGATGTTGTGCAAAATAGTACTCTTAAGCGAAAGTAAGTCTAAAGTGTCTTATAAAAATTTCTTCTTTAAATCAAAACATTTTTTTTTTTTTGTATCACAAAAAATGATCCGCCACTATAAATACCACGGCCCTAATCGCTTCTACGATTTTTTAATTTTAGAGATGAAGATGGAACGGTAAAGTCATTTTTTCATTTGCAAGTATTGATTTAAATGTAGGCTTTACTATTAATGTTTTTATCTTAAGCAGCAAATTTTCTGAATTTTTTTTTACGAATTTCAGGACTGAGTTGCAGTCGAATTTTACAACAAAAGAAACGATATTTAAGGAATGTTTAAATAACTGGAAGGAATTCGAGCGACTTGCTATCATTGAATCGCAGAGATTGAGAAATGAAGTAGATTCGTTATTTCATTTTTTAATTATTTAGTTTTGAAGGTTACCAATTAAATTAATGTCATTTCTTGTGAATAAATTGTTATTGCACTTCATTTTTTTTAGGTGCATTTAAAAGTGTCGGCAGATTTCTATGAAGAAATGCAAAAGCTTGAATCAATTATTGACAGATTCGATAACAAATTCATAGACGAATCTGCTGCAATTGAAGAGTATAAAAAGGTTAATATGAGTTTCCAGATAGCATCACAATTTATTTAATAATTGTCTGAAAATTTTCAGTTGCTCTCAATCGGGCTATATTCTCATTGAATGTTATGTTGCAGAATTTGGCAGATTTTGTAGATAAAATCGTGACGGAGGATTTAGAAGCACGTTGCACCAGAGGTCTTATGCAGCGTATTTGGAATTTGGAGAATTCCATGTATTGTATGTTTTCTTTTGCATGTTGATTACACTTAAAGTACTATTTTTTTGCATTTTTCCGACTCATGTATTTTCTTCTTATGTTTACTCTATATTCCAGTGTTTATTTTTATTCAGCTTTTTTTTTGATAGTGTCTGATAAGTATTCGTTTTTTTTTGTTTTTTTTTTTTATTTCAGTACATGTTAACCAGATACTCGCTGAACCATATACTAAAAAATTAGAACAGGTACTAACTTTTTAAAAGAGTTTGTGAACTTAACCTGTTTTGTAATTCGCGGTCGCATAGTTTTGTGTTGATTGATTTGATTTCAGATTTCAAAATATCTACTGACTTAGTTTCTCTAGGAATTCCCGAGCAAAATTAGATAATAGCCAAAGCATAAAATCAAAGCTTGTTGGAGATAATTTGTCGTTTCCAGATTTGGCGATATCGACCTCCGTTCAATTTTTCAATCTGTATCAATTGTCCATCGTTAATGCAGGACTTTCGGGAAGATTTGGAATTCCGATTCTCATTCGGTGTTACAGCGATCATCAGACGAATTAATGCATATCGTTTAGGAAAACCTATAACTGCTGTTGGTAGTCAGCCACTACTTGATGTTTTCGTGAGTGTTTTGAAATTTTTGGTCCTTGTTGGACAATTCTCGGAGATTTCAATTGTCTTAGACAAAAGATTTTGTGCAAAATAACATAACTAGATGATAAATAAAATGATATCTATATCTATCTATCTATCTATCTATCTATCTATCTATCTATCTATCTATCTATCTATCTATCTATCTATCTATCTATCTATCTATCTATCTATCTATCTATCTATCTATCTATCTATCTATCTATCTATCTATCTATCTATCTATCTATCTATCTATCTATCTATCTATCTATCTATCTATCTATCTATCTATCTATCTATCTATCTATCTATCTATCTATCTATCTATCTATCTATCTATCTATCTATCTATCTATCTATCTATCTATCTATCTATCTATCTATCTATCTATCTATCTATCTATCTATCTATCTATCTATCTATCTATCTATCTATCTATCTATCTATCTATCTATCTATCTATCTATCTATCCTATCTATCTATCTATCCTATCTATCTATCTATCTTCTATCTATCTATCTATCTATCTATCTATCTATCTATCTATCTATCTATCTATCTATCTATCTATCTATCTATCTATCTATCTATCTATCTATCTATCTATCTATCTATCTATCTATCTATCTATCTATCTATTCTATCTATCTATCTATCTATCTATCTATCTATCTATCTATCTATCTATCTTGATCTATCTATCTTATCTATCTATCTATCTATCTATCTATCTATCTATCTATCTATCTATCTATCTATCTATCTATCTATCTATCTATCTATCTATCTATCTTATCTATCTATCTATCTATCTATCTATCTATCTATCTATCTATCTATCTATCTATCTATCTATCTATCTATCTATCTATCTATCTATCTATCTATCTATCTATCTATCTATCTATCTATCTTCATCTATCTATCTATCTATCTATCTATCTATCTATCTATCTATCTATCTATCTATCTATCTATCTAATCTATCTATCTATCTATCTATCTATTCTATCTATCTATCTATCTATCTATCTATCTATCTATCTATCTATCTATCTATCTATCTATCTATCTATCTATCTATCTTATCTATCTATCTATCTTATCTATCTATCTATCTATCTATCTATCTATCTATCTATCTTATCTATCTATCTATCTTATCTATCTATCTATCTATCTATCTATCTATCTATCTATCTATCTATCTATCTATCTATCTATCTATCTATTCTATCTATCTATCTATCTATCTATCTATCTATCTATCTATCTATCTATCTATCTATCTATCTATCTATCTATCTATCTATCTATCTATCTATCTATCTATCTATATCTATCTATCTATCTATCTATCTATCTATCTAATCTATCTATCTATCTATCTATCTATCTATCTATCTATCTATCTATCTATCTATCTAATCTATCTAATCTATCATAATCTATCTATCTAATCTATCTATCTATCTATCTATCTATCTATCTATCTATCTATCTATCTATCTATCTATCTATCTATCTATCTATCTATCTATCTATCTATCTATCTATCTATCTATCTATCTATCTATCTATCTATCTATCTATCTATCTATCTATCTATCTATCTATCTATCTATCTATCTATCTATCTATCTATCTATCTATCTATCTATCTATTCTATCTATCTATCTATCTATCTATCTATCTATCTTTCTATCTATCTATCTATCTATCTATCTATCTATCTATCTATCTATCTATCTATCTATCTATCTATCTATCTATCTATCTATCTATCTATCTATCTATCTATCTATCTATCTAATCTATCTATCTATCTATCTAATCTATCTATCTATCTATCTATCTATCTATCTATCTATCTATCTATCTATCTATCTATCTATCTATCTATCTATCTATCTATCTATCTATCTATCTATCTATCTATCTATCTATCTATCTATCTATCTATCTATCTATCTATCTATCTATCTATCTATCTATCTATCTATCTATAACAAAAAATTAGAAAATTCATCATATGAACAACTTTATTTATAATTTTTCTAGATTCTTTGCAAAGATTTTATTTATATTAATAGCAAAACAGGGATATGCATCTTTAATGTGAAGTAATGTTTTAGAAAAGTTACACTAAGCAAGCAAATATAGAAGTTGGGGAGGGAAATATGCAGCAAAATTGCCAAGAAGAAATGCAAATGATGACAACAGCTGAATCGCAGGAAAATGCCATGATGGCTCAACTTATACTTTCTTCAATTGGTTATGTTGCTAACGGTAGTCTTGGCCTTCTCGTTATAGGCGGAATAGTTAGTTTTTGGTTTTCTTTTGATCAAATAATTTCAATTTTTAGTTTTATATTTTTGTCTAGCAGTTTTAGAAATTGTTTCATTTATATCAATAATATTGTATTAGGATCGATTGATTGATATGAATGAGATTAAACAAAACTGACGCTGTCGTGGAAGCAAAAATTTGAAGATTTGATAATTTATTGTTTTGAGAGTGGTAACAACCTCGAGGGGAGATTCGTTGGATGGATATAGATGTAAATATGTGGAGTAACAGAGGAATATAATAATTCCTTTACTAACAGAAACAGTACACAGCAACTTGATAGAGAACAATTGAAATTAAACTGCCCTGGTTCTTGGTAAAAAACACACATTACCCCCCTTCAACAAAGGTGACCTCCTTATATAGCAGGCAATATGCGTAATCAAAGTATGTGATTTACAATATGAAGTTGACCTGCCGAAAGAGTAATCGTCTAACAAAGAGTTGTTGACCTGGTTTACAAGTAAATCTATTTACTAATTGACAAACTGCAAAGAACATTAGTTAAGAAAAAGTTGTTAACCTTATAGATTCAAAGATAATTTACAATTAGTGGCGGCACAACAATGAGATTAACTAAATGAGGAGCTGATACCGTGTAAACAATATATAATATATTTACAGGTTAAACATAAGATTGGAAACAAAGAGTCCAAAGTATAAACATTATTGCAAAGAATTTTATAGAACATATTTCTTACTCATATTCACAACGCTCATATAATATTTTAGAGTTTCGCGATATTAAAATCCGCGACAGATGCAAAGTGATTAGAAACTGATTAGATTCTTTCTAGGATCTCTTTTCCTATCATAACAGCTAATCACTCTGTTGTTGTTAGCCATTATATATATTTAAATTATTAGCTGTAATAACGGTTATTATTAAAATTCATAAGTTTTGTGAATTCTATTTTAGGTTTCCAAAGCAATTAGTTGGCGTTTCATTGCTGCTGGAATAGCATTATATGGTGGCTTATACGCTGCAGAATACTGGCGTTGGAATTCTGGTGCAAAAGAGCAACATTTGAAAGATCAGTTTCGGCATCATCTAAATGCAAGAATGCGTAGTGTTGCAACTACACATACGTTGCATTGTGAAACGCAAGTCTTAAGGTTAGCTCTTGTTTAAATTCACTTCAAAGAAAGTGCTACCATATTTGAATTTAATATGCATTTATTTGACTTTCGATTTATGTATGAAATTATGGAATTTTTTTTTTTTTTTTTCAATGTTAATTTTATATTTAATGAAATTTTTGATCTAACTCATGATTGGATTAAAGAAAGTGATGGTGTGATTGGCATAAAATTTATCTTCGATATGTATAAAAACGTTATGAAAACTAATTAGATATTATTTGTACATACATCTCTTTTAGTTAATTGTTATTCAGAAAAATTGTTCATTGAATGTTTCATAATTTTGCTAAAAATGTTTTCTTTTGAAGAGAAATGCAACAAGTACTCGGTGGCTTAAAAAGTACAGTAGGTGGTGTACATCAAGAAATGAAGACCGAACTTGATAATATGCGGAGAGAAATTGAAAAAATTGATCATGTTACCAAAGGACTTAACACAATAAAGTAAGTTTTTTATCACATTTATTTCTTTTGTATTAAGCGTGAAAGTAGAATGAGAAATGATAATATGATTATCATAAATCTCGATTGTTGAAATGTTACTTTTGAAGTATGAGTTTGCATCCATATCATCATTATCTTCCAGGAGAAAAGTAGTTAGTGATTAAAATGTACTATAATATTTCGTGTGATAACATGAATTCATTTTTTGTAAAAATATGGTAGAGCTTAAATATTCCAGGGGGAAAGCATCATTTCTGAACACAGATTTGGATCGTTTTGAGAACGAATTTTTGAAAAATGGTTCACATTCACCAGTAATTCAGTAGTGAACACTGTAAAATATTTTCATTTTTATTGCATGTTACTTGTACCCGTAAACTTAATCTCAAAGTTACGAGCAACTGTAATGATTTAGGTTTTCATCACTATTTTGAGATAAGGTATGAAGAAAAAAGAGAAAAAATAAATTAAATGCGAAAAATTTCGCCTTCTTTCTAGATTTTCTATCTTTTTACTATTAGAATAAAAGCAGAAATGAAAATTTATAACCGACTAATTTTCTCTTCTTGACATTTTTTGTGCCTTCTCTCGTGCGGGTTAATGTGTATTTACTTTAGTCATTTTTGTTTTATACTTAAGTTATTCTTCAAGCAGTAGTTATTCATCAATTTAGATTCGAATTTCATTCATTCTCAAACTTGTCGTATAGCTTAAATTACTTCATTTTTATTGAATTTTACAACTTTTTTTTATCAATGAATTATGTTATTTCAGTTTTCATTAGATGATTGTTTACTGAGACTTTTCATTTGGTTGGTTTGTATTTAGAAAATTCAACAAAAGAAAAAAAATTATAAGCATGATTTTTTTTTCTCAGTTGTGCATTCATTGTGTAATGATATTTGTTTTGGAAAAAAAAGAAAAAAATTCGTCTACATGTTTAAAAGCATTTTCTCACTGAAAAAAAGAAGTGAAAAGTATGATAAGATTCTTTTACGGTTATCGCATAATTAAAAAGCTAAAAGAAACAAAAACTGAAATACTGATATAGAATGAATCAATCGGATCAGTATTTGAATATAAATTTATTGGTAAATGATAACTTTTTCATATTAGTATATTTTCAACATCAGCCATAATATACTTGAAGTAAAAATTGAATGCTAATATCACTAATCATAAAAGTAGCTAATAACAATAAAATTTCGGTGAGTACTATTTACATATAATAATACAGATTGTTTGCAGTTAAAGGAATCAAATTTTAATTACAACTGTTGATAGCTGTAAATGATAGCAATGTTAATGAATAATGTCTAATAGTAAAATTGATATGTTTATCATCTGGGCTAACTAATTTCCTCGAAAAATATCTTTTGTGGTACGAAAGCATTTATCGGTGGTACACAGCTGACATCTCAGCTAAGCCTTTCCAATCCAATCAATCGATTAATCAAAAGTTGGACTTTTTGAATATTTGCTAGGCAGATGATGCATAGTAGTGATTGATCGAGATTCTACCAAATTTCATTCATGCTATTTGGATGATGATATGCCAGTGTATTTTCTGTTATTTAGTCTTTTTTTTTTAACATTATGATAAAGTTTTTTTTTTTTTTCAATAGTATGTACTTCTTTTTAACGTTAAGAAATTCTATTTCTAATTAGACTACTTCTCTTTTCACATTATTTTGATACTACTAATTATTTATGAAAGTATACTTCAAAAAAAAAAAAAGTAAATAAAAAAAAATTCTACTGTACTGTAAGGCTCTAGCATAATTTGGATATTTATTAAAACTAATTATTGGATATTATAGATTTAACATTTTATTTTAGTAAAATAATTATTTTACAATACTATATTCGGGAAAGAAAATGCTAAATTTTTTTTCACTAATACAACTAAAATTAGTATAGAAATCATTAATGGGAATTTATATTTCAATTTGTTAAACTCGTTGAAGACAAGTTATTAACAAACTTTTGTATGTATAAAATTATGCATGAATTTAATTTCCCTTTCTTTTTCATTTTATTTGATTAATTATTGTTTTGAATGAGATTTTAATACTAATATTAAAATAAAAATAATTTAAATGACTAATGGAAATGTTAATGCAATATTTCAATGAAATTTATGGAAAAGATAAAAATGATAAGTGTTAGTTAGCTGATATAATATCTTAATTAACAAGATAATAATAGATATAATTATATCGAATTTCTTGTGATCTAATGAAGTTCTGTTGAATTGTTTCATTTAAATTTTTCATTTTTTAAAAAATTAAATGATGAAAATTTGATTAAAATAAAAGATATTTTCAATCAGGTGGCACTCTTCAGATAGTTTAACGAGTGAAAATATAATCCAAATCAATTCTCTCTGTTTAATATGCTCCATTACTATTGGCTGAAAATTTAAATTTGATATTAATTAATGAATTCAAATTGAAATGTGGAGAAAAAGAAGCAAATGAATTGATAAATCATTATTTTCATTTCACTCATGCACTACAGCAAATTAATTGCAGTAAAATTTACAATTCAGTCTTTAATTAAGATGCGAAAAGTTTATTAATTTCAATTGATTGATTAAATTTAGCCCGGAATTTTTTAAAAAGATGCCTTTTTTGTTTCTTTAATCATTATTTTAGTTAGAAAGCAATCTCGAATATTTCTAATTTTTTCTTCTCATTTTTTAGCATCACAAAATTACAAAAAAATTTTTATTCTTTAAAATTATGCAATGGATGGATTTATCACAATATTTGCCAATATCATTGATATTAATCATTTTTATCATTCTTGGCTTTGATCACTTTTGTTTTACCTCACTTATAAGTCCTACCAACTTCCAACAAGTTAGTTATTTTTACATTTAAATAATTTGTTTAAAAAATTATTCATATTCTGTGACGTTGTCCAAATAATTAATGATTAATTTTTTTAGGGTACAACTGAAATTGGTTTATTTCGTTCAGCAATTAATTGTACATTAATTGTTATTGCACCATTAATACTTATTCTACCTATTACATTACCTGGTAAATTATGCGATTTTGTTAGTTAAGTTAATAAAATTTTCTAAATAATTTTTGTTCAGAAAGAAAAAAAAAACTAAATATTTATCCCATAATAAGTTTTGTATTAGAAATATTTAAAATAATTTGCCTTTTATATGCTGAAATACATATTATTTACTATAATTACGATATTAATAAATCAAAAATTTTCATGAAATATTATTCATAGTAAAAGTAATTGTTAGTGATAATATTAAAATGTTTTAAATGAATTATATTTTGTAAAAATGATTTTTTTTTCTTTTTTTTTTCAGCTTTTTTTCAAATTTAAAATGTTTTATTTGTTGCAGCTGAACTGATAGTACATTATCTGTTGGGCTATGGATGCGCTGCATTATTAGCAATTTCACTAATTAGTCCAATATTACATTATAATCGATCACCCAGCATATGCTACTATATTAAATTACGATTCAATCAGTCATTTCGTATGTGTGAAAAAAAATTAAAAATTGAAAAATTTTTTAACCTAAACTTTGCAATTTAAATATTACTTTTTCTTGAAAATTTTTGTTTAATATTTTAGCAATACTTTCACATTATTAAATTTTATATTTAATTTCTTAAATTTAAAATATTTTACTAAAATTCTATTTAAATAAATATTCATTAAAATTTCAATTAAATTATTATTAATTAATTCTTTTACTAAAAGATTTATAAGCTTTTTTTTTTTGCACAATCAATGATAATAATTGCAATTAAAGATTGACGTATTTTAGTATATTTATTGGTATGCGTATTAAATATAATTTTTTTAATCATATTTACCGTAATATTATTGATAATGACAGTATCACTTATCACAACACGGATATCGTTCTTATCACCTTACAAAATATGTACGATATTAGGATATACTAGCATTTTTGCAATTGCTTTTGGTGGGCAAACAAGCGTTTCATCCAATGTCTTCTTTGCATCAATTTGTGTGAGAGATAAAAAAATGCTTTTTTATTTTTAAATTTCATTTTAATTCTTCAGTTTCAATTTATGCTTAATAATAGCAAGGAAAAATGTAAGAAATTTAATTCATAAATGCAATAAAATGGATTTATTTTAATGTTTGAATTAAAAAAATATTCAAACATTATTGCTGATATTTTTATACAAACAAATTAAAAATGCACTTCAAATTTGATAAAAATTATAAAATATTTATGAAAAATATAAAATTTTAGTTAGCAATGCTAGCAGCTTCATATATAATATTTGATAATTTAACGAATTACATATATAATTTTGTTGAAATCATATTATCTCACGATTATTTATCATTCGATTCATGGACAGCATTTTATTTGGGTATCTTAAATGGCTTACATTTCCTTATCACTAGTCCATTATTATATCAGGTTATCATAATTCTCATTGTCAGTGATTAAAAATTTGGTGATATGAAACATTTATTAATGAACTACGATAAAAAAAAAACAAACAAAAATCAATGAACAAAAATTGTTTATTTAATTACAAATGTTACATTTTATTAACAATCGTTATACTATTTATCGCTGATAATCTTTGATCAATTGATTGATTTATTGATGTAATCAAAATGAATAATCACACTAGTAATTAGTAATAAATTACGTATGCTAAAAATTAATAGTTTACATTTTCATTGTTACTGAAAAATTTTTTTTACAGCAGTACTTCTCGCTTTCATCTTGTCGACGTTTACGTGAATCATTAGCTATTCACGTGGGACTTTTTAGTCTGTTAACAAGCGTAATGCTAGTATCATCCAATTTATTTGCTAATAAAATTAATTGGTTTTGTCAAGTAAATTCATTTGCAATGTTTAATGTAAGCCATGAAGATATATCATTGGAGATAGAAAATGGATTATTCCCATCTCTAATTAATGCAGTATTATCACTTGTTGCTTCATTTGCTATCATTCTAACTGAACTTACTTTGATAAATTTAATTTGGGAAGATTTACTAAGACCATTGCTAATACGACGATCACTTCAACAGCAAATTGGATCAATACAGGTTAATTTGTTATAATTTGCTCTTTTACACATAAATTCAAATTTAATAAATTTTGAATCATTCCACTGAATTATTTATAAAATTATTTATATTAATCAATGATGAAAATGAATTTAGTACAAGGAATATTAGCTAATTTTGACAGAAATTTAACACAAATTTAAATTAATTTATAGGTTGGGTTATTAATAATTGGAAGTATAATTATTGCATTATCAAATGCTTGGCTTTATTTAGACAAGCCATTAAAATATGGCCCAATATCACTACTAATTTTAGGGTTAGCTTTTTTTTCGTATTCAAAATAAATTATACTAAAATATTTACTAAATATTTACATAATAACATTTGGATTGTGTGTGAATTGTTTACAATTAATGGTGCAATAAATAAATATAATACACACATGCAACTATTTATTAATAATTAATTTTATTTTTATTTAAAATTCAAATCATATTTTAGCACTTTAACAGCTCCAATGACAGCACTTTATACCTGCAGCTATCTTTTTCCATTTTTAAATGGCAAAGGAGCAACAACTGGCTTACTTACTGGTATTTTCGGTACCCTGGTGCTATTTTACCTGTATTTCCGAGTCACACCTCTTCGATTTCACCATTTTCCACTACAATGTTTTAATGAAACATCAATTACACATTCATTAATATGGGCTGACTGTAAATTTGCATATTTCGAGTTAGATTTTGCATCAACAACACTACAAGCAATAGCTAATAAAGCACAAAAATTATTACCTATTCTGTGCGAAATACCAATTACATGGTACCCATTAACTACTTTTATAGTAAGTAATTATTTAATTCTTCAAATCATATAAAAACTCAAAAAGTATCGCAACATTTTTATCTCCTATAATTTATCATTTGAGTAAACAAAAAATTTTTTTACATAATTTTTTCCTTATTTTCAATTCAAAAAAAAGGTTTAACTAGTAGTTTGCATATTGTGTCATAAATTTCTTAATTTCTTCTTTATAGTCTAATTGATATAAAAGCATTAATTTGCTTTAAATTGAAATATTATTAAGATATTTTAATATTGATCAAAATGATCAATGAAAATGATTGGATTAATAATTTATAATCTAATATTTCTTAAAATTAAGCAATAATAAATTATTATCTTATGTTTTTTTAAGATTTATAATATTTGTAGATTACTACATTATCAATGTTACTTGTATCACTGTGTACGTGTAGCAGTAATACGGACGAATTTGATTGGAAATTAATAATCTGCGCACCTTATGTTGGAATATTTACACGTCATACTGATAATACAATCAGTAATGATAAGCATGTCGCGTTTGTTGAATGCGAATCATTTCGGTTAGCTTAGTTTTAATTTAATCAAATTTTATTTTTATAATTGATTACACTATTTAAGAATTTTTGTTTTATTTTTTATTATTTATTTTTTGAAATAAGCTAATTTACAAAAATTGAAAATTTAATGATATCCGAAGGAAAAAAAACTATGTTGTTTAATTTTCAGATATGCACAACAAACACCATATCCGGATACGGTAACCACAGTTACGCATATGATTCAGTGATGATTATCATGAACATAATAATGATTATTATGAATTTAATGGTGATAATCATGGAACTAATGATGATTATAATGATTATCATGAGCTAAATGATGATAAGCATGGATTTCATATTGATTATTGCTAAATATGTGTGACATTTGCTGGAGTGATTATTGTGATAACTATTCTCTTATCCTATCATAGGACTTTCGGAATTTTTTTTGCATTAATTTCAATTTTTAACTTGAATTTCGAATTATTTCAAGTTTCTCAATTTAACCAATATACCACAATACTGCAAGTCAGTTAAGTTTTAAAAATGTAATTTAACTCAACTAATTACAAATTCGTTTCCTTACTCTTTTCAAAGTATTTCTTGCTGTTATCACATCTAATATTTTATTCGTTTATATTAAATACATAAAAATATTTAGAAGTTAATAACGAATTGAGAAAATTAATTTTACGAAAACTTAATTGAAATAGTTTTCTTGTAATGAAACAAGAAAAAAGAGAAAATAAGCAATAAATTTAAATGAAAAGAACTGTTTGAAACACAAACTGTTCAAATTTCTTTCATCTTTTTCTTTTTTAAATTAAATGATAATTTTGTATAAAACATTGTTTCAGCCTTTTTTATTTAGTCACGCATAATGTCATTACGTCATCTAAACTGTAATTTAAATTTAGCAACAATACATTCGTGGATAGCACAGTAACGTGAAAAACGTAAGTGATGCGTAAGTGAATGTAGAAAAAAGATCGCAGATGAAATAAAGATCGATTATATATGATTGAAGAGAGGAATGTAACATTTATAATTGTCAAATGTTTGATCATTCAATCTCTTCTATCCTCAGTATAGATTGCCCTTTGTAACGAGTTATTGGGAATTCTCCCGGGGTAAAAGTTACCTGTGAGTGATCTATCTGATTGCATTTGCAAGATGAAAATACAGTACTGTCCAATGACTTGTCAAATTCTGAATATGAAAAAGGTGAAGAGACTGATAGCAGAAATGATGGAATTGAAAGTGTTGATGGCGGTAAATGTTGCAATGAATTGATGATCAAAGGCGGAAATGTCTGTGATTGTAGTAGCATTGTTGAAAAATTAGCAATAGATAACAATGAAGATGGATAATTCTGAGTGTTAATGAATTGAATGGGAATTCCAGTACCAATAATTAGTGGTATTTTAATTGGTTTACATTCGTTGAGCATTACTGATATATGATAGGATAAATTGATAAGTGCATCAGGGTGGCAATAAGTTGGAAATGCATTAATTGGTATCTGAAATAATTATTATTTAAATATCTTCCAAAAAATATCCCATTTTAGCTTCTGATGAATAAAAGGTTTTAAATAAAAAAGTGCCTTATTGAAATTAAATTTCATAAATTTTTCGATACATAATTTTTCTCTTTAAAATGATATATCATTAATTTTCATAAATGCATTAGATTATTCATCTTCTACCAAAAAACTTTTTTTTTTTAAAAAAAAAACAATTACATAAATACTTATGGCTTATGCTAGGAGGAAAGATTATTCTGATCTACTTAATTCTTATCATTCTTAAATTGATTTATAATTTGTCTAAAAATTGAAGGGAATGTATAAGCATTTTCTTTTTATTGAATTCAATGAGCATTTTCCATTTTCAATAAGAGTAAAAATTAAAGGTTACCCAAAGAGTACAAATTAAAGATTGTCTAAAATTTTAAATCTAATAGGCAAATGACTAACGATATTGTCGTCTGTAATTTGTTCGTACTTTTAACTTTAAAAAATTAAAAATAAGAAAAATACATGAAATATTACATTGCATTATTTTTTACTGCTCTAATTAGTTAATACCAATAATTTTTTTTAAATTAAAAAAATTCCAAAAAATCTAAAAAATAAGTCTAAGGTTGAAGCATACATGATTTGTGCTAAAATAAAAATTGTAAATATGTTCATTAAGAAAATGACATCAACTAAATACGACATAAATAAATAATTGGTGCAAATTGGAAAATATTTAAAAATTTTCAAATTAAAAAGCTGTCATTTAATTAACATTCTCATGGAAAAATTTAGAATTGCAAAGAAAAAGTGTAAGATTGAACAAAAAAAACTGTAATATAAAAAAAGCATAAAACTGAATTTAATAAATTTTTTTGTAAAAATCATGCATGAGATATTCACTCTGCGACATTTTCTAAAGCCTTAAATAAAATGAAAACTTTAAAATAATAATTTCAGAATGATGTTATTCAAAGATTTTTACATGTTGTTAAATGGAAATTAAATAGCAATTTAAATAGAAATTATTAAGTACTTGCAAAAAGTGTTGAAATGCAATAATCGAACATTGTGGAATAAATGGAAGCATAAAATATGACAGCGTCTTATTCCTGTAAATTTAATAAAAATTTATTCAAAATTTTAAAATTAATCTAATACAATTATCATTGTTTGTGATGTTTGTTGTTTATACTTTAATTTTCATAAATTATGTCAACATATTCTTCAGTCTGACTGATCGATATTAAGGAAATATCACAATATGCAATCAAAATTGAAAAGTAATATATTCAGTATCCAATTAGTTTTAATCAGTATTTGAAGTATGAGAAAGAAATGAAACATAAAAACATAAAAAAAAACATAAAACGGAATGAACTGATAATAAAAAAATAATTTTTTTCTTATTTCATTTACAGTAAATCAAATTTGATTGATTCGTAATGCTGTGACACAATACGACAATCGTTTCTGATTTTAATTTATTTTATTAATCTTTTTTTTTTATTTTAGAAAGAATGAAATATATATGTTTAGATGTGATTGTGATTAATGAAAGACATGATCATAGCGTTTAATCAAAATTTGTTTACTTTATTTGATTAATTGATCGTTTTTTTAATAGTAATAAAATTTCATCATAATTTTATTATAATTCAAATTTGAAAAGATAAAGTAAAAATAAAAATAAGAATAACACAGGAAATAAAATTTTTAATGTATTAAATATCCAATATAATTATTTTTGACAAAACATTTGAAAAAAAAAAAAGAAAAGAAAAATAACTAACGTAAACTTTTCATTGCCTTTACAACGAAATCGTACAACCATAATAAGTCTCACAATACCACCTTTGATTGAATTTTTTCCATATTCATTACCAATTTCACCATCAACAACAATCATTTCACCTGATAATATCATTTATTACATGGTGTCCAGTTATCAAACAAACGAAATTTCAACTAATAATCATTATTTTATCGGAAAACATTATTTGTTATTGAATGAATGCGCAAAGTTACAGTCAATTTTGTTTTTTTAAGCACTGATAATCATACTGTTATATCATAATCGTATTGTTTTTACTATGATTATTCTGTAATGTGCTAAAATTTATGAATTAACCTGGAACAAACGCTGCTTTTGACATTTTGATAAAAACTTTGATAGAAGATTTATTGAGACAGAGAAGTTTCTTATGAAAATATCGTTCGATGTGAACTGGTATGTGAAATGGCAGATAACGAGTGATATCCATAACTGCGATCACTTTCACTGGGCGCATTTGTATTAACTTCGGTCGATCAGGGATACATAACTTCAATTTGTTTCAGCAATAATAGCAAAATGGATGTAAAATACGGATAATAGTTGTAGTTGAATATATATGATCATTTGTAATATAAAGTATTAATGCTTACTTAAGTATTTCAGTAAATATACAAATTTGAAAAATATGAATATATATATGCATGTATAGATGAATGGTAAAATATTCGAAAAGGAAATTATGCAGTACCAATAATATATTCGAACTTAATTTCATGATCATTTCAACTAGAATCAAAATACCTGAACAGAAAACAAATACCTCAACAGCGATGAAATATTCGATAGAACCATATTTGCCCAAATAACTTCCCGGGCATTCTTGTCCTATTGCTAAATTTGTTTCAGCTGTATGTTTACCAGCTGGTACATAAATTTCACCATTTTCTATAGGCCATTGTCGTGTGAGGGTATCAAATCCGATTTTGAATGCAACAATTTGCCGGAATTCTATCTGATTGGAAATTTTTGTATGAAATTGACCTTTAAAGAAACCGGTCAATGAAGTGATTGGTGTTGAACGGATGAAATTCACTTCCACCAATATTTTCAGTGGCTAAAATGAAAAGATAACAATTAATGCAATGAACTATTTAACTATTTATGGAACTATTAAAAAAAAATATTGCAAATGTTTATCAGTAATTTCTTTATTATAAATATTAAAATCACGCAGTCATCAAAATTGCAACTTGCTTATCACTACTTGATATCCTATCAGTGGCCATATCAGTCTGTCTTTAACTACAGATTCACATCATTCATTAACTTTTGTTTGCAACTTTTATTTATTATTGAAAAGTTGCATGAAAAAAGAATTTGAAATTAATATATTCTGTAAAATAAGTCATTTCAAAATTACATGAACTATCATTTCTGTTTGCCATTTTTTTTCTTCCATTCATCATCAATTAAATTCGATATCATTTCAATTTCGATTTTATTGCTATTATAATTAATTTCGCTTTTTGTTCTTATTTTTTAGCTTTTTATATAAATCACATGAAATCGCATTTTTTCGCATTTTTGCAAAAATTTCTCATACAATATTCATCTGAATTTTTTCTGCTGCACTTCTTTTTTCTTGTTTTTTTGTCTTCTATTTAATTTAATTATCGAACAAAGAACAATTAATTAATCAATATGAAAAAAAAGAATTAAAAGGAGACGAAGTAGAGAGATTTAAAAAAGAGACAAATACCGTTTTTATAAAGAGCTATAATTTTTAATTTTCAAGAAAAGAGAAAAAAGCAAAATAAAGGAAAACAATTTCAATAAAAGATGATTCATAACGCATTTTTTTTAAAAAAAAGATAGCCTACTTTTTTTAAAATAATTTTCTTTTAAATTGATGATTGAAAAATAAAAAATCCTTTTATATGAGTCTAATATTGTATATTTTCCATTAATTCAACAAAAATGAAATATGCATTTGAGATATTTCAAAAGCAAAAAAAAACAAAAAAAAGGAATCATAATTTTAATATTTGCAAAATATTTATTGCTTCATTTTTTTTTTTTTTGTTATAATATGAAACAAAAATATTGCCATAAGTTTAAAAAAATTTAATTTATTAAAGAAAAATTAAGTACTAACAAAATGATAAAGAACAATTGAATGAAATGAATTAATAAATAAGTAAATAAATTAGATAAATAAAAAATAGTAAAGTAAACAAATAAAATTGTAATAAAAAATTAGTTTGCTATTTTCCACAGTATACACAAAATATCGTAATCTTTTCAGAAAAATTTTCAATAATTTCCAAAATTTATTGTAATGTAAATGTCCTTTATCACCTAAATTCTAAGAGTAAACAAAAATGACTGAAAAATTTTTTCATATTTTAAATATTTGATGCAATCTCATTGTTTTAATTATTTTTCCTTCTTTTTTTGTTAATAAAATGAAAAATTTTTTAATGAAACAACCATAAATTGCATTGTTGTTTTTTCAAAAATATATGAATTGTTAATTAGGTAAATCTGACAAAAAATATTTAATAAAAAAAATAATTGAATATTAAATATAAGAATAACTGAAAACAAATAAATGATTATTTAATACGAAATTAGAATAAAAGTTTAAAAAATTATATTACATTTTCATTGATTACTAATGATAAGGAAATTTTTTGCTAATTTTTTTACCTTTTCTCAAATTTGTCATTGTACAGGTTTTGATCTTTTTTTGCGAGTGAATGAATATAATTAATTTTAAATTTCAAATTGTTTAGTTTTGTGAAGTTTTGTTTTTTTTTGTTCGTCAATTCAACTATATATATCAAAATATTAAAAAGATAAATTACAAAATTATGCATCAATAGCTATAGAAGAAAAACATAAAAAGCAGAGAAATAATTAAAATTTATAACTTAAAAAAATAAAAGTACAAAAAGAAAACAAAGAAGAAAAAAGCTTTCCTAAATAATTTTTTAAAAAAAAGTTGAACTGAATATTCCTAATAATATGTATTAAAGATTATGGAGGGAAGAAGTTTGTTATAATTATTAATTTTGAACTGCAATGAATTATTTGTTACATTCAGCATATTAACACTTAAAAAATGGAATGAATGAATGAATTTATTAATTAATTAAATGGACATATTTCAATTCCGAATTTAAATTCCAATAACGAAATAATATGATAAATTAGAGAAAAACCATTTTATTTATTCATCACAAGTCTTGAGTAATCATTCAATGACAATCGCCTTTGGTACCATTCGGTCAAATATATCAGATAATTAAATTTATTTTATCATTTAATGTCATTTAAGGAGTTTTGATAAATTTTTTCTGCAATATATAATATAATAAATAAATAAATAAATATATATATATATCAATCCTGCGAAACAAATGAAAATAAAAAATAATTTTCATTAATCAAAATGAATTTCATTTAAAATTCCAATTGGATAAAAATGCATTTTCACAATTTGATAAATTAAATAAATAAATATTTTTCTTTTACGATTAATAATATTTTGACTAATTAAAATAATTGAATGAAATAGTAAAATTCACAAATAAATTCAACTTTGATTTATATGAAATAGTTCTTTTTCTTGTTGAAATAAAAATGTGACAAATACTTCAATATTTTCTCTTTCAAATATTTTGCAAAAAAATCGAATCTGATTTAATTACGCCAAAGGTTATTCTTTCTATTTATTATTAAATATGGAATGCAATGAATTTATATCATTTCTGATTGGCATCGAAATTTTAATTATAGTAATCTGATACAGTTCAAATTATCTAATTACCTATCTTCTTTTACCTTCATTTGCCAAATATCTTCATTCATTGAAATTTTTAAGTTAATTTAGATTTGCTGCGCAAATAAATAAAAGAAACAGACGACACAATCTGTTGTTTTTTAAAGTGTTTTATAGTATTGAATGTTAAAATGCGAAGAAATCATACAAAGGAATTCATTAAAGTTTGCAATTTTAAGGTTATCTTCCAAGAAATAAAAAGGAAATTGTCAACTACAATTGAAAGTAATAAATCTGAAATTATCAGTGAGAATTTGAAATAATTTTTGCAAAAAAAGCAAAGTAAATGTTACAAGTAAGGGAAGTGATAAGAGCAAAAATTAAATGATAAGGAATTTATCACTTAATATTAGTAAGCTTTTGTTTTTATTTTGAAGAAATACCCGACATTTGTGTTTTCTTTATTTGTTATTTAATTTTTTATGCGAAATACTTGAAAATTATTCATTAAGGGAAAAATTTGAATAACTTTAATGATAGCAATATTAAGCATGCAGTTGTCTAAATTATTAGCAAACATGCAATATTAGCATATTTTGTAATGTGATAAAAAGAATAATAATAATGGATTACTTAAGAATTAAAAGTAATATAATTATAGCATTTTATTTTCAAGTGAGAAAGGTACGAATATTTCATTTAAACAAAACATTGAAGTTAGAATACTGAAAATTGTTACTGGTTATTATTATTATTATTGTTATTGATGAATACAATTTAAAATGATAATATCTTAAAGTGATAATGACACAAAGTGATAATATATTTATCAATATTTCCAGTATTGGACAAATATTTAACTTACCTGTCCAACGTAAATCCTTTCTTGACATAAAATATGCAACAACGATTGCTCCTTCTTCATAACTATTAGTGAACTGCGCTTCAAACCGCTCCTTTCTTCGTTTCTCTTCTCATTTCTTTCACATACCTTTATCACACCTTATCTTTTTCAAATTTTAACAAAGCATTCTTGTTGAGAGCACTCTTCAAATAAAATTAAAACTTTAAATACTCCAAATCAGACGTATATGCATGCATGCATGCACACATGCGCGCAACACACACACACACGCATATGAACATAGTTGAAGAATGTAGTATTTAGTTGGTACCTGTTTCCATTGTGGGAGTTACCCGGAATTAATAACAGTTACCCATTTTGTCCTTTTTATGCCACATCCTATTTACCTCATTTGTCTTTTTATAATAACCAAATACCAATAATATATAAAAAAGTTAAATATCAGGTTAGCATGTCTATTTAAACTTATTTTTACAGATAAACTACCACTATAGTTATGATATTATTGATAACTGCCTAAAGTATAATTGATTATGAATGTAAACACTAAATTAATTTAACTAATATTCAAAAGTTTATCATACAAAAATAAAAACAAGAAAAATACGAAAGGAAAAAAAGAAATTGAGTTCCTCGCTTAAAATGGATTTTTCGAATTTAAATTTTATGAATTTAGCATCAGTGGTCATTTTTAATTGATTTGAATGAAATTTTTGCAGTAAATTTTTTTTTATAAAAATCATCGCTTAAACTCAAAATAAACCCAATATTTGGAAACCGATTAATATATTTTTTAAAAAAGTGGAAGTTAATGCTTACTAGCATTTGTTTTATTTTATGCAATAAATCATAGCATATAATTTAGAAATGAACAAAAGCTTTTAAACTGTTCATTTTTTTATTTTTACAAACGTGAAAATAAAAAAAAAAAATGAAAAAAAAATCCGCTTGCCATTGCTTAATTAATTTAAATATTTTTTTCTTTTTTTTTCCACAGAATTAAACAATTTCATTGTGTTCATTTCACACACACACACACAATCTACTGATTCATTCATTTTACATTTTGTCAGATAATTATACCATCAAAACTTAAAATTAGTTTTTAAATGGTTTAGTTTTTTCATTGCTTTCCTTAAATTCAAAAAATAAAATTATAACTTCACTCTACGCATGGCTATTATTCGAAATCTTATGTGCAAGTGTGAACTTCAATTTTCAATTTTATTTTAACCTAATATTTCAAAATATATTTTAACAATACAACTAATTACTGGAAAATAATAAGAAATCGTTTTTTGGCTTTGTTTAATTAATTAGTAAAGAGAAACATTCTGGTTGAGTGCACAATATACATTCAATACATTATTTTAAATTTTCTGCCACATTTACATCACAAATGATAATGGAAATAAATGTTTTTCTCAATTTGCAAATATTTGAACGGTTAAAAAATATTGAAAAGTATCAAAGTTCATTAAAATGTTTCAAAATTAATGCAATAGAAGAGGAGTGAGAGATAATAATTACATTGAAAAATTTTTTCAACAATTAAAAGTAAAAAAAAAAAAAAAAAGACAAAGTTAATTTAAATTACATCAACACATTTTTTCATCAGAGAAATAGCTCGTACTAATACAGCTACGACAACAAGAAGATAAGCAATAACAACAGCAGCAGTAACAACAACAATAGCAGTAGTAACATCAACAGCAACGACAATAATAACAACAACTGCAATAGAGATAAAAATGCATTTTGCTTGGGAAGTTAATAAGTGATAAGCAATTATGATAATTAAACTGCTTCTGTTGTTGTATATATAACTCTCCGAACAACAATAACTAAATTAGCAACAACAATAACACGGATAACAACTATAAAGGGAAACAATAGCAGCATCAATGACATTTTTCGTTTTCCTTTTTTCGACATCAATTAAAAGTCATTTAACAATGATCGGATAAAAGCAATGAAAAAATCAATAAAATCAATAAAAAGTTATTTAACAGCGATCAGATAAAATGCAATAAAATCAGTTTTATCCTAAATCTGAAATGAACTTAATTAATGAGAAAATTATTAAAAAATTAATTATGAAAAAGTAATTATGATTTTAAGCATTTGTCGTTCTACTTTTCTCACTATCTATTTTGTAATAATTATTTGGTTAAACATCCATTTTTATAATTAGCAGTGTATACACTTTACGATTTCATTTGATTCAAATTGAACTTTCAAATATGAATTGAATTTTGTGAATTAACCTGACATCCTAGGCTTTATTATTTATATATTTCCAATGAGACTGTGATTTTTTTAAATTAATGTTCCCTTTTGATTTCCACCTATAAATCTTGCACCAACTAGATTAACCGGAATTTTCCAAAGGCGACAAATGTCTTTTGTTCTGGTTCCCGCTTTACAGAATAAGTTCGTTATGCTTTTCATCATGTTATAGAAAATTCTGGATTCTTGATCTCATCAGTATTGACATTTTTTCATTATTGTTTGCTGCCAATATTGCAAACATATTTGCTTGGAGAACGGTAGGCTCAGTTTTTGAGAAATACTTATTTAAATTATTGATTTTCCGAAACAATTTTTTACCTATTTGTGTGTTTCATTTTCAAAAATTCAAACTTTTGTTTATCACACGTCGCAATCTTATAGCATAGCCTGTTTATTTTAAATTTTATTCCTATTTATAATACAATTCGCTCACGTTCAAATGCATTTTTTTTTTTCAAATGTTCAAATGCTCTTCCGTTTTTATACGTTTGAAATTGACGGAAATCCTTAAATTTGCGTTCAATTTACTAAAAAACTAGCATTTCAGAAATTTAAAATTATGCTATTTTTAAATTTCACAAATTTATCTTTTAATTTTGCTGTTGCCTTTTTTTTCAAAATGCTTACCATTTATTCTTTTTTAACTGCTTGTAACAAATGAATAAGTATTTTAAAAATAATTCCATAATAAATGAAATGGGTGATCATAAAGAAATGCTTATATTGCTTGGAATATATTAATGGAAGTACTTTGAAGTGAAAATGGTATTTCAAATTAAAGAAAGAAGAGAAGTAAATTTTTTCAGAAGTTTTTTTTTTCAACTAAAACAAGTTTTCAAAATTAATTTTAAAATTTTGGGTAGTTTGTTTTTTGTAGAGATTGATTTTAATACGCTTCATAATTGTATCATTTTATTGCTTTCAAATTGTATTTACTGAAATGAAAAATTAATTTGCATTACGAAAAAATTACAAACAGGCAAATATAATTTTGCATTCTACAAGCAATCGATTTAAATTTTATTGAATTTGTGAATAAATATGAGAAAAGATTTAGCATAAACATTATTCGTTCTTTTGACATTCATTGAAGTCAAGAAAAGAATTTTCAAATTTTCCGCAAGAAATATTTGCATTTTTAAAATTTTCTCTCATTTTTGCCTAACATTTAAAGCTAAACCAACTATTATTAATCTTTTGTTAAAAAAAAGGAAAAAAAAAGAAATTATAATGTTTTAATTTATTTAAATAAGTGCAAATTATGCAATGAGATTTTCCAGTCCATCCAATTTCTGTGTCTTCCGAAGTCATCAATCCGGAAAATATAAGCAGAAAGGATGAAGTGAAGTAAATGAAAGAGATAATTTGAATTGAAATCAAAAAATTTAATAGTTAAAAAATAAACAGTAAATTTCAAATGTATCAACTTTCTTTTGTTTAGTTTGTTTAGATATTTCAAGCGAAAAAAAGTTGAAATTGCAATAAAATAACAGAAAAATTATAGCAATGAAAGAGAGAGAGACACACAGATAAGGAAAGGTGCATGTAAGTGTAGTTAGTATGATGAGTTAAGGTTTTAGTTATTAATGGAAAGTAAACATTTTGTTTCATTTCAAAAGAATCAATTAATATTACTTAGAAAAATGAATTGTAATTAAATCAAAGCAAAAAAAGGAGTCATAATTAAATCAAACAATACATACGGATAACAATAAACAACAACAATGGTAAACAATTACAGCAAGAACAACGACAACAATAACCATAATAATGATAAAACGACAAAAAAAAAAAAACGGTAACAACGATAATAAAAAAAGCAATAACAATAATAATAATAATAATGATAGAAAAAATTACAATAAAAGAAATATTAATAGCAATAATAATCTTTAGTAATTGATAAAAAATATTGCAATTTTTTTTTTTTTTTTTAATTTTTCAAATTTAAAATTATTCTTTCGTTGTATAAATTTACTTTTCAATTATAAGTGGCAATAAAAAATTTGTTCAAACATTGATTTCGATAACAATAATAATAACTCGTTCCCCTTCAATCATTCAATTTTCAATTATCCAATTGATATGACTAAAGGAAAACCTATCCATCATTCGATGTCTCAATTAAACTACTTCTTGCGCTAATTAAAATTGTAATAATTCAATTGGTAATATTAATAATTTGATATATATGACATTCGAGAAGTTTTATCCTTTGATTTGACAACTTTTAAAATAGATAATTAAAAAGAAAAAACATACTGCAACCTTTTGCCTTTTATTTCATGTTTGATTATTTTATTTACGTCATTAAAAGCAGTTGTAAAGTAAATGAAGTCTATCACTTTAAAATTCTGAAGCAAAAAATAAACAAGCAGTAAATCAAAATGATAGAATAAAAAAAAGAAGAAAATAAAATAATGAAAGTTTTTTAATACATAGAAAAAGTCATTTTTTCGTTTTTTTTTTTTTTCTAGCTGCAATTTATTTGCTTAGTATTTTAAAAAAATCTCATAATTTACGTGATGTGCACATTGTCGATTTTTCTTTTTTAAACATATTTCAAATATAAAAATAATATTAATGAAATTGTCAAATTTAAATGGAAAAAAATTAATTGCAATAAATTTTAGAAGATCTCAAAAAAGAAAATGTTTGTGTTGATAGTGATTGATGATAATATTATTTGTTTGAATTTATTTATTTAATTCTAATAGTTTTATATAAAATATATTTAATATATAATTCATGATAATGATAGTGACAATTACGATAATGGTAATTTGTAATGTAAAATTTTTACAAATTTCAAAATATAAATACGAAAATTATTCTATGCACTTGCTATTTTTTCCAATTACTTTTAAATTAATATTATAATTTTTTATATCAATATTATTTAATTCCATTTGTTTATTGATAATATATTTAGTTACATTGATTTGTAATATATTAATAACATTTACTTTAATTTTTATTGATAATCTGTTTATTTACTTTGATTTGTTAGCTAATAATAATACTATTTACTTTGATTTGTTTATTTAAATTTGACAGGTCTCTTCTTCATTTCATCATTACAAACTGTGTGTATATTAATAGTATTATTATTTATTAACTGTATGAAATGCAATTATTGTTAAGAGATGATTAATCAATTATTAATTAATAATCATAATTAATATAAAATAGTTATTACAATTAAATGTTTCATCCAACAACAATTACTATTATTAAGTAAATTATGTTGCTAAATGTTGTTACTATCAAATGAACTAAATAAGCAAGAGCTAATAAGTAACTAACTGTCTCTCATTGATTTGTCTATTTTGGACAAAGAAAGGAATCTTTGTCTTATTGTTTTCATAAGCTCAGCAATAGCAAATATGCATCAAAAAAGCTTTTCGAAGTTTGATTCATACTTTTTTTTTTTACAGACTCTTTCCAATCATTCCAAAATTGATATTATCATCATTATTCTCATTATTAACATTATTATTGGTATTATTTATCATTGTTATTCATTTATTTATTACTATTATTTGCTATTGCTATTTTTTATATCGCAATTACTATTGTTTATTTCATTATTGTTATTATTATTGTTTATTATTATCATTGTTATAACTGTTATTATAATTATTACTACCACTATTATCATTATTGCTATTAATATAATAATAATTATTATTATTACTATATTATTAAAAAATGTTATCATTATTATCATTACTTATCACTATTAACTAACCCTAGCACTCCCTCCTACCACAGCTATGACTAGTTAGGAGAGAGAGTACATTTTTTCTTTCTTTGTTCAAGTTTTGTTTAACAAAAAGGAGAAAAAGGATCCAAAAAGGGTCATAGATGAAGAGAGTACATTTTGGCTATAAAGCCTTTCAAGCTTTAGCTTCATTTTTGGATGTTTTCAAAGCGCATTCATTCATCCATCCACCGACATTTCACGTTTATATATATATATGTGTGTGTGTGTTTATGTATATTTGCATCTAAATGACAACATTTTTGTCACATTAATGTTTATTTCTGTTTTAGCTATCTGTTGAATAGAACTTTATTAGTTCATTCATTTCTTCTTTTCTTTTCTTTCGTTTTTTTTTTTGCTGTTAAATTTTCTTGATATTTCAGTCTTTAGAAACTATTAAACTGATAAATTCGTTTTGAAAAAGATGTTCATTGATTGATTACTTATAGGACTAAGAAAAAGAAAACGTATTCATTTAATTTTTAAGCAACATTTTTAAAATTGATCGAATTATTTTCAAGAGTTTCAATTCGGAATTGGTTAAGAATTACATTGAAAGTGCTGCTGACTCATCAATTCAAATGGATGATCACTTATGCAATAATAACACTGGTTAGCTTTAATATTTTGAATTCCCATTTTTTAAAATAAATTTTTAGTAAAAATTTTAGGCTATGAGAGAAAATATAGAAGTGCTGTTGAAATGTCTGTATTAGTAAATGATGATGATTTGATTCAGAGTAACAGCTGTAGCATTGTTTGGCATTTATAAACTAACTTTTCTTCTCTAGCTGCAATAATGAAGGCGAAAAAGATAATTTGTGTAATAACTCATAGTGTTTTTTAAATTTTTACTTTAAAATTATCGTCATATTCATCCAGAAATATGTCTTTATTTATTAGTGAAACGTAAATTTCACTTTTTGAATTGATCGATAAGTGAAGGTAGAGATAAAAAATGTTGATGATCCTGTTGCTGATATTGATGATAATGATGTCAATGATTTTATCATGTTAGTGACGATGATTTTGATAAGGTTGTCGGTAATAGTAATAATAATGATGGTGATAATGAATTAGCGATGCTGTTAATGATGATGGTCCATTGGCAATAATGCGAATGTTAATGGTGGTGATGATGCGGTGATGGTGGTAATGAGAATGATAGTGTTACTAATAATGATAGTACTATTGCTGGTGATAATGATAAGGGTTATGGTAGGTGTTGCTAGGTGATTACGATGCTGGCAATGCTTTCATATTATTAAAGATGGTGATTTCTATTGTTAAAATTAAAATTTGCAGTAAATATGGTTTAATCATTATACTAATCAACTGACTAATATGTGATAATTTTATTTTTTATTTTTTGAAATTATCCAGGAATATTAGAAATGAAAGTATGGAAATGACAGTTTCATATTCTTTCATATCATAGCAATAACTTATTAGCTAAAAGATTTGAATAAATTTGTTTCAATTCGTCATTCTAATTAATGAAATTGGCATGATTTTCGTGAATTTTCTATGTTTTATCGAAATCATTTCAAATGTTTGAATTAATAACAATGACTGTTAATATAAAAAGATTATGCTTACTGCTTATAGGAATAATTTTTGATGGAGTAACTTTCCAAACTTTTGAAAGCATAAATTAATCTTCTAACTTGCTAGATATACCTACAGCTTTAACTATTATCATCACTATATCAAGAAGAAGAATTGCTTTTTCGACTTTACACTATCTGAGATATTGATAACAATGATAAGCAATTGTTTATATCAACGAGAATTGCAAAACTGAAATTAAGATTTGATAATTAATAATAAATTCATAACGTTTTGAATGTTGTAAAAGCAAGCATCATTATATAAATCTATCCGATTATAATAAATATTTTACTATTTGTAATTGTTTTGTTGTCTACATTAGCAAATTTAAAATTTGAATTAAAACTATTCTGTTTTTAATGTCATCTCAGTTTTTCTTACCAATTGATTTTCTTCCTCCATTTTTTTCTTTTAATATTACTTGGATTATTCTACTTATAAATACTCATTGAAAAATTTTCGAGAAATTAATGACAGCATAGGTTGTAATCTTTACAAATTTTCTAACATTTGTTTTTAGCACTAACAGCAAATGTTATTGTAGTAAGTAAGTAATTAAAATAGTGAATTACTTGGTGCATTGTTGCTAAAATAAAATAAATTAAAAATTGTGAAATGATCCTTAGTGGCCTTAAATTTTATGACTCATTTGAGCATTTAGATTTAAACGGAACAGATGTTTTCAACATGTCATGTTGCATCCAAAAAAGAAGTACCAACAGGTGTCAAGATATTATTCGGACATTTTACTTTACATTTATGAACAAAATTAAATGATATTTCGAAAACTTTTCCGCCTGTTTCTAATTTTATCGTCTTCATATTCTAGTCTAATTAACATTTTTGTGTAATCATTATTAGCCTAGTATTATATGATGTCATAGTTATTCTTATTCGTTACAAACTAATCAACTTTCATAAGATATTACAGTTATTCTTAATCTCTTTGCAAATTAACTATCCACAAGATATTATATATTTTCAATGTTTACTTGCCAAGTATCACAAGATCTTCAAGTTATTTTAATCTTCACTACACAAATATCAAATATCACAATCATTTTTATCAATTTTTTGCATAAAATAAAGTTATCAATAATTTAAGAAAATTTCATTCTTATTTTATTCAAAGGTTTATGTTAATATATAAAGGTAAGAGAAATGAATAGATTACATTATTCTTTAGCATTTCAATGTTTTACAAAGGTCACTGAAGCGTTAATGTTATACGCATAATCACTTCATCACAAAGAAAAACGAAAAAAAATTGATTTTATGAAATTGCTTTTCGAAATTTGCTAACTTCTTTAGTAATCACTTATAGTGAAATTATTACTATGTAATATATTTTGACTTATTTCTCCTTCTCTCTCTTTCTTTCTCTCCTTATGTTTTTTTTTATTTTTCTGTTTTTTTTTAAACAGAAAAAAAAAGGAAAAATTAAAAAATCATATTTTTAAAGTTATAGCTAACTATCACTATTTATTTTAATTAACTTTAGTAATTTGATTCAGTGGTCATTCTTAATGCTTTGAGATAACTAACCATTACTTTAACAAGATTTAAGTAATTCGATCTAAAGGTCACTCTAAAGATAAAGTTAAGATGGCTAATCCAACTTGCAAAGAAAATAATTGAAAAAGAATTTTCATCACTTCAGAGAGAATATTTCCTTCTCTCTTTACCTTCTTTCCTTTTAATATTATTGATATATTCATACCTTCCTTCCTCCTTTCTTTCATTTTCTTCTTCCTTTCCTTCCTTCCTTCCTTCCCTCTTTCTTTCTTTCTCTCTTTATATATGTAAAATTTATTTATACTTTATTACTTTTTAACTTTAATTTTTTTATCAGGCTATTTCGAATTCATTCAATTTTTTTTAATAGAATTAAATTGCTTTCTATTCTTTTGCACTTTTGTTTCTTTTCTTCTTGACCAATTTTTTTGTGTATTTTGTTTTTTTTCAAAGAAAGGAAAAAAAAATTCTGTTTTTTTATTATTGAATTTAGAACTATCTAATGTAATCTTTAATTCCTAATTATTAAATTTAAAAAATGATAACATTCTTTAATGCATTATTTGTTTGTGTTACGTTTTTAAACTAATGGATTATTTGAGAATAGAAAAAAAAAGAATGAATTAGATAATGTGCGTTCAGTAATTTTTTTATTTTAGGTGTAAATCAAGAACGTATTTGGCAGTTACTGCAAGAATTACGTCAACGTAAAAATAACGACGCAGTGAAGGAAGATATACGTATACTTAGACGTGTCCTTCAGGATCTCAATTTTCAACGGCAAAATTATAAGGCTATTTTTCATTGATTGTATTTCATCAAATTAAATTATATTTTTCCTCTTTCTATTGTTTATCATTCCTTTTCGTATTGTTTTACATTAAATGAAATATTATCAGACTATTATCAGATCATTATCTTCCATCTACTTTTCTTAAATAATTTCTGAACACTTTTTCTTAATAATACATATATCATACATGGACGTGACGTTTTCCAATTATTTTCACTTTAATCATGCAGTGATAACGCTGAAATACACGGATGAAAAAAAAAGTTAAAGTAAAACAATAATAATGAGCTTCTTTCTTAACAGTAATAGTAATAATGATATCAATAATAATAATAATAATAATAATAATAATAATAATAATAACAATAATAGTATTAATAATATAGTATAATAATAATGATAGCAATAATACTAATATTATAATAATAATAATAATAATAATAAAGATAATGAATAATAATAGCGGTAATATTATTCTAATAATAAATATTGTAAATAGTAATAGATAATAATTACATGACGATAGTGATAGTGATAACAATAGTAATTACGATGGTAGTGTTAATGATGATAGTGGTAATTATGATAGTGTTAATGATGATGACGAGAGTGGTGGTGATAATGCCTAATCTTTAGGTCTGTCTAATAAACATTTAGTGACAAATGTTTGATTATTGCTTATTTTTCTCATAGAATTTCCATTCAGATTGCACCACAAATTATCAATTCTGTAATTTTTGATCAGATTTTTTTCTTTTTTGTGAAATTTCCAGCAAAAGTTTTGTTTTTGAAAGGGATGAAAACAGAGAAAAAGGAGTGGAAAAAGAGGAAGAAATTCGAAATGAGAATTAAAGGAGGAAATGTTTGATAAAGTAATATTGAAAAATTGGTATTAAATGAAATTAAATTTCCAATGTTAAAATGAAATATTTAAGGAAATTTAATTGCATCAGAATTATTGTCATATGATAAAAATATATTTGAAATGATGAGAATATTATTTTTCACTTTTTGTAAATATAATTTTTTTTTCTTTTTTTTGCAGAATTTATCAAATTTATTTCCTGAAAAAAGTGATCATAAACCTTTAAATTGTCAAACTGTATCATTATCTAATAAATTATTCAAAGTGAAAATTTCAGGTAAGACTTAAATTTGTTTTCTCTTTTTTTTCCAGTTGCTTTGTGAAGAATTTTTGATTTTATTATTTCATATTCAAAGAATTTTTCCCTAAAGGATATTTCCAAAAAAAGCGCATTTGTCCCATTTCAACAAGTTAGCTCTCACACTTTATCATTCTATTTTTCCCATGATGACTTATATTTCATTGATTTGTATTGCAGTTGACAATGCATTAAAATTGAATTCAAAATTTCGCAGCCTTCTCAAGTATCTAGAAAGTGTGTTGCTACCTCGTATAAAACAAACAGAGGTTTTTATGATTTTTATTTCAATTTTAAATTTTAATTTCTTTTTCATAGCAAAATAAATTTTATATCGAAATATTGAAAATGTAAGGAAGTATATATGAATGCATGAGATATCTATAAGTATAAGGGAAATTTTAAAAAAAAATGCGTACTTTATTCGGCAAAAAAAAAAAAGCAATGAAGATATTACTGAAAATATTGAATGGTTGACTGCTGCAGTAAGGACAGAAAAAAATGGAAAACCTATTTATACCTGAAAAATTACATAAATGCTTTTATCAGTTTTAATTCTTTTTTTTTTTTTTTCTCAAATTTTTTTAGAAGCTAATATTTGTTGGACAAGAAACGCAAGAAATTCGTCACTTAATAGTGAAACCTAACGCTAGTGGAGAACGACTAATTATTGCTGGGCCAAAGGATATAAAAACGAAGTAAGTATATGATATGAGAATGATGTATTCTTCAACAATTCAAAATATTTTGACTAAATTAGAAGAAATAATTGGCCAAATAGATTAAATAGATATAATTTAAGCCATTAAAAGTATCATTGAAATGATACTTTTAAGGCTCTTTTTCGAATTTTTTGAAAAAATTTCTTTAATTAATAACGTTTATAAATTATTTTTTATTCGTCATTCATTTCAATTCATTTCTTTCTTTTTCCTCTCTTTTTTTAAATTTTTATTCAATGCAAATTTTGATTTAATTTAAGCAAAGCAATACAATCCATGTAAACTGAAATAGTCGTAGTGTTAAAATGAAATTAAATTATGGCTTTGTCAAAATCAACTTCACTTTAACATTCCATCAATTAATTTTATTTAGCTTTCAAATCTACTCTTGAACTCATCATCAGTTTTCATTCTTACTTTTAGCGCATTCTTTTGCTACTTAAGTAAACTTGAAGTTTTTTAGGAATTCTGTTTTTCGTGTTTTGGCTTTATTCTTATTGTCTTTTTTTTTCTTAAGCAATAAAATATAAACTAAAATTATATGAATAAATAATTGCTTATAGAGTAAGTTGACTTAAAAATGCGCGAAATGATTGATTGCATTTAAAAAATGGTATTTAAAAAAGTTATGGCATAAAAAAAATTTTTTAAATTTATTTTTTTATGTCAAAAAAAAGTGCTCCTCTTCTTTACTTCAAACTTAAAATTTTTTATTTCATTGGAAAAAAATTTCTTTTATAAATAAACTTCATCTTTCATTTTTTTTGATTAAAAGCTTATAGCGTTTTTATCATTCAATCGATGATTTTTTTTTCATGAGAAAAGACTCTACTTCGACTTAAAAATTGAAACTTTCTCATTATATCTTTAAATAAAAAGTTGATTAATTGTCTTCCAATTTTTCATATTGAAATTATTGGCGATTACTGATTACTAATAAAGTAAATTTGCACCACTGTTTAAGTTATGTTTCACAAATAATGAATGACTGAATGCTTCTACTTCTATCTTCTTATCATTGGATATCACTACGTTCAATTTGCTATACAATATTATAAAATTTAAATGATAAAATTTTTTTTATTAAAAAACAATTCAATGATAATATCATGTATGCTATGATAATAATATTATTAATATAGTACAGAATATTGTTGTCGAATTCTAAGCTTTGAATTTTTGTTAAAAATTGCTACTGTTTTATAGAATTGAATTTTTATAATTTGATATCATTTGAATAATTCATTCAAATAATAAAATAATACAATTTGATATTATATATTTTCATCCCACAACAAAAAAGGAATAATTGTTATTAAAATTTGTCTTATGGGTTAATTTTGAACTATAATCCATGTAATATGTACATTTTCATTTGAATGAACTAGCGATAAGCTTATTATCCATCACTTATATTTAGGCTATGGCTATCATTCATTCTTCTAGAGAAATTATTTGGACCATATGCTAAAATATACTTTGATGGAATATTCTTGCTTATGACAATTGTCAAGCAACTCAAATGCATTTCTCTTATTATCAATATTTAGCAGCCAAGGTAAACCATTCGTAAAATCTATTTTCTAATTATTTCTTATTTCAATTTTTGTTTTTTTTTTCTCTCTCTCTTTTCTCTCTCTTTCACTCTCTTCTGCTTTCTTTAAATTATCATATTTCTTGATGAGATTTTTTTCGTTTTTGATGAATAACTATTTTCTTCTTTCTTATTATTATCTATCCATATATATATTTTAAAGTTTTAATACTGATTGATGAAATATATTTAATAAGAATTTTTTTATCAGTATTCAATATGAATTTTATCAGCATTATTATTAATATTATTATCAGTATTATTAATTATTGTTAATTATTACTACATTTTAATTATTATTGCTATAGGTACTCTATTTTTTCCTTCTTCACACTACCATTATTAGCTAAATTAGCAAATATCATTTTTTTTAGAGAAAAAAAATGAAATAAAGTAATAGAATTATTTCACCATTCAATTTTCAAAAAACTTAAACAATTAAGAAATGCAATAAATATAATTAAAAAAAAGAAATGTAAATAACAAAAGTGTTTTAATTATATTTAAATAATGTAAAAAAAAAAAAAGAGAATAAAATCATTTAGATATTCCATTCCTGTAATAAAATTTTCATTTCTTTAAAATTTCACTTTTTCTTTCAGCATTCTTCATTATCTTTGCTTTTTTTCTTTTTCCTTCTTCCTTTCCTTCTTTTTTTCTCTCTCCCTCTCTCTACCTATACATATATATAAGAAAATGTAATTATTTTGTCCGATTTCATCCACTTCTCATAGCTTACAATAAGTTTCAATTTCAATGTAAAAGCTTCTATTATTGTAATTTGATTTTCTTAGGAAATTAATTAATATAAAATATTAAATTTTCCTATACAAAATAAACTATTTTAATTTGTAATTATTAAAAGCATTTTTTTATTACAATTTAAATATTGTTACCCATTAATTAACACTTATCCTAATTATAACTGTTATTAAATGTTATTGATAAAACATATGCTCAGTCGTTTATTCTAATATTATAAATTTAAGCTTAGTTATCTGAATTTTTTTAAATGATTCATTATAATTTTAAAATTTTGGTGAATTCTAACCTTTCTTTTATGCATTTTAAGAGTAAGAATTTCTTAATTGCCAATGAAATAAGAATTATTCCCTTTAAATATTAGCATCACCTACTCTCTCTCTCTCTCTCTCTCGATTTGTCTTTCCCTCTCTTTATGTCCTCTTTCTATTTGATATATTTTGTCTAATGCTATAATGTTTAGGAAGTAATTAAGGCTGTTGGATGTTGAAATAAATAGTCGTAGAAAATTGTCGTTTATACTCTTAGCTATTATCCTGTTTATAGATCTTATATGCATAGCTAAGTTTTTTTTTTTTTTTCTTTTTTTGTTTTATCATCTATAAGAATATTGATTTAATTAATATTATCGATAAGAGAAATAATTATTTACTGAAATAATCATTGGATCATTCGTCCGACTGATCCAATTAATTAATGTTTAGAAAAAGAAAAATTGATAAGTTTACCCTTATATACATAAATATATGCATATGTATCAAATCTTGCATATTTTCATTGAAACAAATAAGCTTATAGATAAGATAACACTCTTTAGATTAAGTTCTTAATTATTATATAAAACTGTTAATAAATGAAATTTGCCATTAAAATTGAAAAAAAAAAAAAAAAAACATCATTATTAATTCTGGACAAATGCGCCATTACTACATAATTATCTATTTCAATCAAAAATCTTAATAATAAACAAAATAAAATGCGATAGGCTTATTTGAAATGTTGCCATTTCTTTTATAGCTTCATTAATGATGAAGTGCTGATCGATTGTTGTTAGCCTTATAAGCTAGCACAGATGCGCCGCATGCCTAGGTCACACATACCTTTGCATAAACAATACATATTGCTTAACTGAAGGGAACTAAAAAAGTGCCAAGTTTCAATTTAATTTAATTTAAATTAAAGCCTTTTAGCTCCAATATATATTTTTTTCCTTACGTACGCATATTTGTTTTATTTTCTAAGAAAATATTAAAATATTTTTTTTTTTTACTTGCATCCTTTTTTCTATTTTTTTTAATATTTATTTTTTTTTAATACAAAATATTAAAATTATATTTGAAATGTATAATGTATTAATTATTCATTATGTGATAAAAGAAATGCAAATAGTCTAGGTAATATATTCATTTGATAAAAAAGTTTATTTGAATATTTAATTTAATAAATTTTTAAAACAATGCTAGTTATGTTTTGTTTTGTTTTTTTTTCTCCCTTGTTTTTTACTTTATTTAAATTTTAACAAAAATTTAAATTCTTTTTCTCTCTCTTTTTTTTAATTGACAAAGAGAAAAGAAAAAATGAAAAAGTCAAAAATGATGGGATTAAAACAAGCAAGCAATTTTTTGCATAGCTTATCAAATTTTTTTATGCAGAAATTTTGATAAAATATTGATGAGATGATATTTTTATAAAAGTTAAATAATAATAATAATAATTAATCTAGTAAATATCATTCATATTTTAGCATTATTTTCACTTTCGTGTTATCATATCTTCTTTCTTGATTAAGTAATTTGAAATGATAAACTAATATGGAGACCTTAAGAAAAAATTATTTATTGAAATCTATCAGTTATGTATTAATTAGCACATCACATGCATTAACAAATTTACGTAATATTAGACAATTAAAAATTTTAAATGAATGAATTTTCATACCTAATAGAATAGTTATTAGAAGTTTGCAAAAATTCTTCTAAAATTTTACAATTTAATTGTCATAAATGAAAAAATTTGCACAAGTTTTCCTAGATATACTTTGAATAATATAATCAAAATGTATCAAAATTGTATGCAAATTGATTTCATTGCTAATTAATATTAAATAAGTTAATATTGCTTGTAAAGATTTATTTTTAAATATTTTGATTTTAACTCTTCGTGAATTATTCATTTACCTTCTTAATATTTATTTATTTTGATTTGTTTAATTAGTAATTTTATTATTATTAATGTACTGAAACTTTCGTTGTGTTTTTTTTTTTTCTAAGTCTTGTTTAAATTTAAAAATTTGCAAATTTTGTTTATGTTTCAGAATGCAACAGTTTTGTTTACTTTTCATTTTATCATTTGTTTACTATTATGATACCTAGAAAGGATTTAACATAATTAAAATAAATCATTTAACCGAATGAAATAATAATTGAACAACAATTTACAGGTCCGGTAATCGGATTCATATTGGTGATCAAATTCTAGCACTCAATCAGTATCTTCTTCATACTGTATCATCAACCGGAAAATCTCATACGGATCCTGTTCACTCAATTACTTTTACACAGTATAGTGATGTAAGTGTTTAAAAAAATTGAACTTCGCAAAAATTTTACAAGTAGATTAGCAAAGTATTATACTTAATTTTTATTTTAAATTGACTAAAATAAAGAAAAGCATAAAAGAAAACACTAAGAACTAATTAATTAATTAATTAATTATTCATGATCTTATTAAATATATATTTTTTTCTTTTATCAGTTTAATTTCAATCATTCATAACGTTATCTAAGCAGTTTTCTTCTTGAAGGTATCACTAAAAATAAGAATCATCTTTAGACATTTTTTTCAACTTTTAACTTAGTCTTTGAAAGGGATGAAATTGCGGATGAAATTGCATATATTTCTTTAATTATCAAAATAATGTCATCTTTCTGTTAAGCTCTTGGGATTCATTAATTATAATCATTGTTTATTTTGTTTTACTTATAATAACAAATATCAAAAAGTTTCTTCATAAATAAAGTAATATTATTATGATAGCATATCATATTGAATAACTTAATTAAACTTGATCTCGGAGTAAGATACATAACCAATCGTTATGCTAATATTTAGATGAATAATAAAAAATTTTCATCTTCAATTTTAAAAACAGATCTAAAATTAGTATCAGTTATTATATTTGATATTTTTGCACAAAGAAGGGAAAAGAAATTAAATAATTTGTTACTTTAATATTATTCAGTTAATTATAAGCAATTATTCCACCTACAATGTATAATTAATCAAAATGATCAATTATAGATATGAAAATGACTAATCAAATTTATTTGTTGTAGGTTAATTAATTTGAAAGAAAGCATCGTAAAGTGAAATTTATTCTATATTATTCTACAAAATTTTCATGAAATAACATTGATTTGTTATCTTTTTTTTCTTAATTAAATTTAGGTATCAAATGAATGTTCCAAGATAAATTCATGCAACACTAAGGATTATCGGTTAGCAGGAAGACAGAGCAGTGATGACAATGTTAAGAAGAAACAACGAAAACAATCAAAGTCATCATCATTAAATTGCTCAAAGTTTACGAGTAATAAGACGAGAAATAAGAGAGTAAAACAAAATGAAGCAGATGAAAGATCAACAACTGCGTTAAACTTAATCTTAACTCAAACAAATGATGATGATGATGATGATAACGATGATAATGATAATAATAACGGTGATGATGATGATGATCGTGAAATGCTTAACCAGGATGCAATATGGAAATTTGATAGTGAGAACGTTGCAGCGGTGTTGTCACCATCTTTCACTTCTTCAACAGCAATAATTGATCGATACGAAAAACTTATTGAAATTTTTGATAGTGATAAGGTGTACGGTGATAAATCAAATAATTATACAAAATCAATTATTATTGTCACATTGTTGCGTCAATCACCGCAAATGGTCGTACGTTTTTTTTTTTTTTTTCTAATTTTATTGTATATAAAAAAAAAATGAAAAAATTATATATAATTTATTTAATTATTACATAAAATTTTCATGTGCTTTTTATTTATATTTACATTTATAGAGGTTATAATGTAATAAATTTATTTTGTATATTTTGAATTATTTTTTTTTTATAAAAGGAAGAGATTTATCAGTTTAAAATAAATTATTCATTGATTAATTTGAATTGGTATTTTTGAGTATTTGATTTTATATATTTTAAATAAGTTTTAAAAATTACTCTCATGAATGAAAATTTTCAATGATAATTTTAACGTATTAATTTTTGATTTATGTAGGTTGTTGGAGCTAATTTTATTTTCATTTCTTTCTTTTTTAAATGAATTATTCATCTCTGAAATGTTCTCAACATTGGATTATATTTTTATTATTATTTGAAAATTTAAATACATTTAAAATTATTTGAAAATTATTCGAAATTATTCTAATAATTTTGAAGATAAAAAGTGTTGGGAATTATTTGATAATTTTTTTTCTTTCTTTTAATTTAATTGTAGAAATCTCAATTGTTATCTTCTAAATTGAATTATAAATAGAATTAAATTTTTGTATGTTGCAGTTGACAAGTGATTGGACTGAGGTAGAAATTATTCACCTACCAAATATTCCTGGCGTTGGATTAGGTTTTGGTATTGTTGGTGGTACTTCAAGCGGCGTTGTTGTCAAAACAATTTTGCCTGGAAGTGTTGCTGATAAGGTTTGTTCATAGAAATACGGAGAGAGAGAGAGGGAGAGAGAGGGGAAGAAAGAGGAAAAAAGAGATATGTGATGGAAATAAGTAAATTCAATTGATTACAGTTTACAGTATAATTATCATCTAGTCATACCATATTGATCATTTAAATTTAATTCAAATTCAAATTGATTGAAATGAATATTATCAGACAAATAAATTCCAATTGCTACTAAAAATTAAACAAGCATTTAACAAGTTAAACACTGTTTTTTCGTGCTTCATTTTAACATTTTATTTATAATTTTCAAAATTTTCTTTTTCGTTTTTTTTTTTTTTTAAACTACAAATAAAAAAAAGTTGGATAAAACAAAATTAGAACAAAAAAACTTTTTTTTTTCTTCAATTACATTTTAAATTGGTAATTAGACAATTTAATAAATAATAATATAGTATTGTTTTCCTGTATTTTCGCTTTTTCCTTTTTCATTTTCATCTCTAAACTTTTTTGTTTTAGAAAAAGTTTTTGTGAATATTTTTTGCACTATTTTGTTTGTTTTCTTTTTTTCTATTTTATTTTCTTTTTGCATTATTTTATCATTCAAAAAAAAAATGTAAATTTTTTACATTTTTTTGTAAAAATTTTCTATCCATATAAATAATAAAATGCAAAAAAAACAAACAAAAAATGAATGAATTATTTTAGTTTTGTTTCTTTTTTCACCTAATTTTTTTTTTTTTTTTGATTTCAATATAATTAGTTAATTTAATTATTTTCATTATTGTCACCTTCATTTTTTTTTCTTTTTTCAGGATAAACGTTTGTGTCCAGGTGATCATATATTAAGAATACGTGGCATTAACGTACACGGAATGAGTCCACAACAAATTGCTACTTTGCTTAGACGACAAGACACACTGGTTGAATTGGTAGTGGGAAGACCAGCGCTTACTTCTACTAATTCTTGTAAAAATTCTGAAAGTATGATTTTCTTTTTTTTTTTTTTGCTAGCAAAATTAAAATTTTAAATTGTTAGTATTGTTAGCATGGATAAATTTCATTGATTTGTTAAAAGTATTTGTTTTCGTTCTTTTTCTTTTTCTTTTTTTTTTTTTTTTTTTTTGTTTATTTCAAATAATGCCATTCAATCAATTCTTTTCTTTTTTTTTCACCCTCAAAAAAGAGAAAAAAATGAATAAATTTGCAAATTAATAAATTATTATTACTTTTTTAAATTAATTTGTTTATTTCTTTGATAAAAATTTTTCATCTTTTTTTCTAATATTTTAAAATTTTCATATTTCTTTTTCAATGAAATACAATTATTATGCAAAAATATTGAAGTTTTCGCCTATTAACTAAATACTTTTATAATAAATTCATTATATAATTGATGCCATCACTTGATGCTATATGCATTAAGATTAATTCATTATTAATTGGTTTTCATTTTTCTTCTTTCTTTCTTTCTTTCATTCTTCTCTTTATCATTTAAAAGCGGAAAAATAGATAATAATAATAGTAATAGTAATAATAATATTAATAATTATTAATATTGGTGATAATAACAATAACACACTACTAATTTTAAGAAATGCCATTTAATGTATTTAGATTTCATTATTAACTTCTGCTTTTCTTATATCTGTATGTCGGCCTGTCCATCAGTGTGTGTGTGTGTGTGTGTGTGTGTGTGTGTGTGTGTGTGTGTGTGTGTGTGTGTGTGTGTGTGTGTGTGTGTGTGTGTGTGTGTGTGTGTGTGTGTGTGTGTGTGTGTGTGTGTGTGTGTGTGTGTGTGTGTGTGTGTAGTGTGTGTGTGTTGTGTGTGTGTGTGTGTGTGTGTGTGTGTGTGTGTGTGTGTGTGTGTGTGTGTGTGTGTGTTTGCCAGTCTGTTATGCATATTTAATTCCAAATGAAAATTCTGTTCATTTCTATTTTGAAAAATTAACAAATTTTGAAATGAAATATATGTAAACTATCAGTGTATATTTGTATGTGTGTATGTATGTATGTTTATATTTAAAAGATCAACAAATTAACTTGGCCATTTCTGGCTTCTTTTTAACAATATTTGACTTGGCCATCCTTGGTTCCTTTCCGGATTGGCACATCCAAATGTTTTTTTTTTTTCAGTACTACACACACACACACACACACACACACACACACACACACACACACACACACACACACACACACACACACACACACACACACACACACACACACACACACGCACTCGCATGCACACGCAGAGAGAGAGAAAGAGTTACACACAGGGATACGCTTCTTTTTAATAAAACTTTATATTTCTTCAAAAATTAAACATTTTTTTTTTTGATTGTAAAATGCTTTCTAAATTCTAATCAAAAATTTTTTTTATCAACATTTTTGATTTTATTTATTTAATTAGTTTTGTGGATATTTTACTACGATATTTTCAATATTACAGTATTATTAGTACTGATTGTCTTATATCCCTCATTTCCTATCTCAAAAATTTTAATAAATTTAAAAATTTTCATTTCAAATGCTGGTAAAATGTCCGTAGGAATAGAAATATGACAATCAGTACTAATAATATTTTAATAAATGTTCAAATTTCGATTAGCATTTGATATTTCTTATATCTTTTATATATTTGTTTAATATACATATATTTATATATTGTTTATATATAAATATATATATTTATATGTAATATTTTTTCACATCTAGTAATGAAAAAATTAAAAATAGCAAGTACTGCTTTCATGATATAATTTTTCAATTTCAAGATTTCTTTCATTAATTGATAAACAAATTAATATTTTTCCTTTCTTCTCTTTTTCTAAAATTCAAAACAAAGAAGTTGTGACAAGAAAAATTATTATTTTGCTTATTCTTAATAACATTTGTAAATTTAAATTAATTTTTTGGAAGTTAATTAGTAAATTAATTTTAGGGAACAACTTCAAATTTAAGAACAGTACTAAATTACTTAAAATTCCAAATTTAAATTACTGCACTATTTTAAATTAATTTAATGACTAATCATTAGGTTATACTTTTTTGATAAATGATTATCATTAGAAACAGTAATAATTATTTTAATCTTCACTATCTTTATTTTCCTATCGTTATCACTATTATTGCAATTCTTATCTTTATCAATTCCTATCATTGTCAGTCACAATTATCATTATTATTTTATTGCTATCAACATTAGTAGCACTATCACTAGTGTTATCGTATCACTATTATCAACGAATAACTATTCAGTAATGAAAAATGATGAAATTTTAAAGGTTGAAATGATTAAAATGGTTTCCTTTTTTAAACTCTCTCATAACGGTCATTTTGTATTATTGAAAACTTCTTCCTCAATTTACCACAATTCGTAAAAGAAATAAAAATTCTTGTTTGCTAATTTTTTTTTCTGTGGTTGACAAGTTTAAAAATATTGTATTGTGAATTTTTTAATTTTTTTATTTATGTTTTGATTTAAACATTTGTTTAAAAACTTGAAAATTTTTCGTTTTTTTTTTGTTCTCTGTTTTTGTTTCTGGAAAGTTCCTTTGAATATATAATTAATGGATTAAAATAAAACAAAATAAAATCAATTTTTTCTTTTTCTCTTTCTTTTTTTTCGTAAAAATTACATCTTAAAATTGATGAGTCCATGAGAAATTCTTCTATGTTTTTCTTTTCTTTTTGTTATTTTTCTTCTAAACTATGAAATTTTCAATTTATATCAAATCTTTCAGCATATTTCTGTGAAATTTTCTAAAAAAATTTTTGTGTAATTTGTTTCAATTTTTTAAAAATTCAAAAATTATAAAAATTGATAGAGAGAGAGAGAGAGAGAGAGAAAAGGAAGAAAAACAACACATACACTTTAATTGACATTTTCAAAAAATTTCTTCATTCGTCTCTTCTTCATCACAAATAAATTCATTCGTAGATGCTTTAGGCAGGTTTTGAAATCCAAATTTAATTTGCTGAAAGAGAGTAACTCCCTCAGTGGAATTCCTTTTTCGATTTGCCTTTCATGAAATATTGATTTCTTTTTTTTTTGTGGTAGCATTTTTAATGTTGGAAAAACATTTTCTAACATTATTGTCGATACAATTCATTAAAATATTGGAAATGTTTTAAGTTTGTTTATTGATTTCTTTCTTTTTTAATAAATTAAAGAAATTATGTGAAAAATTTCATATTTTTTTCATATCCTATCGTTTAGTTTTTCTTTTTATTTTCTTATTTTTTTTTAAAAATTTTGTTTATTCCTTCTTGTTTATGCTAATATTTTCATCTTTTCAAAAGAAATAAAACTTGTAATTTTAATTTTCAGTAAATTAATTGAAAAAAACGAAAAAAAAAACAAACAAACAAGCAAACATCGTTTCTTATGAAAATAACTTCCAGAATTGATTACACGTAAAATTGAGTAGTTTGATATAAAAACATATAAAGAAAACAAAAGAAATTTTTTACGTTAAATTTTTAACTTTAACATCCATCAATTTTAGCTATATGTAAATTCTTTGCTATAAATAGCACATTTCACAGCAAAATTATCTAAAATTTTGATACAAATTTTTTAGGCTGTTGGACAATGCCAACACGTGACGCTTTGTGTCGTGAAAGTTTGGAAGAACAAATCCGGAAACATACTGGTTCCATGACGACAACTTCAAATATCTTATCAGATATTGAAGGTTGCAAGAAATTGAAACAATAATGATAGTAATGAATAAATAAATAATAAATAACAATAACAATAATATTAATAATATCAGATGTCAAATGCTGCAAAAATTTAAGCAATAACAATAATAGTAAATAATGGTAATAAAAATAATGTTGACAATGATGATAATGATAAATGATATAGCAGCAGAAATAGCAACAACGCCGACGACAATAAACAAATCTTTTGATGGATATGCGGGAAATCCAGGACCATCAGAAATTGTCTCTGCCATCATAGAGGCAACAAATTCGAATGAAATACAAAATTATACAATAAACGGTGAGGAATGCAAGGAGATTTAATTATTTGGTGCAAATTTACAATCAGAGATTTTTATATAATAATTCAATAAATATTTATTATGCGAAATTAAATAATAAAATAAAAAGCAAATTGCTTTATTACTCAATTTGAAATGTGAAACATTTTTTTTTTCATTATTTTCGTGCAATTTCTATAAATTTTATAAGTTAATTTATTACATAAATTAAATTTAAATTGAAATAGATTTCAAACTACTAAAAAATAAGAAGAATGAAATTTTGAAAAGAATTTATAATATCTTAGTGTCTGCATATTGAAAAAAATTAAAATAAATATTCTTCTTATTCATATATTATGTAAAACTGTTCGTATTGACAATTAATTTTATTTTATTAATATTTCATCAAATTTATTAATTTTTTTTTTTTTTTTGAATGAACTGACAAATTATGCATATAGTCTATTGTTCGAAAATTTAAACTATTCATTACTCGATTTCAATAAATTTTTTTATTTAAACTATTTGTAAAGTCAAAAATTTTGTCATACACTTTCAATGACTATCTTCATTTAATTTCCAGAATTTCAAAAAAAAAGTTTTGTATTTGATGCCAAATTTTTTCCAGTTTTTGTCTAAATTTGACAAAAGAAAAAATTTTTTCTGACTTATTCAAATTTATTTCTTTTTTTTGTATGTTTTGAATAAGTCTTTGCTCACTAATTAAATTTTATATGAAAATTAATAATTTAGTCACTAATGTAAATTTTCATCTGTTTGTTAAAAATTTTTAAATTTTCAAATATATTTGCTTTTTCATCTTTATTAAAATTTTAAGGATTTTAAATGCATTCACATTATTTTATCACTGTAATAGTTTAATCTATTCGTCAAATAATTCTAAAATTTATTTGATAGACTTAATAAAAATGAAAAAAAAAAAAAAAACTGAAATATGATAGCTTATCGTCTGCATAATTTTTTTTTTTAAATGATTGTTCATTTTCCTTATTTTTTATTATTTGAAATTTTTTAACTGTTAAGCTTTTTTATATATTAGTAACTTTTTTTTTTTTTTGAGAATTTAATATTTAGATGGAAACGAATCGATTTCAAAAGTGCCTTCAGGGACGCATAATTCATTAAAAAACAATAATGATTTGTCAGAAACAAACAGTACTCGATCACTTCGACAACTTCAGGAGATGGTTTTTAATTTTTAATGTTTAAATATCTGAAATAAATTGCAAAATTTTATTAAAATGTTTTTTTGTTACTTTGCAGTCTTTTTTCTTTTTCAAATTTTAAATAATAAATTGATCGATGATCGTTGTCGTTATTGTTAATTACTTTTTATTGTTATTAATTGTTATTGATTAATCATTCAATAAATTTCCAGAAAATATTAAAATAAATTTTTAAAAAATCTTAAAAATATATATGTAAATTCTCGAGGCAATATTGATCATCATTATTAGCATTATTTTTCAATCAATTATTATCGATTATTGTTGCTATTATTATTATTACTAATAATATTAGTATACTTCCTATTATTTTCAATATTACTATAAAAATTTTATTTATGAAATAATAAGCATTAGGAAATATGCAAATAATTATCCCATTTTTATGGATTTTTTAAATTTTTTTTTAATTTTAGCAATTTTAATCATTTAGGCATTGTCAATATTTGCACATATAAATTGGATTCCTGAAAAGTATGAAATAATTGAAGTGGAATTATGCCGTGATCCAATTGTTGGACTTGGAATTACAATTGCTGGTTATGTTCATAAAAAAGGTTTCTTCGGGGATTTTTTTCCCCGAGATTTTTTTTTTTGTCAACTTTTTTTGAAAATTAAATAATCTTTTAATTTCGTACAATAAGATGTTTTAAAATTTTATTAAATATTATATAAAATAAAGTGAATAAGATGAAAAAGGATTTTTTTTAGTTTGAAAGTTTTATAAAATTTTATTTGAGACATAATCTGGAGACAAATATATTGAACTTACATGCAAATTAGTCAAAATTTAATGTTTAATTAAAAAAAAAATGGAAGAAAGGGATAAAATAAGATCAGTTTTTATAGTAATTAAGTTATTTGATGTTGCTTGATTTATTAAAATGAATTGTTTTTCAATTTTAGTAAAATTAAAGTTGATTAACGTGATAATTGAATTTGCTTGAAATAATTTATTAAGCTAATAAAAAAGTTGAACTTTAAATTTAATGAATTCCTATCAAATATATTTGCTCGATATTCATTATGATGCATTTAATAATTTAAGACTAGTTGTATTTATTTATTGTATGGGATAATCATTTGAACCTTATTGTATCTCATAATATGCAATATAATACAATTAAGTTTTTTTTATTTGACATTTGTAAGATAATTCCGAATTATCAAACAATTAAAAATGCAAAATACTAAAACAGTTTCAATCTAATGAAATATATTGGATTTGTTTAATGGTAAAATTTCAGTTTCTTTTCTTTTTTCTTCTTAATTAATAATTATTATTATTTCCTATATTAATGCGTATATTACAGTTTTGTGAATTTTATAAATAAGAAGTAGTTAAATTAAAAGAAATTAAAAATTTTCAAATATGAAATGACAAAGAAAAGGAAAATTCATTCTTTCATTTCAAATTTTAGTAAAAAAAAAAATTCATTTTTTTAAGTTCATTTTTTGATGCTATATTTATATATGTATGCTTCTGCAAGCCTAAAATTAATATTTCAAAAAAAAAAAAAAATAAAATAAAAGCGGCGAAAAAAAATAAAATAAACCAATCTGATGTCGGATATTTCAAATGAATGAAAAAGGACTAAACTAACTGTTATGTATATTCTAAGTCTAATCTAACCTAGCCTAGTCTTATCTGGCCTAGTCTAGCCTAGACTTACTTAGAATATGATAATACTATGATTAATTTATATAAAAAAAGCCTATCATCGTATTATCAATTGCATTATGCTCAATATTACAATTCATTCATTAAAAGGCCTAATGAATCTCATTTTTTGAACATTTTAACAAATTCAATTAATTTCAATTAAATGATTTAAAATTATGCATATACGTAATTGCAATTTGTATTGTTTAATTTTCAATTGTTGAACAAAACGAATTAAAAAGATTTGTTCTTTGATTAGTTCTTTGTCTCATTTTCTTTAAAAAAAAGTGTTATAAGAGTTATAAGATAATTATCTATGATTTAATTCAACCAATTTTTCCTTTTTCTTCCTTGAAACTTTAAAGAATATTTTTTCATTTAATGTTCTAAATTTGATGAATAATTTTAAAGCATTTTTTTATTGAAAATATCATTGTTATCATAATAAATGTTAGCAACCTTAAAGGAGCTTACAGTTATTCAAAATTTCAGTTTTGAATTTTAAAAATACTTTAATTTATTGATTTACAAAATCAGAAAAAAAAATATTAGTTAATTTTTATCTGCAATATTTTTTGATATATTTTTGCTATTAATTAAGTTAAAATTATTTAAACTAATTAAACTAATTAATTACGCCAAATTTTGAGTTTACAATTTTAAACATTAAAAATTTTTTTATCTTTTATTTTTTTTTTGCTTTTTGCTTTCGCATGTCATTGCTATGGAATCAAAAGACCATTAATTGCTGTCATCCTGTCAAAAACGCCTGTGACATCCGTCTCATATCATCGTCAAAATTACAATTTGCTAAGAAAGAAACAAGAACCATCGATTTCATCCATTTTAAAATTTATTTACAAATTTTCAAACTATCATCCGAAAAAAGAAAATTAAAAAAAAAAAAAAAGATTATTTATTTAATACGAAATGCGCATGCAATTCTCATTATTTTTCATTTCTCAATTTTCGTTGGTCTTTTCTTTTCAAAAAAAGAAAGCTATTCGATTTTTAAATTCTGAAGTAATTTTCAAATTTTATGAAACATGTAATGAAATTTTTTATTGAAATTTTTAATAAAACTAATAATTTCAAATTTCTTGAATTGTTTCTTTTTCTTTCCACATATGTATGACATATTTTAATTCTATCAGTTAAATTTAATTTAATATTCTTAAATTTTTTCTGCAATTAAAATTTGTATTTTTAGTACGTACAGTAATAATATGTAATTTCAGAAGAGATAAGCGGTGTTTTCGTCAAATCATTGGTGCCTAATTCAAGTGCTTTTCATTCCAGAAAGATACAATTAAATGATCTCATTTTTGAGGTATCTAATTCAATTCCTTTTTTTTTTTGTTTTGAATTTATTATTAATTAAATATTGATTGTAAAATTGTTTGTAATCAAATAATTTGCAGTCAATTAACAAGAAATTGGTCATTTAATCAAAAAATTTTTTCATTTATTAATTTTTGTTTATTGTTTCTTCCGGATAATTTTAATTTGCAAATTTGATAAATTTTTCACATCCGTTGAAAATTTTTATTTTTTTTCTCAAAAGATGACAGCATATTATTGAAAAATAAATAAATAAAAGTTGTTGATAATTCATTTTTATTTTGTTTTCTCATTCTTATAAGTGAATAATTATGCAAAAAATTTTTTTGAAATAAAAATTTTCAATTATATTAGATAAAAAATTTCATCAAATTTCAATTTATTAATTAAATTTGTTTATTTACTTTTTTAATAAAGCAAAAAAAAAAATGCTAGAAATTTTTTGTTTCTATCATTTTATTTTATATTATATATGCATTTGAAAAAAAGTAATTTATGACTTATTTTAATAGCTCTTGAATAATCAGTCATTCCTTTTTCCTTTTCTCATTTCTCTTTTATCTTTTTCTTCGTCTCTTTTTCCTTTATTTTTTTTTATTTTTTATTTTTAAAATGATTGATTAGCATCTATCTAAGCTTTTATTTGACTTCATTTCATTTTTTTTTTTTTTTGTTTCTACTCTTAAAATACATGCTAGCATGGTTTTATTTCAATATTCAAATATCTTTCTTGTCATTTTCCATTTTTTTTTCCTCAATTCTTTCTTTTCATAGCTTTTCACAGAAAAAATAAGCTCAAAAGTTAAAAGTCGATCAGTTTTTTTTTCTTTCTTCTCAAACTAAACAAATAAAAAATATAATCAATTTTCTAAAAATTTTAATATTATAATTCGTCTCCTCTATTGTCTCTTTTTTCATTCATTTCATCATTTCAAACTCAAATTTTTGAAATTTTTTCATTTTTTTTTCTTTTTTTCTTCTTTATTTAAAAAGAAAAGAAATGATTATAAACAAACATTTAAGAAAAAACAATTCAATCTTTATTCTTTGTTTTTTTCTTTTAATTTAAAAATTTCATTTTTAATAGATTGCAAAGAATTGAGTGATAATTTTTTCGGAGTAATAGAGATTAATCATTATCTTATCATTTTTGTGTTCATCAATTAATTTGTATATGTTTTTTATTTTCGCGTATACAAAAATTTTTCTTTATGGCAAAAATTTTTAATGAAAAATTTTTTCTCTTTGTTTTTTATGAATTGTAAATAATGTAAATAATATTTTTTACATAAATATTACGTTATTTTATTAAAGCACATATGTTAGAAAAGTTTTTGTTTTCGAAATTTATCACTGAATATAGTATTTTGTCGCCATTAATTAATTAGCTAATTAATTAAGCATTTAATTTTTTCATCCCTCTGACTATAAATTATCATTTGCTTAATTAGAAATGTTCTAATTAGTAAAGATAAATTTATTGGCATAAATAAACATTGAATAAATTTCTATCTTTGTTTTTTTCCTTTTTTTTTTTTTTATTTCAGCAAAAAATTCATTCTTTAAAAATTCTCTAAAATGAAATCATTTGAAATGATTCTTCCTTTTCTTCGCATAAAAGACGAAAAGAAAATTTTAATCAATGCAAAATTTAGATTTTCCTTAACTAATTATGGTTAAAAAAATTTTAAAAATCAAAAATTGAAAATAATTAGTCTAAAATTTATTAACCATTAATTTTCAATTATAATCATTATATTTTGATTATAGTTGGGGGTTATTGATTATGTGATTATATTAATTGATAGCCAATGGCAATGATGATAATGGTATTGATAATAATAATGATAATCTAATTATCATAATTTTTTAGTCTATTTTGTATTTGTTGCCTATGTCAGATTGTTAAATTTTAGGTTGAATTTGTTAATTTCTTTCTTTTGTTGCTGTAACATAAAAAAAAAGAATAATGATTGATAAGTGTTATAACTATCATTGTATCATTGTGATTTATTGTACTGATAACACTTATGAATTCATTTTTTTTTTAATAGGTAAATGGTAAATCTTTGGAAGGTTTAAATCATAGTGAATCAATAAGAACACTGGTAAATAGTGGATCAAGAGTGAAGATAAAATTAATTCGTTTTCTACCTGGTTCACCTCAAGCTGAATGTCTTACAATGCTTCAAAGACAGGTAATCAATGATACTTTTATCTTTTACTCAATTATTATATTACTCATTTTTTTAGGCCTTAATTTTTTTCTATTTATTATTTTTTATTATTTCTTTAATGTGTTGACTAATTAATTAGCTAATTATTTAAATAATTAAAAATGGATTGCCTAAATAATAATAAGCAAATTAGGATCATATTGCTATATTTTTGTTGAAAGAAATAAGTTTAAAAATTAAAAGAAAAAGGTGGAAATGTTCCTATCATTCAAATACTCATAAGATTAAAAAATTTATTAGCATCTTTTATGCTAATAAACAATCTATTGCTTTAATGCTTATATCATATTGAAGTATGCTAGTTTACTTTCTTTTCTTTTCTTTTTTTTCTGAAATAATTTTGAGAGGAATAATACAAATTTTTTTTTTGTATTTAAATTGTGTGAGAGAATAACAATTCATTTATTTATTATTAATTTAACAATTAAAATAAGTTGATTGATTGATAATTCATTTTTCTTTTTTTCAACACAGGAAGCAATAACGCAAGTGATAGACGTACAAAGTACGTTACGTGACGTGGTGGCAGACTGGAAACAACGACTTGGTTGTGAGTTTGAAGTGATCAGTGTTGATTTAATCCCAGATAAATGTGAAGATGGTGGCTTAGGTATTTCGCTAGAAGGTACCGTGGACATTTTAAATGGTGCCCAGCTTTGTCCACATCATTACATTGATTCACTTAGGCCTGGTGGACCAGCTGCTTTCTCGAATGTTCTTCGTTCAGGTGATGAATTATTACAGGTACGACTATTTGTTTATCTTTTCTTTTTATTAGATGAAATCAATTATTTTCCATTAAAACAGCAGCTTTTTTACCTTTTTCATATCTAATTAATACTTCCTTTTTCATAATTCTATTTCATAAATATAATTCTTTGATCTTTTTTAAATGTTTTGTTTAATTAAATAAATTAATGGAAACATTAAATTTGTGTTTTTGTTTAAAAGAGACACGAAACTATTTACAGGCTAATGATGTAGTACTATATGGTGAATCACATGTCACTGTTACACAAGCCTTAATTAAGGCTGCAACCACCTCACAACGTGTTAGGCTTACAGTAGCACGAAAAATTCAAACTGTAAATGTATTCATGCCAAGACCTGAAGAAAGCCTTCCAATTGCTTATCCTTTATTAGCTACAACAGATGATCGTCTTGTTAAGGTTAGCTTAATTATTTTTCCCTCTTCTCTCTCTCTCTCTTTCTCTATCTCTTTCTTTTTCTTCCTAAATAAGTATAATTGTATAAATCACAATTCCTTTTGGTTTCTTATAAAAATTATTTCCTATTCAAACTTCAATCAATTCTTCATTTAATCATATTGTAAATAAAATGAATTGAATTAATTTGAATTATTTAATTATTTTTTTCACCCATACGTTCTATTGTTAATTTCAAATTAATATTTCATCTGTAATTAATGATTAGTTTATTTGAAATGATTTATTTTGTTTTTCATTTTTCTTTTATAATGTTAAACAATGCATCCTTTCTTTCTTTTTCTCTCTTTTTTGCTTTAAAAAAGAAAAAGAATTTGTAATTAATTTATTTACTTTTTTATAATTTCTCTATTTTTCGCACATTTTAATTTATGAAAAGTTTCAAATTTAAAAATTTTATGACAGAAAATTCATCGATATTAATTGATATGTTTTCGAAAATGATGTGTGTGTGTCGTAAAAACTTTCATTGATAATATATTAAATAAAAATGATAAATAATACTTAAAATCATCATTTATAAGTTTGGACAAAACTTATTTTATAGGCTAAATCAGAAAGTTGCATAACGAAAACATTAGATTCAACAAGAGCTGTATTAGAACAGGTATACAAGTTTCTTTAATTTTTTGGATTACAAAATTAAAATTTTAAATATAACCTTTAAAATTACAGAAAAGAAAAAGAAGAAGGACGAACATTTTGAATAATTAAAAAAAATTTTAGATAAACAAAAGTGACCATGAAGTAATCAATAGAAAATAATATTTGTATTTTATCACAGAACTTGTTCATTTTTTTGCTGTTTTTTTTTTTTTTTTTTTTTTCAACTTTTTACTAATTCATAATTATTTTAATTTCATAATGAGAAAAAGAAAAATAAAATGATTATTTACATTTCATATTTATTTAAAACTTTGTATTTGAATTAAAAACAAAGGGCAGAAGTGGAAAGAAATACTAATAATACATTCATTTCAGGTATCACGGCGCTTACGTTCTCGATCATTGCAACTGTTTAACGGATTAGCTATTTGGCGTTGTGTCCCATTGATAGTGCAATTGGAAAAAGATAATCGTGGCCTAGGATTTTCAATTGTTGATTATCAAGTTAGCATTTCTATCAAATTAGCATTTTTTTTTCCTTTTTTTTTTTTTAATTATAAATAAATAAGTGAATGAATTTCTATTTTTCTTTTCTTTCTGCATATAAAGAATTTAAATAATTAAAATTTATGAAAATCATTTTTAAATTTTTACAAAATTTTCATTATTAATAAATTTATTTTTCAGGATCCATTACATCCAGGACAATCTGTAATTGTCATACGATCACTAGTACCAGGTGGCCTAGCACAAGCAGATGGCCGTATAATACCTGGTGATAGGTTAATGTTTGTAAATGACGAAGATCTGTCGAATAGTACATTGGAACACGCTGTTGCTGTATTGAAGTCAGCACCTGATGGCTTAGTTCGGTTAGGTATTGCTAAGCCAATACCAATTGAAGAAGTTTGTTACTTTTTTTCTTTCTTTTTCTAATATTTTTTTAAGACAAAAAAAAATGAAATCAAAGTTTGATGGCAAAGTTTGAAAATTAAAAATAACTTTTAATCAGCTATTTATTTTATTTTTATCATTTATTTAATTATTTATCCATATGCTACATCATTATAATTTGTGCTAATATTATTGAAGTGAATTATGATATTTAATTTTTCATTATCTATGAAAATAGAAAATCAAATTTGTCATTTTAGAAGTAAAAAATTATTTAATAAATTTTGTTGGTTTATTTTTTTTCTTTCTTTTTGCTTTTTTTCTTTATACATTTTTCTGAATTATAAATTATATTTTCAAACAATTAATTTAAGTCATTTTTAACTAATTCTTCCAGTTTTTCTCTCTTACTGAATTAGAAATAAACAAAGAAAAACGCATATATTTTTTTTTATTTATCTTATCAACAATATATTCTTTCTTTCTTTCTCCCTCTCTCTCTCTATTTCTTTCTCTTTTATACTGTACATACGTGATAGACGTATAAAAATTATATCTGAGAAACGTTACATCACGTACGTGTTCATACTTTCATCGCCTTTACACCTTTGATTCATTTCTTTTAAAAAATATATGTGTTTACAAATAATTTTAAATATAAACAATTCAACATATATGTGAAATTAAAAAAAATGTCACATTATGTCACAATAATTAATCTATCGTAATGTTATGTACATTTCATTTTCATTTTTGATTTAAAAAAAGTAAATAAATAAATAAAAGGAAAATGAATTCCTAATTGCTTAGTGATATCTAATGCATTAGTGATATAAAATTATAGAAAAAGAAAAAAAAAATAAAATGAAATTCTCGAAAAATGAAATTTTGTCATATTTATCATTTTTTCTTTTAACCTACGATAATTAGAATACTGAATTAATTAATTGTAAATTGTAAATGATAAATTGGTGCTTCTTATATTTACAAAAAAAAAATTCTAAAAAAATTTTTGAAAAAAACAATCGGAATATACAAATTAACTTTTTATATAGATAATTTAATTAATTAAAATAATGAATGTATGCTTTAGATCAAACTATTTAGCTAAATTTCAGGTTTATATATTTAGGCTAGATAAACTGGAATCATTATTGGCTATCTAATCGCTTATATGAGTAAAAAGTAAATAAAATTAAAATAACTGTATCATATCTAGCAATTTTAATTAGTTAAAATTAATTCTGTATTATAATTTAAATAAAAACTATTTTCATTTAAACTTTACTTTTTCGGGCACTGAAATCTAATAAGTTCACTAATTTGAGAATTTCAAGAAAAAAATTATCTGTGTTACTTTAAAATAGTTAAAAAAATTTCAAGATTCAATATTTATAATATTTTTGATTAGCTAAAAGATTTGTAAAGTTTATAAGCTTGAAGACCTAATTTTTTATAATTTATGAGCATGAAGAAGTAAAATATTTGAAACTTACGAATCATAAATTTTACTTCTTCAAATTCATAAATCCAATGCAACATTATTGACTATTTAAATTTTTTTATTCATTTTCTTGATTTATCATAAATGTTTCATTATTTTCTCGCATTTATTTGCCAATTTAGTAGTATCTAATTTCTGAAAGTAATGTTTAATTTTTTGGAAATAGCATTTATAACAAATTTTGATCGAATTTTAACAGTGGAAAATTTATCAAAGAATACGAATGAAATAAATAATGGAGCGGAAATGATGAAAATTAAATTTGCGAAAATCTATTATAAAATTAGGATTTATTAGTTTCTGCAAATATTTGTAATACGAAATTAATCCTATTGAAAAAGTTGTCTTTCAAGATTTTTGTGATCAATTTTTCATCAAATAATCAAATGTTGTTAAGCTTTTGCCGGGAAAGATGCATAAAACATGAAATTTTTTTTCTTTTTTCAAATTATATATAAAAAATTGGAATTTGAAATCTGTAAAATTTAAGTTTTGATCTGTTTGGCAAAAAATTTTCAAAAAATTTCCAACTTTCTTCCTTCTTTCTTTTTTTTTTTATAAAATTGAAGACTTATTTGTACAGAAAAGAAAAAAAAAAACTGATAAGCATCAATTGATAAGCCAGCTATTTAATAAAGTAAATATTTAAATAAAATTTAAAAGTAAATATTTTCATTTGTGTGAGAAATTTTGTGAGTGAAATGAAATTTTTTAATTGTTTAAAATTTTGATTTATTTTAAATAGAATTTTTGATACATAAAGTAAGCAAAATTTTTTTGATTGATTTTTAATTTATTAATTAATAAATAATTAAATTCATCTCAATTAGTAATTGTATTATTAATTAAATTTTTTCTGCTTCTTCATTGTCTATCTTAAAAGAAACAAATTTTTTAGCCTTTTTCATTTTTTTTTTTTTTTTTTTTTTGCTCACCAGCAGTTTTTAAAATTATTATTAATTAGTGATAATTATTAAAATTAAATTTCATTTTTTCTTAAAGTTTCTTTTCTTGTAATTTCAAAAAAAAAAAAAAAAAAAAATTAAGACAAACATATTGAAAAAAGAAAGAAACAGAATAGAGGAGAAAAAGACAGAGCTTTGAGGGAAAAAAAGAAGAAACAAATTTAATAGATTTTGAAATAATGAAATTAATTAAAAATGAGAAATGGTAGTGCACTTTTCGATGACAATTTTCCATGACATATAAGAAGGGAGAGACAAACAGAGAGAGAGGGAGAGAGAGAGGGAGAGGGGAGGAGAGGGGAGGAAGCATTAGAAGAGGACGAATGGAAGATGACATATGTGTGTGTGTTGTTTAGTTGAGTAAGTAAAGAATGGATTTTAAACTGGAAAGTATTAGATGACTGAATAGCTAATGTAAAATTAGTTTAACTTAGACTTAAAGCTTATTTGGTTTGTTAAAGAATAAAATGAAAAATGCTTTTCCAATATTTTTTTTTGTTTCTTTCAAGTTTGGTAATGGAACAGATGGTCATTCACCACTTATTTCACGCAGCGAACGTGTACTTGCAAAAGGAAGCTCGCCACGATCACGTCGACGTCATCGTAAACAAGTGAGTGAGCTTCGTCTTTTTCCTTTTTTTTTTGTTTAATCAACAATAATGAATAATAATTAGTTTAGCTGCATGCTGCATTCAGTTGTTAAACTTGCAAATAATGAATGTAATATTTAATATTATATTTCTTTTTTTTTTTTTTGTTATGTTAAAATATAAAATCAATTATTATTAATAAATATTTTTCATTTTTTATTTTTATATAAATGAATTTTTAATAAAATTTTGCTTTCTTTTTTTTTGTAAAAAGGTAATTCATTAACAAGATGAAATAAATTAACAATGAAATGAATTAAAATATCAGCGTTAGTACTATCAATAACAGTATTAATTGTTTTATTATGAAGAATTTTACTGTAATGAAAATTAAATCAAATGAGAAATAGCATAAGTTAGAGTAATAATGCAAATGAATATATAATTTCTATTTAAATTTCGAATTAATTCATTTATTTATTTCCTAATTAAGTTGCAATAAATGGAAAATTTATTTTATTTAATGGATAAATATTTATGCATTTTAATTCTTTCCTTATCATATTTTATAAATATTAAATAAATAATTTTGATAATTATTTATATTATATGTATATATTGTTTTTCTAGTAACTTATCATATTATATATTTAATATTGTTTTATTTAAAGAAAATAGAATGCAAAAAAGTTTCATTTTTCAAACAATTATTTCTTCCTCATTCTTTTTTTTTGTTTGTTTTAGTACCATTTAATTTCAAAAAAAAAATTAATTTTTTATCCAAATGATTAATTTATGAAATAAATTTTGATAAATTGACTTCTAGCAACAACATTTTATACTTCATTTTTTTCGCACGTTATAGTTATTAAAGTGATTAAAATGCATATTTCATTAATTTTCTTAATTACTTAAGAGAAGAAGAAGGATGTCACCTGATTCTATCATCAACTTCATTTCTAATTTATTTTAAAAATATCATCGATGAGACAGAATCTTACTTGTTATGCTAAGATATCAGAATTAGATTGGACTAGGTAGATTCTTGTCTGTTATGCTAAGATATAAGGGTCAGATTATACAAACCAAAATGTTTTTTAATTAATGACGACTAGATTGAACTTCAATTAGATAGAATCTTGCTTGTAAAAAATACGAATATATGAGAGAAGTTAGACTGAATTAGGCAAAATTTGTTTATTGTTTGCTTGTACACAAACATATTAGCGATGAGAGCAAAAAATAATTTATATTACTTATTTTCTTTGAAATTTTTTCTTTTTTTTTTTTTTTTGATTATATAATTGAAAAAAAAAAAAAAAGAATTTTATGAAATTTTTTTTTGCTTATAATTGCAGCAATGAATGAAAAAGATTAAAAAAGGTTTTGTTTGAGTGATAATATAGTGTAGAAGAGATAAATATAAGCACAAAGAATAATGCACACGGATAAGCAATAAAACTTTAAAGCGATCATTTTGACATTAATTGCAATTGAAGATTTGCCACTGCGACAGGGGCAGGAAGTATACACATTGAAATTGCGTCGCTAAGGCTTTACTTTTTAAAGCTTATATTTAAATTTCAAATCTTTTACTCTTAGTGAATTCATTCAAATATTTCTTTTCATTCATATATGGTATGCATAATTTCTTTTTTTTTTTAAGTTAAGTAAATTTTTTGAAGTTTAATATATTTTTTTTTATAAAATAAGTTTATGAATGCATGAAAGGTATTAGATTGAAATTGGAACTTCATTTTGATCATTGATCATATCTTTTATCATAAATACGTCTATGTAATGATAAGTGTTATTGCAAATGAAATATATTTACCATAAATATTCAACAAATTAAGTAAATAAAATAACTAAAAAATAAAGTAACTAAAGAAAAGAAAAAAAGAATTTGCTAAAGGTATTTTTAAAATAATAAGTTAGAAGATTTACCGATAATTGATTTTATTAGCTATATAAATAGAAATAGTTAATATTTTGAATTAATTTTTAATCATTTTAAAAATTATTAGTGCTAATTTAATATTAATATAATTTTTAGTTTAGTATTTTCACTTGGCGCTTGCAAGAAATCAAAAATAATTTTTCATTTTACACATCAAATAATTCTTCTGCTATACTTAAACACTTTTTTTTTCTTGTAATTATAATAATATCATTGATTTTATTTCTTCTTAACTTGTAATAATCATCTTTTTTATATGACTTATTACATTCAAAAAGAAAAAAATAACAATTTTGTCTCGTTTTAACTCAAATTACTAATAATTTGCTTTTACTGTAATTAAGTCTCTAATTTTTTACTACGTTAAAATTAGGCCTAAAATAATAAATTTTTTCTTGAAAAAATAAAATGTCACAATTGTTTTTTTCTTTTTTTTAAAAAAGACATTAACAATTGTCTTTTGTTTGTCTCTCTTTTTTCTCTCTCTCTCCCTCCTTCTCCCCTCTCTCTTTGTTCGTCTTATAATAATTTTAAAATAAAATTTCAATGCAATCCTTCTAACATTCATCCTACTCCATAATTCGATAAATGTTTGCATTGCTTTTGCATATTTTCATAGAATATATGCATAAAATATATTTTGCATATATTTTCAATTTTTATTTTTGAAATTTCTTTTTTTCAAATGAATCATTTCTCTTATCTTTTCCTCTTTGCTTTTAATAAAGAAATTTTATTTTAGAATTACTTTAGGTTTTATTGAATATCAAAATGAAAACAAATAGCTTAAAAAGCATAGTGGAACAGATGCAATTTTCGTAGAAAAAAAAAGAAAAAATGGAAAATTTTTGTAAAATTTGTTAAAATTTACGATTTAAGATTTAATCTTTGAACAAAAGGAAATCTTCTTTTCGCTGAATTTTGATCCTTTCATAGTTTTTTTATTTTTCAATTTATTAGCTTAAAGTTTAAATTTGAGATAAGAATGTATTTATCATTCATTAATTGATGGAAAAAAACAAAATTTGTTTAAATAAATTTTTTGCAAAAATAAAATTTCGAATGAAATATAATTTTGTTTATGTACAATAGCAGTGAGAATTGTATTAGTTTTAATGAAACAATAAAGAAGCCTAGAATATAAGATAAGGTATAAAGGTGGGCCATAAGATAGGGCTGCAAGAAAGAGGATCACGAGAAAGTTTACGAGATAGGGACACGAGAAAGGTTACAGGATAAGGTCACGAGAAAGGTTATAGGACAGAGTGACAGGACAGGGTTGAGAGACAGCATTACAAGATAGAGTTACAAGGAGAATTTACAAGCTAAAGGTATTTAGCTGAAAAGTTAAAAGAAAATGATAAAATGAAAGTGCGAAAGGTATTTTTGCGCATAATGAATTTATTTTTCCCAAAATAACAGTTTGATACTGATAATTAATACTTTTTTTTGTGATATTCAGTTTTTTCTCCTTCGACATTAATTAATTTGAGAAAAATAAAAGTGAAAAAAATCTTTTTTAAAAAATTAAAAAAAAAAAGAAAAGAAGTAAAAGCAAAAAGAAAGAAACCTATTGAAATATTACATCGAAAATGCCAAATAATATTTTCATTTACATTTTTTCTCATTTAATTTTTTCTTTTTCCTTTTTTACAAATAAAGAAAAATATTTTCAATTTTCATTTCTTGTTTAAATTAATGATGAAGTGAAACAATGATGACATTATTAGTTTTATCAAATTTAATTTTTAATTAAATTGTAAACTGATTACAAAAAAAAATTTTTTTTTAAGAGAAACTTATTACGAATCCATTAAATTCGTTTATTGCTTTTCACTTTGTGATGATGAATTGATGTTTCAGTTCAATGATTATTGATTATTTAAATTGATTTCTTCTATTTCTTCTTATAGATTTCATTTTATTTGTTGAATAAATTTTTTTCGCTTTTTAGTTTTATTGAAAATTTTTTTGATTTAAACAAAAAAAAATTTTTTTGATTTAAACTTATTACGAATTAGCAAAATACTAATAATCTGATAATAAATTTTGTTTCATGAAATTTCAATCATTTTTTTTCTTAATTCATTTTAATTTTATCAATAATTAATTAGTTTTTTAATTAGCTGCTAATCAGTGCTGCTCTTATATCACACAAAAAAGTTACACTAATTAATTAATTAATTAACTGATGTTTAATGATTCATAAATATGTATCTTAATTATTGCCACTATTAATCAATTTTTTTGTTTGAAAAGTTTTTTTCTTTTTTCAAACATATGCTTTTCTCCTTTCTTTTGGCATTTGATATAAAATGCTGATATAAAATGATATAAAATTTTAATTTAAATAAATCCTTTCAAAAAAATTAGATTATATTTTTATAAATTTTTATCGTTACTTATATTTATGTTATATATATTTATGTAATTTATTAAAATACACATAATATATATGTTTAATATACAAATCAGAATTATTAATAGATTTAATTTACTAAAGAATCCATATAATTTGAATGAAATTGAAATATTTTGATGTGAAAAAGTAGTTTATTTCAAAAATTTTTCCCCTTTTTTAATTACTAATAATTTTTTCTGATTAAATTTGACTATTTTGTAATTAATTAATTTAATAATGAATTGCAGGTAGTCTCGTATACATCAAGTCAGGAAACAGTTTGGCTTGGTGCAACCGAATATCGTCGACAGTATCATTTGCAGGTTTTTCTTCTATATTTTAAATTTAATTAATTAGAAATGAAATGTCTTATTATTACTTGTATTTAATTGCATTCTCTAAGTTTATTCATTTTTGATAAATTTTTTCTTCTAAATCTTTGTTTTTCTAAAACTTTATTTTATTTTCATCAAGTTTTTTTAGAACCAGTTTCTCTTCCATTTTCCCTCTATCCCTTTTTCTCTCTTTCTTTTTTTTTCTCTCTCTCTCTTATTCTTCTCAGATTCATGATTTTACTAAATAAAAAAAGGCAAAAAAATGAAAAAAAAAAGAGAGAAAACCTTTCAAAAGATACAAACAATCATCGATATATTATACTTTTTTTTTCTCGTTGGTAAAAACTTAATTATCACATATATTTCACTATTCTTTCAGAAAAAAATAACTAATTTCCTTTTTTTTTTTTTTTTTTTGAATTTTTATTTTTTATTTTAATCCATTTAATTGTTATGAAATAAGATTGTTGTCATTATTATTGCCATTGTTATTATTATCCGTTAAAAATTTATAAGAAAATAATTATCATTAAATTAAATTATATATTTTTTGTCAAATTACAGAAAAGCTACAAATAAAAAATTTTTATTTTTTATAAATTCACAAAAGCCACTTTTCCCTTTCTTTTTTTTCTAAATTTATTCTAGAAATTTTTATTTAAACAAAAACAGAATTACAATTTCTCTGTCTCGCTCTTTCTCTCTCTCTCTCTCTCTCATCGTTTTTTCTATTTTCATTTCTTTATTTTTTTGTTTTATTACATTTATTTATACTTAAATTCAATTTCATCCTATTTTTTAATCTTTGAACAGTTAATTTCAAACTTTTTTCTTCCGTCTATTTTACTTTGCTTTTTCTCCGATTACTTTTTTTTCTTATTTCAATTCTTTTTTCAGAATTATAATCAATCTTCCGGTTCACTTACACCGTCAACACCTCGTGCCTGTAATATATCATTAAACGAAGTAAGCTTTTTTCTTTTTTTTTTTTTTTTCATTTTGTTTTTTAAATCGTTTCTTTTTCGTCTTTATGCTAATTTTTCATTAGCTATCATAAATTAAAATAACGAAGTTTGTTTTTTGAATGAAGTATTTGTTATGATAATCTTTTAAACCTATCATAAATTGAAGTAATGAAATTTTGTTTGTTTATCTCTTGTTCTTTTTTTTTTTTTTTTTTTTTTTTTTTTTGGATTAATTTCTTATTTGTTTGCTTGCTTATTAGTTGGTTATTATAATTGTTTCAGTATTTAATTACTTTTCTTTTTTCTTCATTTTATTTTATGTTATTCATTCAACTTATCAATGTAATAGTTTGTTTTATTTGATGTAATTATTATTATTGTTGTTAATTTTATTATTACTATTATTTTTTTCGTTTTATTTATTATTTTAGAATTATTTATATTTGTTTGCTTAGTAACATCCTTTTTATTTTATTTTATTTTTTCAATTTAAATGATTAGCTTAATTTTTTTACTAAATTTTACTTAATTTCCTCAATAATTTAATTTATGACTATTACTATAATTAATAATTATTTCAAACAGAGTCATTTATCGATGACCAGTTGGTCACCTTGCTCAACTCGTTCAATATCACCTTGTGGCTCACCGCTTCATCTACGTGGTTCATGGGCGTATGATATCGTCTACTTACCGCCAAGTTTGGAACGATCAATTAAAATTCAGAAAGGAGCACTTTCACTTGGTATTTTCTATTTTAATTCTTTCTTTTGTGAGTAAAACAATAAATTAGCAAATTTTTATTTAATTAATGAATTTTAGCAACAAATTAATAAAAAAAAATTATTAAAAAGAAATTAATAAGTTTTATTGTAATTAATGAGAGAAAAAGCAAATAAAACATTATGCAAAAATTTTTTCATTAAACAATTTCTGCCTTTTTTTTGATTTTTTTTTTGGTTTTGAAAAGGAGAAGGAAAATTAAGTATACATAAATTTTTAGGTATTACATTAAATGCAGAAATTGACAAAGGTATCAATGGTTGTCAGGTAAAAAGTATTTGTAGCAAAAAAGCTATTGGACGAGATGGAAGAGTTCAGGTGAAAATTTTGGTATATTTTTATAAAAATTAAAAAAAAAAAGAATCGAATATATCTAAAATAATTTTGCTAGAAAATATTAATTGAAATAAATTATATTAGAATATGTGCTGTAGAATATTGGTGATATTTTTCATTTTGATCACATCAGTTGTTACATTGGGACTATTTATTAGATTAGTATATGTAAATTAATTAAATAAAGTAAGAAAGAAATTTACGTTTGTGAATTTTTCTTCTTTTCAAAAGAAAAAAAAATAATTAAATTACTAAATTATTAAAAAAAAAAAATGAATAAAATAAATATGAAATGAATACATTTTCATTTTTTACTTCAGATATATTAATTTAAAGGTAAATGATTACATTGTAAAAGTAAATATGGAAAGTTTGCGAAATGTTACGAATTCGCAAGCACGAGCTATTTTAAAACGAACTAATCTAATTGGTACACAGTGCAAGTTTGTTTTCTTTTTTATTCTAATTAATTTAATTTAGTCATTTCCATTTCTTTTTAATTTCCAAGTTTTTTTTTCTAATTGATTTAATTTTTTAGCACTGATTTGATATCTAATATTAACGGGAATGATTTAATTCATATAATTCTTTGTTGCATTCATTTTCAGATTATCGTTTTTCTTCTTTCAAATTTTAATTCTCTCTTTTCAATTCCTATCCACAATTCTCAGCACTTGTAAGATGTAATTGAAAACTTTTGAAAACATCAAAAATTCATTAATTTGTATTTTATGAAATGAATAGTAATTTCAGATTAATTTTTCTAACAATTTATAAATTTTTTTTTTACAATTTTGATTAGTTTGCTTCTTTTGATATTAATTAATTCTATCATATGCTTTAGAAACAATTCTACACTAAAATTTAATGAGTAATTATGAAAATATTTCAGTTTTATTTTATTAGCAATTTTATTTTAAAATATTTCAACTTTATTTTATTAGCAACTTAATCTCGAAATATTTTCATCTTATTTTATTGGCGATTTTATTTAAATATTTCGATTTTATTTTATTATTGATTTTACTTTAAAATATTTCGATTTTATTATTTTATTTTGAAACATTTCGATTTTATTTTATCAAGTATTTTATTTCAAAATATTTCGATTTTCATCTTCAAAAAAAAAGGGAAAAAACAGAGAAAAATTGTTCGTAATTTTTAACATTGTTTCAATCAAATTTAATTAAAGAAAAGAAACAAATAAAACGAAAAGCATTAGCAAACAAAAAGAATAATTAATTAACAAACAAACGATCATTTGATATTAATTTTTTTTTAAAAAAAAAAGTGAATTTGCTATTTCTTATCAGTTAGCTTATCAGAAATAAACAAAATAATTTTTGAATCATTTAACTTTTAATAACTGATAACAATAATCACTTAAAAATTTAATAGTAAATTTTATTCCTTTCATAATCAAAAGTATTTTATTTCCTTTCAACCAATTTGATTAATTATTATTTTTTTTTTTTTTTTTTGCAGTATAACTTATATTACTGCTTCCGATGCAAAAATTTGGAAAGAAAAGTATCATCATGAAATGGATTATCAATTGCCTATTGTTAATCGACTTTCACCAAAGTAATTTAATTCAATTTTTTTGCTATTTCTGTTTACGCAGTTTAAATGCTATTTGTTTATTTCAGTTTAAATAAGATTCTTTTTGCTGTCTCGCATAAAAGAAAAAAATAAGAAAGATGAAAAGAAGGAAGGAAAAAAAGAAGAAAAAAAACGAAAAGAAGTATAAATTAGAAAAAATCATTTATGTGAACTTTTCCTCTCTTTTTTAGCTTTTTTTTTTGGAAAAAATTATTTATTATTTATTTGTTTGTTCATTATTTATTTATTTATTTATTTTTGATTTCAGAATTTTTCCAAAATTCTATCGTTGTTCATATTATGATGAGAAAGCGATGATGATAGATATGGAACAACAACAACAACAACAACGACAACAACAGCAACAACAACAAGATGATGATGATTCATTTGATAATGATATGCTTATTTCCGCATCATCTGATGTGTCATCAATGATGAAAAAAGGATTAAATGATGATATTGTAAATGGTGGAAAATTAATTGAAATTTTTGTTTACAATCTTGTTGAGGTAATATTTTAATTAATATTTTTTTTCTTTTCTTTGATTTATGACTTAATTATTTGATATTAATAATAGTAATAAATAAAACAAATGATAATAATTAATAGCAATAATATTTAAACTTATAATAAATTCTTGTATTAATTTCAGTAAATTTTTGAGTATAATTTCAATAACATTTCAAATATATATATGCAATAAGTTTTAGGCCTAAAGGATTTGTTATCAGTTATTATAATTGAGTTGAAATTTCTTTAATAAAATTATTATACATGAGGATCTATTATTTACTCTTTTTTCACCTCTCTCTCTCTCTCTCTCTCTCTCTCTCTCTCCACTCTTTCATTTTCTCTTCTCTTATAAATAAATTTAAATTAAAAAAAAAAAGAAAACAATTTTCATATGGGATATCTGGGAGCGAATAATCAACGATTGGTATTAATCATATTAAAATTCTTTTTGGTAATTATTGTAATTATTCATTCATTTTTATCGTTGTTAGAAAGTTAGGAGATGAAAATTTATTTTTTAAAAAAAGCAAATTTTTGAGCGATCTAATTTTTTCTAAAAAAAAAATTGTGAAAATCTGAATTTAATTTGTACATTTAACAAATTAAATTTTATTATTTACAGGAAAATGGTATATTATCTTTAAAAAATGAAAATAAGTTATAATTTAATGTAGTTTTGCTATATAAATTTTATTCTAAATATCTACAAAATGTTATGAAATTAATCAATTAATGTTGTAATAATTTATTAAAAATTAGAAAACAATTTAATAGTATCTGTATTTTAATTTCATTTTTGCTTTTGTTTTTTATCAGAAATTGTATAAATAATAATATGCGAAATTAAAATTGTTCTTTTTAATAGCGTTTAATTTCTTACTTTAATTAAATAATTTCTTGAAACTAAAAAATAAAACTCGGATTTCTTAAAATAAAATTATTTATGAAAGATGCTAAGTTTTTTGGTTAAATTTTTGCATAATTTATTAATAAATATTACTCTTCGTTACTTTCTTTTTTTATTTCATTCCGCATTCCAATCAAATTTCAATTTCGTAAAAAATTAAGTCCAATAATATCGAATCTATTTTCTTTCCATTTTTTCTTCTTACTCCAACAGTAAAATAAATAATATCCAATTAATTAATTTTTTAATTACAAATAATATAGTAATTAATGTGTTTAGCTAATATATTTAGGAAAATAAAAACAAATTTAAAGGAAAAATTGAGTAAAACAAGTCAGTTATTTCTTTTTCTTTGTTTTTTAAAATTATTTGTTATTTATTATTTTTTCTTTATAAATTTTGACAAACAAATTTCCTAATTTTTTTTTTTATAAGTTATTATTATTTTTTTGTTTTAATGATTTTTATTTTGTATAAATATATTCATAATTTTCTTAAAAAAAAGTAGAAAAAAATTTGTTATTTACTTTTTCCTATTAACAGTATGAAATTATTTACTTTTTTAAAGGCCTAATTGGCTTGTTGACTTTATATTCATGGGCCATAATAGGAAGATTGACAGTAAGTATAAGCATTCTAATGCTCAAATTGTCAAAAATGATTAAATTCAAAATTAACATTTGATTTTGGTGGTGTGATGTGGCCTAGTTTATATATTTTTTAGTAAGAGTCAAGTGAACATTTGTCATTTGTTCTCTCTTTTTATCTATTCTTTTAGTATGTTTTTTTAAAAAATTATTTTAAATTATAATATTTTTGTTCATTTTGTTCCTCACACTCAGATATTTAACTTTTACAAAATGTTTAATTTAAAAATGCTAAAAATGACATTAATATGGTTGATTTTTCGAATTTTACATTAAATTTCAAGTTTTTTCTTTCGCTTACTTTTCACTTTTTTTGATTATTATTATTTTTTTTAATTCCTGAGAAAAAAAATTGAATATTTTAATTTAATAAAATATCATTTTTAGGCAATTTTAAAAGATATATGGCTGGAATTATTAGCTTCTGAGCATTTACCAAAAGCGATAAATTTAAATTTGTCGGGAAAGGAATTCCAATCATCGTTGTTGAGTGAATTAATCGAAGCAACACCGTCTACAAGTGCTGCACCGCAAGTAATCCGATTTTTCTTCTTTTTTTTTTTTTGTAATTTAATCGATGACTTTCCGGAATTAATAAATTCTGAATTCTTTCCAATATTTTATAGAAATTTTTATCCCATCAATCAGATTTAATCGGAAATTTTATACAATTAATAAATTTTGAATTGTTTCCATTATTTTATAGGATTTTTTATCTGTCAATCATTAATTCTTGAAAAAAAAAAAAAAAAAAAGGATTTTTATATATTTTAGATTCATAGGCAGTCAACATCATTCAAACGACGACAAGATTCTTTGGAAAATTTACATAGAAAAACGGATCAGGAATTAATTAGTGATAAAATTTCCGGTTCATTCTTAAATGAAACAGAATTCGAAAATGGAAAGAACGATTCATTGATATTAGTGAAAGAGAAAAATTGTGAAATGAATAGAAGGATAAATGATACCATTGATGGGTATTCGTTTACTTTTTGCTTTATTATTAGAAAATTTTATTCACTCTCATTAATCTTTTTTTTTTTTTCATTATTTCTTTAAAAAGAAAAAGATATTAAAATTTTATTATTCTTTACTATCTTTATAAAATTTCATTTATACATTAATTTGATGACATTTTTTAATTTTGTTTTTTGATTTTTTTTTTTTAGGAAAAAAGGAAGGAATTGAAATATCCAATAATTTGAATTATATGTGTATTTTTTTTCACTTATTTTCATTATTAAGGTGGCAAAAAAAGTCAGCAACTCAAATATCTGTTGGTAGCAAAAATGTGGAATGTGAAAATGAACAATTAATTATCAAAAATGAAATTAAACGAAATAGTTTAATTGACGCTGAATTAATTAATCCATCAATGGCAACAATTTTATTGAATGATTCATCCGTAATTTCACCTGTTTCATCTGAATTAAATCTGGTGCTTTTATTTATTTATTTATTTTTTTTTTTTTTTTTGTAATTTTTAAATTCTTTTATTTTTTTTTTTTTCTTTTCTTTGCATTTTAATAATGGCAAATGAAATTTCAAAATAGCTATTCATTTGTAGTTGGAATGTTAGAAGACTATTTATTATTAATTTTCTTCCAATAGTATATCCACTTCAACGATTTAGTATTTCTAAAAAATAATATAAAAAGTTTAACTAAAGTATGCATTTAACATTTTGAAAAGGTTTTACTTATAATTTTATTCCTTTTAAAACTTTATTACTGAACAAAAAAATTTAACAATGATCACTTTTTACAGTCAGAGAAGTCAAATCGTTTCAAAATTTGGGGTCAAACAAGAACAGTTGTGCTACATCGTGAACCGAATCAGTCATTCGGTAAGTTTAGAAAAATAAAAAATACCTTAAAAAAGTAAAATATCCATTAAAATAGAAAATGTATAGTCAACAATACGTATAATTTAGAAAATGGATGTACAGTCTAGGACGTATACTCTAGAATATGTGTAGTGTGGAACACGTATGGTACAACACGTATACTCTAGAATATGTGTAGTGTGGAACACGTATGGTACAACACGTATACTCTAGAATATGTGTAGTGTGGAACACGTATGGTACAACACGTATACTCTAGAATATGTGTAGTGTGGAACACGTATGGTACAACACGTATACTCTAGAATATGTGTAGTGTGGAACACGTATGGTACAACACGTATACTCTAGAATATGTGTAGTGTGGAACACGTATGGTACAACACGTATACTCTAGAATATGTGTAGTGTGGAACACGTATGGTACAACACGTATACTCTAGAATATGTGTAGTGTGGAACACGTATGGTACAACACGTATACTCTAGAATATGTGTAGTGTGGAACACGTATGGTACAACACGTATACTCTAGAATATGTGTAGTGTGGAACACGTATGGTACAACACGTATACTCTAGAATATGTGTAGTGTGGAACACGTATGGTACAACACGTATACTCTAGAATATGTGTAGTGTGGAACACGTATGGTACAACACGTATACTCTAGAATATGTGTAGTGTGGAACACGTATGGTACAACACGTATACTCTAGAATATGTTAGTGTGGAACACGTATGGTACAACACGTATACTCTAGAATATGTGTAGTGTGGAACACGTATGGTACAACACGTATACTCTAGAATATGTGTAGTGTGGAACACGTATGGTACAACACGTATACTCTAGAATATGTGTAGTGTGGAACACGTATGGTACAACACGTATACTCTAGAATATGTTAGTGTGGAACACGTATGGTACAACACGTATACTCTAGAATATGTTAGTGTGGAACACGTATGGTACAACACGTATACTCTAGAATATGTTAGTGTGGAACACGTATGGTACAACACGTATACTCTAGAATATGTTAGTGTGGAACACGTATGGTACAACACGTATACTCTAGAATATGTTAGTGTGGAACACGTATGTACAACACGTATACTCTAGAATATGTGTAGTGTGGAACACGTATGGTACAACACGTATACTCTAGAATATGTGTAGTGTGGAACACGTATGGTACAACACGTATACTCTAGAATATGTTAGTGTGGAACACGTATGGTACAACACGTATACTCTAGAATATGTATAATCCAGAAAACATATAGCTCTACAATATATATAAAAATAAAACACGTGAGAATACTTGTACTAAACTTTTTACCGCTTTCTTTACTGCTAACTAATTATGTTCTATATGATATGAGATTAAATGATCAAATAACATTTTTAAAATATTAAATTGGTCGATTTTTTTTTTAAGAGAGATTTTTTAAATTTTTAAAGAAATTAATTTCAGGTATTAGTATTGTTGGTGGACGTGTTGAAGTTAGTCATAAAAGTGGACAATCTGGTACGACGAGTACCGTTTCTGGTATTTTTATCAAATCAGTCCTACCAAATTCACCAGCTGGTCATTCTAATATGATGAATATGGGTGATCGAGTAATTAGTGTAAGTAATTTAAAAAAAAATAATTTAAATTCATTTACAAAAGTGAATAATGATTATTGGTTAAAATGAAATAGAATTTAAAATTGAGAGAAAAAGGTGAAATGGATGAGGAGATTAAAATTTGAAATCAAATGAATGTAATTTTAACTTAAATTTAGTAAGTTAAGGAGAAAAAACAATGACGAATAAGTAAAATTAACTGAAACGATGATGATAAACAAAAATAAAAAAATATATTGGTAAATAAAAGTAAAAAATATTAATGATAAATAAAAATTAAAAGAGAAGAATTAAAATTAACTTGAAATAATAAAATTATCCTTAATACTATTTTAATTTTTAGGTAAATGATCACGATTTGCGTGAAGCTACACATGAAGAAGCAGTTCAGGTTATCAAAAATGCTAAGAATCCAGTGAAATTTGTTGTTCAAAGTCTTCATAGTTTTCCATCACAATCAGTACAATTATTTTATTATGCATTTTATTATTTTTAAAATTTAGCCAAAAATAAAAAAGCAGAGATTGAAAATTTTATTACAAATTGCATTTTTACCAAAAGCATTTTTTTTTTTTTGTTAGCGAAATAATTTGAATTAAATTTAAAAGGATGATATTAATGAAGAGAACGATGAAGAAAGAGAAGAATGTGAAAAAAATTTGACTAATTGGCAAAGTGAGATGGATGAATGTGATAATTCAGGTAGTAACACAGAAGCATTCAATATTTTGGATAATTCAACTAAGGTATTAACTCTTTTCTAAAAAACATAAATATCTAAAACTTTAATAAACATTTTGTAAATTTTATTTTAATGCTTGAAGCTAAGAAAAAAGTATGTATGCATTTTTTTGGTATACACATAGATGCTTTTTTGTCAATTTATTAAATTAAATTGTTATTTATTAAATTAAAATGATTTTTTACAAAATTTGAATTCCTAAAAACTTTTATTTATACTTATTCGTTGTTTATATTTGCTTTGAAAAGAAACAAAAAAGAAAGAATGTTCAAGAGATTTTGTATGAGTTATTTATTGATTTCCCATTAGGATAATAATGCGCAAATGATCACTGATGAACTATCATCATATGGCGGAAAAATGATAACAATTGATGAAACACCGCGAAGAATAAGCGTGGCATCAAAATTTGAATCAGAAGGAAAGAATCAATTTGAATTTGATAATACATCTAATGTTATCACGAAAACATCAATTAATATGAATGTAAGTTTCTACTAAAATATTTCATTTCCTAAAAAAAGAAAATGTAAACAAATAAGAAAAACGAAAGATTTATATCGGGGAATGGTGAGAAATTATAATAAATTAATTTATAATTAATTATACAACTATAATTTATTGCATTGAATTTAATTCTTAATTTCCTTTTTCTAATCTCATATAAATTTGTGTTTTTTTTTTTTATTTATTTTGTAATTGTTTTTTTTGAAAATTATTTTTAGAGAAACATTTCATTGATGTATTGCTTTATATAAAAAAGACTTTTTTTGGATAATATTTCTTCCAAAGTTCATTTGATGTTTATTTTTCGGTTTTCTTTCTTCTTTTTTTTTTCATCTTCAGGAGGAGAAATTTGAAGGAATGAAAAGTTTGGAACAGAATCAAACAACAATGGAATCAGGAAATATGAATGATACAACAAGACGACATGGAATTGATCCGGATAGTGCAGCTGCGTTACCAAAACGTGCTAATGATCCGGAAGAGGAAGATCAATTCTTTTATACAAAAGGTTCTTTTCTTTTTAAAAAATTATTTTCAATTTAATTTTAATTTAATATAAAACTAATTCTTTACTTTCTTCTTTTAACAATTTTGAATAATGCTGAAAAAATATTCTAATACATTATTGAAATAAAACTTTTTGTCCGGTTTTAATACGTATTTAATGTGTATTAACATATTACATTTTATATATGAATAATTATCTGTTAATATGTATAATTTGATATAAATTTAGATAAGATAAGTCGGAAATATGGTAATTTATTGGGTGATACGATACTGTTAAAGTTGGATAAGCTACCACGTGGCGGTCTTGGCTTATCGCTTGCAAGTAATCATGATCATGATCATGATCGGATGAATGTTTTAGTGGTTGCAGTTAAATCTACCTGTCCATTATCAGTGAAAATTGGTGATGAATTACTTGAGGTGTAATTTTTTTGAAAGAAATATGATAAATGAATGAATGTTGTCAGTGATATGGAAAGAAATTAATGATTTAAATTTATGATGAAAAATTTTCATTAAAATTATAGGAGGAAGGGAAAGAGAAAGAATCAAAGGAAGAAAGAAAAATGGAAATAATTTTTTAGACAAAGAACCTTTTCTTTTTGCTTATTTTCTTATTTTTAGAATAATATTTGATTTTATATACCTAAAATTAATAAATTAATAGGTTAATGGAAAGGTACTTATTGGTTTATCACATTTGGATGCATCTTCGATAATGCGTGAATGTTGCGAAGATGGCATTTTGGAATTGTTAGTGCTAAGAAGATTTGAAGCACTGGTGACTATTATTTTCTTATTTCTAAAAAATTTAAAAATTTTTTTTAACAAAAAAATCTGTTGCGGAATAATAGTAATAAAGTAAATAAATAATTTACCAAAAAAAAAAAAAAAACATATTTATAAGAAAATCTAAACTATAAATTCATTAAATTGAATGTATTCTCCCTTCCCAAAAAAAAAGGATGGCTGTATTTATTTTTTAAATATTTTGATTTCGCTATTAATTTAAATTAGTATCTAATTTTAATCATTTTTTCAATATTTCTATTATTTCATCCCATCTGAAATTTTTCATGACAGAATTTAGAATTTTCTATTGAATTTGATTTACTTTTTTTATATTTCATTCAAACATATTAATATTTTCATTTTTTTTAATGAAAAAAGGAAAATATATCAATAAGAGTAATAATAATAAGTAATCAATAATATTTTTTAGAATAAACATTATAACTGAAATTTCTTAACTTAGCTTTCTTAACATTTCGAAAATTTGATTATTTTTTTAGATTTGAAAGTGTCGAAAAAAATGACAAATGTGATTGAATTGTATAATTTTGAAAGTTAATCAAAGTTTTTTTTCTTTATTTCCACTACTTCGTTTTTGACAAGCGATTATTTTTAATCTCACATTGCATTTGCTTACTTTCAAAATATCATCTTTTTTAATTTGCCGATAGCAAACATTGCTAGAAGCAGTTGAAAACGATATTGATTCGTTTTATTTATTTTGCCCATTAATTAATTACTTATTATTTATTCTCTCTTTTAACCATTCTTTCTCTCTCTCTTCATGTCTGTCATTTTTCTTTTTTTTTAAATTTTTAATTATTGTTTATTATTGATAAGCTATTTTCTTTTTTTCATTCAATTTAAATCAGTCTTTCTTGACTTCTAATAAATGAGTATTAGAATCTCGATGAATAGCAAGCAAATCAATATGTACTAAATTTATAAGTAAAAAAGGTAATTATATGCATTGAATGTTTCTGTTTATATATATAAATTACTTCATAAATTGATGGTAAGATTGAAAAACGAAATTTATTACTTTTAAATCAATCAAATATTAGAATGTTTCTTTTTTTTTTGTTAATGAAATCATCAATCATTATTACTCGTTTATGTTATCATTTTTATGACAATTACATATTATTATTAACGGTAAACAAACAATTAGGTATTGCAACAAAAAAAAAAAAGAAACAAAAAACAAAAATAAACATAAATGAATTTAATTTTTTTGAGCCTAAAATTTAAATTCAATAATGACAAAAGGACTAATAAACTCACTTTTATTTAATATATTTATTTCATCTAACTTTTCGTTCATATAAATTTCTTTTATTTAACAAATTAAATCCATTAATTTCGGTGATATTAGCAATAATTTTAATTTGCGTAAGAAAAAAAAAAAAAAACTTTTAAAGTTAAAAAAAAAAATAATAATACGTCATTTTATTATCGCACCTAAAACAATTCCAATTATGTTTGTCCTGCACTGAGGCATAACTATTCTATGTTATATTAGGCTGCATTGCCCTAGGCCTAAAACAATCGATACTATGGCTGTGTTGCATTAGGCCATAAACACAAACATGTGACGCACACGTCTAAAATGCAACATCACGTCAATATTCCAGTTACTTACGCTTTGTTGTTGCATCACGTTTGTGTTGCTTGCATAACTCAGTTTACTTCCTTTTTTGCAATTTATGAATGTGTGCGTTAATTAGTTGAATTGTTAAGTTAATTAATTCAAATTGTTTATATGAAAATAATAGCAAAGTGTGTTATTGGAAAGTAATTTAATGAGTAGTCAGTACTATTTCTTATTTCGATTTAAGTCAATTTAAGAGCTAAACCTTAAGCATTAATGCTCATTTTCTTTGCTGTCTCCCTCTGTGTTTCCCTCTTTCCTTCCTTCCTTCTCTGTCTCTCCCTCTCTCTCTTTTTTCATTTTTCATTTTAAGTCAAAATCAATTTAAATTTAAAGCCTTATATGTTTGTTAAAGTTCTATCTTTATTATGTAATCACTGAAAATGACTAACTGAGTGAGTAGTTAAAGAATGAACTAATGTTAAGATGAGTGGACAGACAACTTTCTTCTCTTTCATTTTTATAAATTTTTCTTTATTTGATTTTTTTTTTTTTTTTTTTGAGGTGTAAGGGACAAAGGATTTTTTAACTCTTTCATTTGATCAATGAGAGTAATTATGAGGGTTTGTTGACATTTAATAATATTGAAATTTTTTTTTCAGTTAACTAACTTTGCCTTTTAGACTAAAAAAAATCATTGAAATTTAGGCCTAATTTTAGAACTCTTTTTTTTCCTTTTTTGTTACGTCTCTTTCAGTTTTTTTTCGTTTCTTTATTTTATTGAAATTTTGCTTTTGTTGAAATCCCTAAGCAAATTCACTTTTCAATTTTCGTAAATTCTCCCTGGAAATGTTTGGAAATTTTAAACATGTTTTAAGTTTGAATAACAAACAAACATTTATTATTATTATTGTTATTATTATTATCACCATCATCATCATAGAGCTTATGATTCATAACACTGTCGTTGTTATTATTTCATTTTAACATTACTATTTTTTAATATAATGATTTTAAATTTTTGTAAAAATTGTAAAAAATGCTTTTTTGTTTTTTCCTTTTTTTTAAAAAATTATGTTCTTTATTATATTATTGTTATATTTGATAGTATTCTTTTTCTTTTCTGATTTTTTCCCTTCTTTAAACGAAAAAAAAAATTTATTTAATTGATATTATAACTAATTCATTCTTGCTACTAAAAATTTATTAATATTCATATTTTTCAGATATATTTTTCATTTTTCTTCGTTTTTGAAGCACAAAAATTTTTTAGTATATTATTTGCTATCATTTTGCTAAACATTAATTTAATATAACAAGAAACAAATATGATAAAATGTGCTTATTTAATATTTTTAGTAATTCTGAAAATGAAAAAATTTTTTTTCAAAATTTTTATATTCAAAAAAAAGGAAAAGATGGTTTAGCACGAAAAAAAGAATAAAAAAAATATGAAATTCTCATAGTTAATAATTTCCAAATTATCGATTTAATGAAATCAACGAAAAAGAAAAGAAAAAGGAAAAGAAATAAAAGCGAAAGAAATAATTTTAAAAAAATCGATGGAAGTATTTCATTTCTGCACTAAAAAATTAATAATATTCATATTTTTCAGATACATTTTTTCATTTTCCTTCGTTTTTTCCTTCTTTTTTATCCTAAAAAAGGAAAAAAGATAAAATGATAAAGAAGAAAATAAAAATTTGAATTATTTCTTTAATATTTAAACACAGACAAATAATGCGTCAAATATGTTTGATCTAAAAAAAAAAAAAAATTGTTTTTGATTCGACTGATTCGATTAATTGATTTAGTGATTGATTAGATGCGAATGTCAGGTGATAAGAAGATGTTAAGAGTAAAGTTAAAGTTATAAACGAGTCACAAGGTTATTTGTATGATTGCACCTTTACCTTTGCATAAATATAAGCAATAGCTTCAACAAATAGTTTATTTTGAATTTGAAGCAATTTTAATCTTTCTTAAAAGTAATAACATATGACATTTGTTTTAAGATTTACGTCATCGTTATTAGCTCCAGCTAACTACTATTATTTTTTTTCTGTTTGAAATAGAATGAAATTTTTGAATTTATTTAGAAAAAAAAAAAAAAAAAGGTGGAATTATCAGATGTCATTAATTATTGTCATTTTATTAAGAAATAATATTAATTGAAAGCTATGATTTTACTTTAAAAAAAATGTTATTTTTTTCATTTTCTTTTTTATTCAATAGTTAATAAGTTTTTATGATTAAATAATTTCTAAAATTAATCTTAATTGTTTATAAAACAGATAGGCACACAATTTATCTATTATCATATCATATGATTCATGTGATAATTAATTAATTAATATATCAAATATATAAGAACAGTTCCTGTTTCTCTTTTTTTTGTTATTTTGTTTTGTTTCAAAAATTTTCACAAATAATATTTTAACCTAATTGTTGCACATCGATTTTTTTTTTAAGTAAGTAACTAATAAATGAAATTTTTTAATAAATTAAAATAATCAAAATCATTTCTAGGCAATTACGTTAGATTCAAAAAAATTAGATGAAAATAATACAATTGGAAATGAATCACAAATGAGTAGCAGTGCTGACGAAATGAATGCACAACATTCTATTGAAGGTAATTTTAAATTAGTTTTTTTTTTTTTTTTTTAAATAATTTTTCTTTTTTTTTGATTTTTTTAGGTTTGGGTTTGTCTTTTTTTTTTGAAAAAAGTAATTTATCAAAATCAATAATTTGAAATATTTTTGAAAATGTAAGAAAAAAATTATTCTCTATCATACAATTATTTAATGAAATTTCTTTTGTTAATTATTAAATTTCCTTAAAAAATCCATTTTATTTTTATTTTTTTGTTCTCTTTATTTTTTATCTTTTTTGGTAATTTTTTGTAACTAAAAGATTTGAAATTATCAAAGGATATTTGATCAAAATGGATATATTCAGTTGTATGTTTTACTTCTTTCGGTTTATTTTCGGAACAAAAAAAGTACTTCGACATTTCGATTTCGATTTTTTTTTTTAATTAAAACATCGATTTCTAGATGTGAATAAGTCATCACGACAAAATGAATCAAATGTTGGTATTGAAACTGGACGTGAAACGCTTATCGAAATTGATAAGGATGGAAAGGTAAGTGATAGGAATGAAATATTTGTTTATGTATGAATGCTATGAAATGAAATTTTAGAGGATATTCAGGTAATTCTCTCATTTCTTTCTGCATTAAACAATCATAAAAATGATTGAAATAATCATCGCATGTTAAATTTTCAAGTGAATTTATTAATGATTTAAAAAAAAAAGTTACTACTTGAAATAGTACTGATACAATTATATTGAATTGATTGATAATCATAAATGAGTGACCTAACATTTCTTTTGATTTGGTTTGAAAATGTGTTTAACAAAAAAAAAAAAGAAAGGAAAGTCTAGAATGTTTCCTTTTTTTTCTTCTTCCAATTTTTTCTTATTTGCAATTTTGTTTTTCAATTTAGAATTTCCAATAAAATAATCAATCAAATTGATTATTTTATTGGAATTTTTAGACGAAAATATAAAGAAATTTTTTCACTAATTCAAAATTTAGGGTTTGGGATTGAGTATTGTTGGTGGTTCTGATACGGTATTAGGTACGGTTGTTATTCATGAAGTTTATCCGGATGGTGCTGCAGCAGTTGATGGACGATTAAAACCAGGTGATCAAGTCCTTGAGGTATATATATTTTTTTGTTTTATTAGTTTTTTTTTTTTTTTTTAATTTGATTCGTTCAGTCATAATAATTAAAGTAACTCAAATAAATATTACTAGGAACATTTATTGAAATTGAAAATTTAGATCTAAAATACTTTTATTAGTATATCTGATTTCAATCATTGATAATAATTTATATAATTAGAATTTAGCAAATCAATTATTTCATTTAAAATTTATTGCTAAATTCAGGTAAATGGAGTATCCTTACGTGGCGTAAGCCATGAACAAGCCATTTTATTGCTTAGGAGAACACCAACTAAGGTTTGTTTATGATTAACAGTTAAATAATCATATCTCTTTTTCTTTTTGCTTTATTAGAAATATATTTAGTTTATTATTATTATTGCTGTAAATGAAATATCCTTGATTTTTTTGCAAAAAGTTAGAAATATCAAAATTCTTGTAAATACTGAATTTTCGTAAGACATTGCGATCTGTAATCAAATTTAACATTTTGAGATATTGATTGTTGAATGTACATACTAAATACAAAATTTATGTAAAAAATCTAAATTATTAATACTAAGTTATCATTAAACTTAGTCTCTTATAGCATAATTAATTAAGTAAAATTTAAATAATTTTAGACTTTCTGTAATTCTAATGCAAAATTTTCCTAATTATTACAAATAATATTTGATATAAAATTCTCGAAAAGAAAAAAAAAAGAGAAAAGACCGATAGAGTTAATGAAGTAAATATATATTTACCAATTGATTAATTATCATTTCTTTTTCAAATTAAGGTTTCATTATTGGTGTATCGTGATGTGAATCTACAACTATCACTGTTGGATCCAACACAAATTTACAATATTTTTGAAATGGAACTTACAAAGAAGCCAGGTCGTGGACTTGGACTTAGTATAGTGGGTAGAAAAAATGAGCCTGGTGTTTATGTTTCGGAAGTAGTAAAAGGTGGTGCTGCTGAAGCTGATGGACGCTTAATTCAGGGCGATCAGGTTATGATTCATTTGATTTATTTAATTTATTTTCAAAATTCTCCCTAAAAACTATTTTAAAATTTAATTCGTTACATGAGGATTAAAAAAAAAAAAATTGTGAAAAAACAGATCTTTTATATTATTATGTTAGGTTTCCCTTTGTTTTTTCCTCTTTTATTCTAAAATTTGATTAGCTTTCTTAATTTCTTACTGCAAATTTTAAATTTTACTAATATTTTAGCGACTATTAATTAATTAATTAATTAATCGAATTACATGAGTTATTTAAACTTATTAAATATTATTGAATATTCATTTTCTTTTTTGCAGATATTAGCTGTTAATGGTCAAGATGTAGCAAGTGCAATGCAAGAAGATGTAGCAGCTAAATTAAAAGTGTTTATTTATTTATTTATTTATTATGAAAAAATTTTCTTTTCAAAAAAAGTATAATAAAAGTTATAAAAAATAATAATTCTTGAAAATTTATTAGTAAATTCATAATGTTTTTTTCAGATTTTTAGTTTATTTTATTTATTTTTTTTTTCATTATGCTTTTATAATAACACTATAAAATCCAATTTTTCTCTCTCTCTCTCTCTTTCTTACTATCCTATTCAAAAAAAAAAAAAAGAAAGATTACTTTAGGCTTGCACTGGCCGTGTGACACTAAAAGTTGGTCGTTGGAAATTAACTGAAGCAGCTAACAAAGTGCATGCAGCAACAACAACCGAAGCTGCTTTATCAGATAATAAACAACAATATTCGGTTGATATAACAACGCAACAACAAACAAAATTAATTGCAACAACACCTAAAATTAAATTATTTGCACCAAATAATAATGGTTATTTAATCATTGATTTTATCTGATATTTTATCCCAAAAAAAAAAAAAAATAAATAATAATAATAATAATAAATAAATAAATAAATAAAACACTCAAGATTTATTTAAAAAAGCGAAAAAAAGGGGTTAAAATTTTTATTTAAAAAAAAAAAAATTATCATAGCTTTATTTATTTATTTACTGTTTCAAAAAATAATTTTTAAATTGATAAGTTTTAGAAAATAATTCGAATTTAATAACAACAACAAATGATCGTAAAACAATATCAATAACTGTTGCAAAATCACAATTATCAACAAATGAGGAAAATCAACAGTCACAAATTACGTATGCGGATTTGTCACCTGTAACAGAAGAATCAAGTAGTGGTGCTGATCAGGTTAATTGAAATTTTTTTTTCATAAATTTTTCATTAAAATTTTCTATATAAAATTTTCATCGTTGTTTTCAGTTTATTATTTATTTAAACTAAATTGATTCAGTCTTTCTAATTTTTTTTTTTTTTTATTTCGATCATTTTTAAATTTGTTATTTCTATTATATTATTCATATTAATTATATTTTATTATTATTATTCTTTCTTTCTTTTATTTTATCTTTATTTTTTATTTTTTTCAGAAATCATCAATGGCTGATGAAGAAAGTTCATCGGTGACAAGTATAGGACAAAACAAAGAAATTGAACTTATTAAAGAGCTGAATGAGGAGAATAGCGATTCACTATTGATGATGCTGAAGAAAATTCCGGATCAGCAATTAGGTATGGGAATCGGTAAACGTACACGTGGTATTCTGGTTACATCATTACAGCCAGGTAGTATTGCAGCAGAAAAATTAAAAGTTGGTGATCGTCTAATGGCAGTTAATGGAGTAGCGATAACTGATCAGGTTTTATTTATATAAAACTTTTACTTTAAATATTTTTTTTTTAATTTTGAAAATCATTTTTTTTTTTTTTTTTGAAAAAATAGTTTTTTGAATTAAAATGGCATTTTCGGACTGTTATAATTAATAAAATAATTTTCATCCTCTTATTATTATTAATGGATGAAGTAATCGCAGGAATATTTACATTTCATATTATTTTTTATTTTTGTTTAATTAAAAATTGAAACATTAAAATGAAATATTTCAGCTATCAGCAGTAGCACTGGTGAAAGCAAGTGGTAAGAAATTATGGTTGCAAATATCGCGACCAAGAATTTATCAAAATCCATAATTTTTTTTTTTAATTTAAATTATGATCAAGTTAATTTTTTAAAAAAAAAATAGCAAAAAAAAAAAATCAAGTTGATCATATTGCACAAATATGCTCGTTTTAGTTGTTTTTTCCTTTTTTTTTTTAATGAATGTTTAAATGGAGTAAATAATAATATTTAATAATAATAATAATCGTTGTTGTATTTCAATAATTTTCATTTCCCAAAATGGTTCAACATTAATTATTTTGTAAAGGTAAAAAGTATTGCAGGCAGGTATTATCATCATTATCTATAATAAACTTCATTTCATTTCATTTTTTTATTTATATATAAAATGATATGAATTTAATAACTTAAAAGCATCCAGTTCTATTCAATACTGAAATAATTTCAAACAAGATTTTAATAATATTTTATGAATAGAAATAAGGATAATGTTGAACAGAATAAAAAGATAAAGAAAAAAGAAACAATTAAATGAATTGAATATTTTAATCTTTGTACATAGTAATAAATATTTCTTAATTTTATATTTTGTTTATATATTTTAATATTCTGTATCATTTCGTTATGTAAATTTTCATTTCTTTGTATTATTTATTTTCTTTTTTCCTCACATAATTAGCTTAATTAATATAATTTGTTTTTGTTAATGCTAAGTATTTGTATGTATTACAGACGTAAATTGCAACATAATTTTAAATCAAAATATTTGCATGTAAAATGTGTTAATTGATTTGTTATTTCTTTTCTTTTTTTTTTTTTTTGTTTACTTTTTTTATTGATTTCTATGCTAATTGCTATATATACAACTGTGATTTATAATTAAATTAATTCATTGATGAGAATTTTCCTTTTTTTTTTTTTTTGTTTTAAAAAAAGCACAAATTTTAAGTATTATTTTTATAAACAAAAAGATTTTAATAGAATATGATATGATGCAAATGAAATATCTTCAAAAAAAAAGTTATTCAATCATTATTCAATCGATATTTTTTATTATATGTAAATGATTTACTAATGAAAAGCAATTGGATAAATATTATTTGAGAAATTATAATTGAAATAACGGTAAGATAACGTATAAATTTAAAACATATATTAAAATATATAATAGAATATAAATGTTAGATTTCAATGATTAAAAATTATAATCGAAATATAATTCTCATATATGATACTCGCATTGAATAATGTTTCAATTTGTTCTTTTTTGTATGCTATTGCAAATTTCTTATCACTTATTAACTGTAGCGAAAAATTTTTGATAATAAAATGTTAATTCTCTTTGTCAATGATAAAGAAAAAAATTATTTCATTTGAATTTTAATTGTGTGATTTGTGATAAAATTTGAACAGTAAAGAAATTATGAGATTTAAAATAGTTATTAATAAACAAATTAATTAAATAAGAAGAAATGTCAACTATTTCAGTTTCGTGACCTAAATAATGGAATTGAAATTGATTAAATGAGATTATTTGAAAATTTTTCAGTGTTAGTCTTTTTTTATTTTTTGGCTAAAATTTGTCTAAATTAGCATTTAATGCTTAAATTTTAGCTTATTGAGAAAAATTTAGAAATATTTAAATCTTAAGTTTTTTTTTTTTTTTTTGGAACAAACTATGGGATTAAACGAGTCTAAACGAATTTATTATCACAATCAAATCGAAATTATCTGATTAAATAAGTCATAGCTTTATCATCGCAGTAAAGTTGGAAGATTCATGAAGTTAATTATCAAATCTAATCTAATTATTAAATCACTCAAAGTCAAGCTAATGGCAGTGATTATGATCATAAAATAATAATTGGAAAATGAGAAAGACTTAGATTTCATCAAGAAAATGAAATTCATTAAGTTTTTTAGAAATTGCAATTAATGAGTAATTTTATGTGTAAAGGATTAATTTGAAATATCAAAGAACATTTGTTCTAAAAATACTTTCTTTCATAAGTAATAATTTAGCGAAAAGCCTAAAATGGATTTTAATTATAATCTTTTTGATAAAAATTTTGTTCCTTCTTGTCTCATCCATTTTTCATCTTTTCATATTTTTTTGAAAAAAAAAAAAATTAAAAAAATGAAAACTTTTTTGGATTCATTTTTCTTATTTAAAAAACGAATTACAATTAATAATATTTTATTATAAAAGAATAAAATTAATTAATTTTATTATTATTATTTTATTTCCCCTGTTGGTTGATAATTATTTAAATTAATTAACATAATAAGAAAGAACTGATTAAAAAAATAATAAAAAGAAAACGGTAACGATTAATAATGATAATAATGTGTCAGTTTCCTTTTTCGTTTTGGTTTACATATTTGTCTTAAATAATAAGGTAAAATTTATTTTTTTAATTCTTTCAAATAAAATAAAAATAGATAAATAATTATAAAATGCATATTAATATTAAATAAAGGATTTTGTTATCATTTCGTTGCCATGGCATCCATTCATTTAACCATTGCCAATGCTTTTTATTATTTACATTTTGTACCAAACTATTTCCAATAATAAATGTTTTACAACTGAGAATTTTCAATTTTGTTTCAATTTAGTTAACTATTGTAAATTTCTAGTTTATAGCATTTTTTTAATTATTTATTTTAATTTTGAGAAACTAAATTTTTCTTTTTCATTTCTGATAATTCTGAAATTTCAAATATTAGAAATGACTAATTATACATATATACCTAATATGAATTCTTATAACATTTTTTAATAATTTATTTTATTACAATTATTTATATATTACTTCACAACATATAAACATGCATTGTTATTTTAGTAATTTAAAAAATTTATGAATAAATGTTAATTAATTGACTAATTAATTAAATGATTGGTTGAACGATGTATGCTAAACATTATTGAAAAGATTTTTTCAATTTTTTTTTTTATCCACTAAATTGTTTATTTTTATTAATTTATTGCAATCAGTTACACATGTTTTTTTTTTTTTTTTTTTCAAAATATAAATTGAGATTTTTAGATTTGAATGAATTTATAGGATATGCATAGTTGTCTGCAAGATGATAAGTGATAAGTGATGGTTATTCGCCCTTCGATCGAGAAATGGTCGAGACAAGAGCTGGAAGATCACTATCATGTTCTTTATCAGCAGCATCATAGCTTAAAACGAAGTTACAATGAGTTAGAAAGTAAACTAAAACAGTAAGTTTAATCACTTAATTAATCAATTGATTAACTTATCAATTAATTAGTCATTAATTAGTATTACATACATATATCCGAAATTTTTAAACAGATCAAATGCCAAAATAAAACGTATTACCATCAGTGGCAAAGATGGCAGTAATGATGTTAATTATGCAGAATTAATTAAGGAAAATCGATTACTCACCAATAAAGTAAGTTAGTAATTTGTCATGTTGGATTATACTGTTAATCTAAAACATAAAAAATTTTGTTGAATATTTAATAGATATGAAATTAAAATGTTTAATTAATATTAGATTAAATTAGCTAGTACTTTGTTGTATATCTTTGTGATTTGTTCAAAATTTTGTAAATTAAACCTTTTTGCTTAAATATCTAATTTATTAATATCAAAAAATTTTTTTTTCATTATTTTTGCAGGAAAAAACATTTTTTTTTACAATAATTGATAATAACTATAGTCAAATTTGTGTATTATCTTTTTTCTTAATTTCTATACATTTCATCAAATTACGCTTGCTGTTATTGACAATCTAATTAAATGCTTGTATTCTTATCATTATTTATCAATTATTTATCGTTATCAATGAAATGAATTCAATTCAAGAAAAAATTTTTTAATTATAGTTGAAAAATCTAAAGCAACAAGTTCTAAGTTATGCTAGGCCAGGGATATCAACACAATGCTTACCTTCCTCACAGGTTTGTCATACTTTCATTACAATTACCTTTTCTGGCTAATATTTTTATACCTTTTTTTGTTTGTTTGTAAAAGCTTAAAATGCCTAGTAATTATTAAGGCTCATTTACCTATAAAACGGCCACAATCAGCTTTACCACGGAAACCTCAACCATTACAACAAACTGCTAATGTTTCATCACAATTTGTAAATATACAACAAAGACCAGCGACAGATGTGCAAAAAGTTTCCGACAGGTAACTTAAATCGGTTACGCTATTTACGTTATTTTTTTATAATCGTTTCGCGTAAAACACTTCATGAATATCATTTTAATAACAAGCTTTTTCATAAAACTAATGTTTTCCTTCTTTCTTTTATTTATTTGATTAAAAAAAATGGCTTACTTTTGTTTATATACTTTTCACCTATAAATACAGTCTGTAGGTTTAGAAATATTAGGAATAATAATAATGAAATTGATAACTTAAAAGAGAAATAATTAAAAAATGACAAAATAGAATATTGTAAAAAAAAGAATAAAATTAAATAAACCAGTGAATTAATTAATTTAATTAAGGAAGTCATTGCTTTTGGACAAGATACTTTTTGTTAAATTAAATCGAGAATTGAAACAGAAAGATGACGAATGCGGTTTATTAAAATGCAAATTAAATAATACTCAAGAAGTAAGTCTCTAAATTATTTCTTCTGTTATTTTTATTTTTTATTTATTATTAGAAAAAAACATTTATACATTTTTTATTTTTTTTATTTAATAATTGTCTTTTTTATTTTATTTGCTGTGAAATGAAGTAATTAATGCGATCTTGCATTAATTATTTGAATTTATTGAATTAAATGTATTTGAATATTCCCTGTGAAAATCAATAAAACAAATCATTTACTAGTACTTTAATAATCCCTACTTTTTTTTGAAAAAAATTCGTAAAAAATTTAAAAACTGATTCTTAATTCATACTAAGAATAGACATTCTAAAAATGAATGAAATTTTTTTTTTTTTGGAAAGTATTTAATTTAATTTTTTTTTAATCTCATATTAATATTATAGCACTTTCCTATCATTTCATTTCTATTTTGCTTTTAAATTTAATTACGCTAATGTATCAATCAATTTTTGCAGCAATTAGCAAAGCTTAAAGATGAATATGACCAATTGTTGGAACAATTTCAAAGTAAAGAAAATGAAGGATTGAAATTGCAACAACAATTTGATCAATTATCATTGAATGCTACAACTGATGCAAAAATTGAGGAGCAATCAAAAAATATTCAAATTATGGAGAAAGAATTGGAAATGATCCGAGAAGAAAATAAAATGTTGCATGAAGCAAATGAGAAACTTATACAAAAGTTTGTCAATAATGATTGTTAAGTTTAAATTTTTATAAAATTAAAATTTATTGAAATAGATGAGTTCATTCACCTTTTTTCTTCTCTATTTTAAAAATTTAATAAACAAATTATTTACTGTTTATTTAAGTGCACATCCAAAAAAAAAATATGTGTGAACATAAAGCACGTGAAAAAATAATTGTGGAAAAGTTTATTATCTAAAAAATAAAGAAAATGAGAAGAATTCGGAATGAAATAAATTTTTTGATATATGAATATTTTATTTTAAATAATAAAAGACACAATGGAAATGAATAATTTGTAATTATTGATCATTTAGATTATATATGGAAAAAATTAGTATGCGTGAATGAGTATACGTAAAATACGTAAAATTAATTGATGCTAATATCATATGTTTCTTTCTTTTTTCTCATTCATTCATTAATTAATTAATTATAGTTCACTAATGATCGAACAGCTAGTAGTGAAAGAGGATAAACAACAAGAAATGAGGAATGATCGACGCATATTGGAAATGGAAAAGCAATTAAACGAATTATTTGTGAAATATTCACAATTAAAAAAAGATTATCAGAATTTGCTGGGAACAAAGTTGAAATTAGAAGAAAGATTAAATAATCAAAATGATCAAAAAATTAGTGAAAGAATGATTGTTGATAAGACAACAAAGCAAACAAATGAATTTGAGAAAACGATAATGGAAAATTCGACAACAAATGATGTTTGTTTATTTTATCATATCGATAATAATTATAAATGATAAGATAATTTTGGATAAATTTACAACTACAACTTTTAAAGGTAACAATTAAACTATTAGCCAAAAAGAGTTATAGATAACAAAAAAAAAAAATGAAAGATTAAGATATTTTATTATACTGATAATAGTTATAGTGATAAGATAAATTAAAAAAAATTGTTTTAAAGAAATATTTATTCTAATATTTCAGAAATTTAACAAAACAGATTTTAATCTTGTAAAAATATACGAAGATTTGACTCGAATAATTGAAGCACATATTATCAAGAGATCAACGGATGATGATAATATTGATGATGATCATGATAATGGTGATAAAATGATAAAAGAAAAACAGGAATATGTTGATAAGTAGATCATTTCTGTTTTCATTTTTGCTTCATTTTTCCTTGATTTTTTAATAATATTAGCTTAATTTGGTGAATTTAAATTGTTTTTATTAATAATTTAAATAAAATATTTTTTGATAATTGAATTTAGATGGCGAATAATGTACATGGAAATTTATGGTGAACTTGAAAAGGTACGAAATATGCTACTCATTCAACATAATATCAATGAAAAACATCTTCAAGAGGTAATAATAAATTTAACATTTAATTATTTGATTTATGGTTTAAAAAAATCTAAAATTCTAAATAATTGTTAAAATATGTTTATGATTAAATAAAAAATTTCATTTTTAACATTGATATGCATGAAATTCATAAAATTTTTAGATATCATTCATAAATGTTATCTTTCTTTTTTTTCCTTTCTCTCTTCCTCCCTCTCTCTCTCTCTCTCCCTCTCTTCTCGACAATTAAACGGTTTAAATGAATGAAATTATGAAACAACTATTTTGAAATAAAACTGTTCTAAAATATTTTGAAAGGGTTAATTTGAAATAAATAAAGAAATTAATCAGTGATAGGAAATGAAATATTCGAAGAAAAAAATGTCAAATTAATCATCCAAAAATTTTATATTATTTTAATTTTTTTTTTGCCAGAAATTTTATGATATATGTATTAATGAATTAAAGTTTTATAAATGCTTAATGTTTGCAACTTCAGATAGCTTTATTAAATCAGAATTTAAAGCAAGCAAAAGCACACGCAGAAATTAAAATGAAAGATTTGATTGTAAAATTGAGTGAACGTGAAGCTGAAATTGTAAATTTGCAAATGCAATTGAAAACGTTGGCATATGATGAACAGATGCCAATTTCATGTGTTCTGGTATGTATTTTTCACTGTGATAATAATTAAAATTAGCATAAATATGAAAAAAAAAAATTAAAAACAGAATAATAATTTTAAAAATAATAAAAAAATTTGTCTTTAATTTTTAATTTTATCAAATTTGAGAAATAATTTTTTTTGAAAAAAACGATAATAAATATATGCAGTGGTTAAGTCAAATTAGAAATTAGCGAAAAAATTAAGGAAAAGATTTTGAGATGTTTAAATTTGATAAAACTTTAATGTTAATTGCTATATTTGAGACGAATGAGCAAGAAATGGAAGCAAATGAAATGATGTTGCATTTATCAAGAATAGTATTAAGCTCAAATGGCATGGCGCAAATTGGTACTCTACGACCTGTCATTTTTCTGGCAATTGAATTTTATGATTTTGAATTGCAAACAACACCAATGTTAAATGGATCTGAGTAAGTTCAGCTAAATAACAAAATTTGCAGTAAATATTTAATGATGAAAAAGTGACATACATATAAACATAGAAGTAAGCAATAACTCATTAATTTGCGCATTTTAAACGAAATTTGCCTCAAATCATAGAACTTTTTAGTTTCTGGGAATAACTTTTGAAGGAAATAAAATTAGTTAAAAGTCACGAAATTATACTGAAAAAAAAAAATGTAATTTTTTTAATGCTAATTTATAGCCAATGGTTTTTTTGTACAAATTATTCTTTTATTGACAAATTAATTCTTACAAAAAAAAGAATTCAATTTTCATTATAGAATTCAATTCTTTCATAAAAAAAAATTTTTTATTAAAAAAATTGTAGCATACGATTGGATTTTTCAACAATTTATGATGTTATTGTTTCAAATTTATTTCTTCATTATTTAGAAACAGTAAGTTTTTTTTTTTTTTTTTCGCTTTCCATTTAGAAAGTTATTATTTATTTAATGCAATATAATACCAATATTTTTGGTATACAAATAATTATAACCAAAAAAAAGAAAAAGAAAAAATGCTAAAAGAAATTACAGCTTATTATTTTTTTTCTAATAAATTTCATTTTTATAGTATGTAGTAAAGAAGATAAAAATTATAAAATCTTTTAAAATTAATTTTAGTTCGTTAATACTTTCAAATTTTTAATTTAATTAAAAAGTTATTAAGTAATCATTAATTCTTCTTGTAATATATATTTTGTCCTTGTGCATTTAGCATGGTATAACAATTGAAATGTATCAGCCACGTGGCACCGATTATATTCTTTGCTCAATTGGTATTATTTCATTAAAACGATTAATTAGCATAAATGAGTCATACAGTGGTGTGCTTCATATGAAATCATTGCATGATGGATGCTTATTTGCAACAATTGAATATGATATTAGCATAAATTCTAAAATGATTAATGCATTAATTTTGCAAAAAGTGCGCAATTGTAATTACTCATCGATATTTGTTGATTATTTTGTGATTACTTATCAGTTTATCAGTCAACATTTGTTAATTTATTATGTAAAGTATCTCGCTGCTTTTTTTTTTTTTTTGAAAAACATTTTAAAATTATAGTTTATAATTTCAAATGTTGAAAATGAAAAAAAAAGAAGAGATTTATAAACATTTTTATAAATAGAGCAAAAAAATATTTATATTATGATTAAATTTATTTGAACATGAGAAAAAAAATCATTAAGATAATTAATTAAAATATTATTCAAGAATCGAAGATTTATTTTCTTTAATAGTTTGTCAACATTTTCTCTTTTTTTTATTTTATTTTTTGGAAGTTTAAACATAAATGATACTCATTTTCTTTTATTTATCAAAAATATTTCTTTGTTAATAGTTTTTTCTTTTAAAAAAATGTTTTTTATTTAAATTTAATACCATATCAGAATTAATGAAATTAATTTCTAGAAAAAATTAACTGTTGTTAGTATGGGAGCATTAGCTGACAGTGATGAATCGATCAATCAATCAATGTATAATGTACTAATTGTTAATATACAACGTTGCGCTAATCTTGATAAGCTTATCAACGGTGATTATTCATTCATTTCTATTAAATCTTACTCCAAACTTTGTTAAAAACTATTAATTTTTATTACTTTTTCATCATTTTGATTCTTCTCACTGATTTTAAAAATAATTATTTAATTATTGCTAAATTTTTATTGATGTCCAGTTTCAATTTTTTTTTTTTTTTTATAATAATCATTCAGACAATTATGCCCCAACAACGTTAATTTCATATGAATTGTATGATTATGATGCATGGCGAACACAATTAGTGCTAAATAGCATTAATCCGGAATATAATTCCACCAAAACATGGCTTTTGCCAACCGGAAATGATTTATACAATGTTTTACGTTCATCGGTATGTGTTAATTTGCATTTTGTTTTGTTTTTGTATTTATTTAATTACCTGAATGATAATCATTTTGTCATTAACAACTTTAAGTGTTATGATGTGAAATGAGAAAGCTTATCAAAATTAACAAACACTTGAAAAAATTCATTACTAATAAGTTATTATATGCATATGCAATGTTTCAGTACTTATTTAATTTCTTTTAAATTAGCAAATTATTTTGTAAGGTTTAATGGGTTGTTTTTTTAGAGCAATAATTTTATTAAATTCAGCAGATTTATGCAATAATATTTTGTTAAAAAAAATTTTTAATAAAAATTTGTCAAATTTTTTTTTTTAAAAGAAATCATATTTTATTTTATTTTAGCATTTAACAATAGTTGTTTTGGAGAAACAAACACATAGTAATGAGGAACGTCAAATTGGTTATGTCAATATTGCGCTTTATCCGCTTGCTCATAACAATGAAATTTCCGGAACATTTCCGCTTCATTCGGTAAATTATGACGCAACTAATAATTAATTGCTTTTTGAATAAAACTGTAATTTTGCAGTGATTTGTTTATGATGTCGCAATCATTTTGCAGATGACAAGGGATATACCAACAGAAGCATCAATTGATATTTCAATAAGTTGGAAATTTCCGTATCATCCGCCTGAACCGGAATTAGAATTGACAAGTACTATGGTACTGTTGCAATTTTTTCTAATAAATATAAAAAAATTGCTAAAACTTTAGAGAAAAACCAAAATTTAAAAATTTTTAATTATTACTGCAATAAAATTAAATTTTAGCTTGCTTTATGTTTAACAAAATCAATAAATAGCTTAACTAACTAATTTTAAATTTAAAATTTAACTTTTTAGACTTTAGTTTCCAATTTTTTTCAGGAAAATGTTAAACGAAGTATTAAAACAAATGGTATAGTGCAGGAGGGAAAATTAATAAATGGTTGGTCAAATTTAACAGATAGCTTTAATGATAATAACGAAAGTGCAAGTAAGAAAGAAATTGATGGAAAAATCTATGAATTAGACGATTTGTCGCAGAAATGTCATAACAATGAGTCACAAAAAGTGTCACCAAAGTAAGTTATTTGCAGAAATAAAAGGAAATCTTTTTTTTATAAAAAATAAGAAAAGTGAGAAATGCTTAAAATTTGGAACATTTTAATACTATCTTTGAAAAAATACGACAACAAATATTAAAAATTTGAAATAAATCAATATTGAATCAAATTGTAGCATCCAACTGAAATATTAATTGAAATATTAATCTAAATTTAAATAATATTAATTTAGACATTTTGTGTTTTAAAATTTGGAATAGTTTTTAAAAAAAAATTAGTCATAAAATATTTCTTTTTTAAATTATTCTTATTCGTTTAGTTTAATGGAAAGCATCAAGCAATCATCAATGATAAATGATGAATTTATTGCTACAAATGAAGATTTTGAAGGTGAAAATTTCCATTTTCACATAGATTCTATGAATGATATAAAGAAAGCAATGCCAAAAGTAATTGATATTGTGGATGATAAAGATGATAAAATGGATAATCAGCTTACCAATATGGTTTACTTTCACATTTTTCTATCATTTTTTTTTTCTTCTTTTGTTAAAATTTGATCATTTCGAAAATTTTCAAAGAAAAGAAATTAATAAGTAATAATAATATTTTATAAGTAATAATAAATAAGTAATAATAAGATCGTATCATCAATCATGATCTTTTTTCTCTGCAGATGTTAAATTTTGGTGATAAGTTATCATTAATTTAACAGAAAAAAATTAGTTTAATTATTAAATTAATTATCTAATTAAATCTTTTCATAATTTAATTTAGGAGGAAATGAATGAACAACATAAATCATCAATTTTATCAGAAAAAAGACGAAAAATTCCTCATGCAGTTGAATTTGCTGATCCAATTCAGGAAATATTTTCACGTATGCAAATATTTAATTCTTTTTATTTAATGTTTTATTTTTATTCTTTTCAAATATTTTATGTCAAATTATTTCTTCGTTAAATATTTAATTGCTTAATTATTTAGTAAATATTTAATTCTTTTCATTTAAACATTTACAATTTTTTTTTTAAACTATTTTTTTTTTAGAAAAATCTGATTTTTATTTTTTTTTTCAGCAAGTACGAGTAGCATGGATGAAACAATAAATAGTTGGACAGGTGACGATGGACAAATTATTGAAGATGATATTTCAATTATCAGTTGCAAATATTCACAACTGAATGAGAAACTTCCAGATCTTAGCAGCAATGGTTTTGATAAGGTATGATAATAAAAGTAAAATGAAGATAAATAATTTAATCGCTACTTTTAAATTTAATTTATAAGCAAATAATTTGTGACAAATAATATGAATTTTCTTTTTTTCTCCATTTTTATAAATTGGAAATTTTCGAATATTTGAATTTTTTTGAAAATCTCATTAATTAGACAATATTTACATTATTATGCAAATTAGCATGATTTATTCTATTTCTTTTTAAAGTTTAATCTACTCCTTTTAATTTGAATAAAAAAGACAAAATTATAAAAAGTTTTTTTTTTTTTTTTTTTTTTTTGTGAAGCAATAAATGAATGTGAATAAAATTAATTCATAAAATTAAATTCCATTTTCAATTCTCTTTTTTTCTATTTCCTACTTCAATACAAACAAACATTATATTTGTTATAATTCGAAAAGGAAAATCTTTTTTTGTCTTATTTTAGTTGTCATCATGCAACAATTATATTATTGAACTGATCATTGGAAGCCTTCATATCAATGATCAATCAAAATTGATTGATCCTTTATACAATGATCAATCAATTTATATCGAGTGGAAATTGCTGGATTTTCCATCGGAGGAATGTGAAACAACTGGCGAATTACTGCCACTTCCACGTGACACACAAACAACGGCAGATTTTAACTTTCAAAAATGTCATTTCATTCATTCATACAAATTAAATTAAATTTTCAGTTTCAAATGCATTTATATAAATTTTTAAAAAATGCAAAAAAATTAAATTAATTAAATTTATTGCAGCATATACATTAAATAACAAACAATATTACCTGTTGCGACAATGGATTGAACATGGAAATAGGTACAAAAAAAAAAACTTACTCTCCAAAATTGCATATTTGTTATCAAAATTATCATTTGATAATAAACATATGACAATGCTTCATTTAGGTTGGAAATAAATTTGGTAAGTAATGGGAATAATTTGAAATCAAGTGAAGATCTAGGCGTAGCGTACGCTGAATTAGATGCGCAATACAATGCAGAAAAACGTCTAATACAATGTAAGAATAATTTAATAAATTTTTTGAAAAAAAAATCTGTTTTAAATTTATTTGGTGATGTAAAGTAAGACAAATGATTAAATTACTAAAAACAATTTCTTCTTAATTCATCAAACTTTTGGAAAAAAACTTTACTGGAAGTTTTTGGAAATAAATAATAGTTAAATTATTCAAATTTTATTTTTCGTAGTAAAATAAAAAATAACATTAATAATTAGTAACAAAAAAACGAAATCTTTGTCATGAAATGATAAATTTTATTTGCGGGAAAACTTCAATTCTTCAAATTTCATTTCGACAAAAAATTTTCACAAAAATTTGTTTTTTTTTTTTTTTTTTTTTTTTGGAATTTTTCTTTTCAGTTACTGATATAAATGGAATTGAAGTTGCGAGCATTGATATCAGTATATCATACAATAAAAATTTATTGGAGCAACTTCAGGGAATTGGAAAAGTTCTAGAAAATGAGTGAAATATTTTAATTTAGTATTTGTTCAATATTCAGTCTTATCTGTCATACAATTATCATTGCTTTATTTCCTTTCTTTTGTTTTTTTTTTTTTTTTTTTTTTTTGAAAATATTATAACAAAAAATAATTGCGAAAATATTTTGAAATTGTATATTTGTTATTTTTGATAAATATAAAAAATCAAAAAACTAAAAATGTGTATGTTATATGTGTAACATATTTTGAATAAAGCAAAAGTTTGCAAACTCTTTTAAATCTGTATTATATTAGTGTTGAATAAAATTAAATAAATATTAAATTTGTTGGTCAATCACTGAATTACTGTAAATTTGAATAGTTTTTTTTTTTTTTTCCTTTCATAATAATATAAATTTGTAAGGAATTTTCTCGAAATATATTAGAATGCAAAAGACGAAATTGTTAGATGAAAAGAAATAAATCTATTTTGATCTTTTAAATGTCTCAAATCAGTTTTATTATTATTTTTGGGGGTTTATCATCATTTTCTTTCCGTTCCATATATTTATCTTATAGCTATATATAGTTTATAAATCATTTAATTAATTGATTAGGTTCCATTATTATTTCTTATTAATAACCAATTGGTTTGGTGGTACACTTTATATTATAAATTATTGGAGAGAAATATCAATGAAATTATTCGTTATTTAAAATAACATCAAAAGGTACTTGTCATAAATATAATATTCTTCAACAGAGAAAAATTAACACATTCCGATTTCCGTAAACGGATAAATTGGTTTGAATGAATAATATATAATTTTCCTGAAAAGTTGCTCACATTTGATATTGTAATAAGAATTGAATTAATTGAATGAAAATGGAGCATTAAATTAAAAAATTTAATTTGAAATTATAAAATAAGAGAATATAATCTAATATTATTCGATTTAATTAAAGTTGTCATAACCTCAGTTCAAATATATTTTAACATTTTCTTGCTACTTGCTACATTTTCATTATTATCATATCACTATTTTCTTCATACTTGTATTACTAATACTAAATTATGATTTAATATCATATTTCACACTAATTACTGAAATTCATTTCGAATTTTTTTTTTCTTTTTTTTTTGAGATTTTGATTCATATGAAGAAATAAAAGAATGTGGAAATAAAAAATGGAAAGAAGAAAAAGTTCATAGTGTGAAGAAATTATACACTGAAATACCATCAATTTTAAATAATTGTGTGAATACTACGAATTGTGAAACATTTAATCTACATTTAACATTTTAGTTAATTAGAATTTATTTAAACTTTTTCAAATTTGATTAATAAAATTATTTTTAAAATTTAGAGAAAGCAAACGAAAATCAAATTTGACGACGTATTTGTGTGAATTGAGAAATTTCTCGTCTAAATTATTGATAGATACATTGTTAATTTTAAAATTTGAAAGTTTGAAATTGTTTTTTCCTTTTTTTTTTTTTTTTTTTTTTTTTTGTAATTAAAATTGTTATCCTAAATAATATGTTGCCTCTCAAAATTTTTTAGCTTACTTAACAAACAATGCTTATCAAAAGTTATCATTAAATTGGAAATGTTATGATACGATGAAATCTTTACTAACTGGGAAGAAAAGCATAAGAGACAGTAAAGTTATTATCTTTGAATTGAATACCATTGGTTTGTATAATTTTCTCTTTCATTTTTCTATTCTTTCCTTTTTGGAAAAATTTAAAAAAATGATAGAAATATATAATCAAATTACAGGAGAGTGAATTTTAACACAATGAAGCATAAATTCAAAATGGAAATTGAAAAAATTTATTATTGTTTATATTCTTACTTGATCATTTTTTTTTTACTGTCAAATGATATGCTGAAATTTTATACCCTTGTCTTGAGTTTGATAAGAATAAAAAAATCGTTACTAACGTTTTATCACACAAAAAATGTTAGCATTCTCGTGTTAATGTTTAAGAATAAATTCTCATTAAAATAATATAAAATAAATATGAGTGATAAATTAACTGATATGAGCAGAAATATTCGTGAAAAAAAAGGATATGACAAATTCTCGGATAAGTATATTTGCGAAGTATCACTTTTTATTGTTTTATTTGTTTGTTTCTTGCATATGTGATATTGAAATTTGAATCATACTAAAGAGAAAAGCGAGAATTACAAAAATTTAAGCAAGGCTATTAGCGTATTTGCTTGAAGATTCATTAAATTTATTTCATATCTTAAGATGACATTTAAACATTAATTAACAAATGCTAAAAATTTTAAATTACTGATTGGAAAATATATCACAAACGTGTTGATAAACACATTAAAAGAGAGTAAAGTATGAACGAAAAAAAAGTATAAAAGTAAAAAAAGAATGTAAAACATCAACGAATTGATATCGAAACATTTTGAAAATAATATATTTGGTATAAGAGACTTGTCATCTTATCACTTTATCAGGTCTAATTGTGAGCAAATGTTTATCTATGCAAATAGCAGGCTAATGCACCAGACTATGGCAGAAATTATTGCATGAAATCTGTAGATCTAGTAGATTTAGACTTAGGATTAATTTATTTTATTATTTTGTGTTTAATTTTATTATTTTGTGTTTTAAGAGAAAATGAAAAAATTAACACTGTTAATCAATTAAATCTGATTCAAATTTCTTTCACATTCCCTAAATTCTAAATTATGATGAGCAGATGGTCAAAAAATTCAAGGATTTGGAAGACAAATTTCTAAATATAGTTTTTTGTTTTCATTTGCAGTGGGAAATTATTTTTTGCTTTTGTTCTTTCCTTCCTTCCTTCTCTCTCTCTCCCTCCTCTCCTTTCTCTCTTTATCAATTTATTATCGATTAACTTTTTCCATAACAGATAATTTTTTTTTTTTAAAAAAAATGAAATTTTGAAATGAAATTCATTGTCTATGAAATTAAATTCACTAATTGAAATTAATTATTTGAGACATTGAAAATGTACAACATGAATTTAACCACATTTATAATATGAAGTGTTAGTCCTGAAATCACAACAAATCTAATGAAATAAATATTATTGTTCGGAATTTATTGATTAAATCAGCTATATAATTGAATAATTAAAGTTAAATTTGACCAAGATTGGTTCCACATTCTCTAATTGCTAAATTTTTATTCCTAACAGATAATTTATAACAGAATTTTGCAAATAATGGAAAATTAGTTATAATAAATAAAATAATGTAAAAATTCAATGTAGGAAAAGTAACGTAAATTTTAATGAAAAATTAAATTCATTAGATGACTAGAATTACATTTCACTAAATGATCAAATTGCAGTTTGAATTTGCTAATTTTCTTAGACAAATTAAGTCATAATTCAAAATCTTCAAAACAAAATTTTATCCCATACAATTAAATTACAAATTTAAATTTCAAAGTAAAATTATAGAAATAATTGGTTATCAATATTATGCTTATTGACTTCTTTTTGACAACACTAACAATCATCACAATAATTCTATTTTAGTGACTCTTGAATCATTTCAAATAATAATTTTCTATCGAATCTGATTTTTTAAAGTACTATAATAACTAGTAAAAACCACAACACGTTTCTGCATACGCAACAGCGTGACATTATTGTCCCGAGAAAAATGACGTAAAACTAGTTAGATATCTCTGCATTGAATTCACGTAACTCAGAATAATGATAGTAATAATAATAATGAAAATAATAATAGTGTGAAAATATTCAAATTTTAAAACTTCTTAAAGCAATTTTGCATGATATATCATTCATGCCTGAAATAATGTCGTCATATAACTTTTCAAAATTACGAATGCCCCTTGACCTCCTAGCTTTCCGTCCTCTTTTCCCACAGCCAAAACATCCACCAAAGTTTATCTTAACTACAATTCAATCCCAAATAAATAATTTTACACATAAATAAATGTTATGCCTGTATTTTACGGTTAGCCGCATTTAACTGTTCCTTGACCTAATAGTTGACGTAGTTACGTCATTTAACTATCCTTGACTTAATAGTTTACGTAGTTGCGTTATTTAACTATCTCTTGATTTAATAGTTGACGTAGTTACGTCACTTACGTTTCCTTATAAAACTGCTATTTCACTTATGCTTATGCAGTTATGTTTGCCTGTTTTATTTGCATCTGCTTATCAATATAATTAATTTTTCCTTTTGTTTTAAAATTTCAGAATTACGTGACACACAGCTTTTTATAATTGTGATGCCTTTACCACCAGCACTTCTTGCTCGACTTAAACGACGTGGAATTATTCAAGAAGGTTTGATAATTCATTAAAAACTACATTATGTTGATTAATTTAAATGAATATTTCATTTTATGTTGAGGGGATTCATTCAGTTTAATCAATTTTGTTAATATGTTAATAAAAGATTCATTTTATATGAAAATTAGCAGTTTTGATGACACATTGGGTCTTATTTTATGACATTGTAAAATTATAGGATAAATTTTTTTCTTCTCTGATCACTATTGCAAAAATTTTACTGAACAAAAGACATAAAAGTTACCAATAAAAGTGATATATTTGTAATAATTTGTAGATGCTGCTGAAGAAGTGATAGCAGAGAGCTATGATGCGGAAATACCTACTGGAATACAAAGTAACGCACGTCAAAAGACGGAAAAGAATGCTTCGGGAGCTCGTGGATGTCCGAATAAATGGAATCCTTATCACTACTGCGTACAATTTTGCTATGATCATTGGAAAGATGGGACAAATGAAAATAGGTTTGTTGTTTTCGCGACTTCCGTTCGTTTAAGTTACTATAGCTTCTTTTGTATTTCAAAGATATCTTTGAAATTATCACAAAATTACTTTTATTGCAATAGGTATGTTTTTAATGGGACGGAATTATTTTGGCTAAAGTGAAGTCTATAAAAGTTATTCGAATTTTCTTAATTAAAGCATCGTTTTATCAAATTTTCTTAATTTATTGCAATAATATTGCAGTGCAGTCAAAAATTTTTGTTTGCAAGAAGTAATTATTTTATAAATACGCTAGCATATAAATTTCTACTTTTCAGACTTACACAAAGATATCTTGATCAGCGAGCTAAAATTGTGAAGAAATATCCATTGCCAAATGGTATGTTTGTAAAAATAATAGTTAAATTTGTATTCTGCAGGTTCTTTTTTTTTTTTTTGTGAACATTGATTTTTTTCCCTTGAATCTGTTGTTTTATAGGTTGGAAAGAAGTTTATGATCCTGGTTGCATGCGTCATTATTATTGGTGTCCACGAACTGATGAGGTGTCTTGGCTCCCTCCCAGACATCCTTTGGCTGTTATTGGAGATGCTGCACCGAAAGTTGCGAAAGGTTTCGATTATCATTTTAATTTAAAATCATTTTAATTTGGACTCATTTGGCTTAATTTGGTTTAACTTAGTTTAATTAAAATATTTTAATTTTCTTGTTTGATTCTGAAACGCTGTACAGTCTTTTTTTTAGAGTTATTTGAAAAAGGTGAAAATACTAATGGTCTTGGCGAGGGTAGAAAAGATGGTAATGAAAGGAAGGATGATGAGGAAAGAGAAGTTTACAGAGAGGATCGGGGAGGTATAATCAAACGGTATGATGAAAACAGGTCGAAGAGAAAGGTTAAATTTGCTAGCAGTGGTGTTTCTCTTTTTAATCAGAAAAGAAAAGAGAAAAATAATCTCTTACTGATAATTTGCTTTCGTTTTAGCGAAGAGGTTCCATATCAGATTCGGAAGTTAGCGATCGTTTATCAGCTTCTGAAAGTGATGAGGAAAGCAGGCCTGAGCTGAATGACAGAGATAAGCTGAGTGAGTTCCATTTATTTTATTTCAGAAATAAAAGTATGTTCCTTCATGATTCCCGTCACGATTTAAATAAAAGTGAAGTGATTTTTATTAGTACATTGAGCGAATTTTTTTAAGTTTTTTTTTTTTTAGTCTATGTTGATGTTTAAAGCAACAGGAATTGTATGCATTAATGAAAGATGTTTATGATTTATATCAAAACATGAAATAAATTTTAAGTCATAATGTGCCAAACAAAATATTATTGAAATCTTATTAGTACAGTCATGTTACCAAACTTTAAATTGGGTTTTGTATGTGAATATGTTTATGTTTCTCAGAACGTGCCAAACGAAAAGGAATCGATCCAATGGATCCAGCTGCTTACGGTGACAATGTTCCTATGTATGTTTTTTTCTAAATTCCAAATTCTTTTTCCGGCAACACTTTACAGTTATTCACCAAAAGATTCCATCTTGCTACTTCATTTTTGCTGTTTGAGTTCAAGTCTGATTTTTCTTTTTTCAAGAACAGAGTAGCACACTCAATATATTTTAGGGCTCATTTTGTTGAATGATCGTTCTTGTATTCAGGTGTACATTAGAAAATCAAAATATTGGAATATAGGAATAAAAGAGCTAGTCAGCAAGATTATTGAGTTAGGTGTCACAGAATGGTTTTTTAATTTTATAAATGCAATGATATACATGAAATTTTTCAGTGGTACATGGAGTTCTGGTTTACATGCCCACGATAAAACAGGTGCCGATGTTACAGCTAGTGGTCCTTTGTTCCAGCAACGGCCTTATCCTGCTCCAGGCGCAGTTTTACGGAGGCAGCAAAAGGAACGAGAGAAGTAGTCCTTGGAATGATGCTTTTCTTTTTTATACGTTCTTTTTTTTTTTTTTTTTCTTTGTTTTGTCTCTATTTGAATGTATAAAAAGATAAATTTTGTGATCACTTGTATTACTTTTGCAGTTGCATTTCATATACATTTATTTATTTCCATGCCGTTGTTTCGATGAATTTGAGAATATTCCTTCAAATCTGTAATTTGTCAGGAACAAATTTGCGTTGTTTCATAGAAAGATTTATTGATATTATTTTACGTTCAATGATTAACAGAATCAGTTGGGGAGGGACAATATGATGCATTTATTAATTTTGTCCTAGTGAGATCTGTGAAATGGTTACCAATGATGATGCATTCCTGGAATCAACTGAACGAAGGACCGTTACATTTAGCATTTCACGTAGGAATCCAGCTTATGGAACAGTTCTTGCTCTTTCTGCGACTGGTTTCAGTATTGAAAAGTCAATTATTTTCACTGACGAAATGTTCAACGAAATGATACTGTAAGTTCAAGTGCAGAGCTGTGCTTTTTCTCGGTTTTTCTCGAGTTTGGAATTTAAATATCTCTTGCCACTGGATTTTTTGAGTCGAGAAAATTTATTGTTTAAACAGCATCAATTTTTAACTTTTATTTGTGAATATAAAAAATTTTCATAGCATTTATTTGTATATTATCATTTTTATATATTATTATCAGTGAAACGATAAGGAATTGAAGCTTCAGTATACTAGATGTCTAGCCATTCTTTTTGCTGGAATGTTCACATGCTTATATAGCTTATGCAGCTGCAGAGACGATTTCTATACCTGAATTCATTGCAACATTCGTTGCACTTAAAATGATTTCTTCATATATCATTCTGTTTCTCATTCCAGAGATGGGATGAAATATACAAATGACGCTTCCATAGCGCGTTTCATTATTCGTAGTTCTGATAAAGCGGGTGATTTGTTTGGAAGGGATATTATTGAGCAAGCTGAGGTAATTGCTTTTCTTTTTATTCTTGGATGATTTAAATTTTTAGACTTTAGGAGAGGTTGGTTGATCTCGGGGAGATTCGTTGGATGTGGATATAAATATGTGGGTAACAGACGAATATAATAATTCTTTTATTAGCAGAAGCAATAGTACAATAACTTGATAGAGAATTGAAGTTGAACGATCCTGGTTCTTGGTAAAAAACACAATATCCCCTCTCAACAAGGGTAACTGGCCTCTTTATGTAGCAAGCACCATATATTTTAAAGTAGTTTGGTAACCGATTAATTTAGATTTTTAAATTTTATGCCCAGTTTATCCCTTATTTTGCACTTTATTTTTAACCTTTTTTAGTATTTCGGTTTGCTACTGGTTGTTCATAATTTTCTTAATTTAAATCTTTTAGAAGTAATTCTCGGTTGATGGAGTGGATCGATATTCTTTACTTTTTTTTCAGATTTTTTGTTTAGATTGATTTCTGGGTGATAGCAGTTGAACGGTATTTAGAGCATGATGATTTGGGGGATTTGATGAGATCAGCTCAAGAAAAATTAACAAGTAATTTATATCTGTGCCTGAATCGACGTACACTTGCGGATATTATGCTGTGGACTGTTATAGCTGCAGATGCCAAGGTAATATGTACGTGTTTTTTTGCGGATACGAAATTTATTGCGTTTCATTTATTACACTTTGGTTGAATGTGCTAAAAATTAAAATTATTTAAAACCATTTAAAATCTAAAGTCTACAATCAACTTTTAATTGATTTTTGACAACAGAAATGCTTTTACATTTCTTTTTTATAATCCTTTAATGAGGGCAATAGAAAATCTTGCAGGCTCAACAACAAAAACCTTTTTCGACATTCTTTGAAAGTATACTGTATGATCCCTTATTTGCTGATGCGCATCATGCTATTGGCAGATTTCGAATAGGGACTCCAGAAAAGTTAGAAAACGAGAAAGTGGAGTCGGTAAGTCTAGATTATCCACCTAACTTTTTTTTCTGATCTTGAAACAAAGCCTTATTAAGAAGTGAAGTAATAATGAGTCTCTTTTGAGTAGCAACGACGTGTAGTCTTGGGATCTTTTTTACTAAAATAGTGATAGATTGTTTTTGTGATATTGTCGATATTATCTTTAATTTTTCCTTGATTGTGGAACACTGTAGGGAATTATAAGGAATCACTTGTTAATATACTTCAATTATGTTTATTGTTGGAAGTTTAGGAAACTACAATGGCTATCAAAGGCCAAAAGGAATCAACTAAAAGTGTTGAAGGAAAGAAAGCGCAAGACCAACTAAAAGATGAAGGAAAATTTATAGAATTGCCAGGTGCAGAAAAGGGAAAAGTGGTAGTTCGATTTCCCCCTGAAGCTAGTGGGTGAGTAATTTTATCTCTGCTATAAATATATATTATCTAATGCAAAAGAATCCTTTTTTCCAGATATTTGCACATTGGACATGCTAAAGCAGCTCTTTTAAATCAGTATTATCAGCAAGCTTTTGAAGGAGAATTGATTATGCGATTTGACGATACGAATCCAGCAAAAGAGAATGCTCATTTTGAACAGGTTCCTGATGCTATTTGGTGATTTTGATATATGTATCACAAAAATAATTTAATTTATAATTTAAACTTTCTCTGCTTTAAAATTCACAAGGTTTTTTCTCATTATTTACAGATTATAAGACTTTCATTAGAAGACAAATCATTAAAAAATTGTAATTATACATAAAATGAAAGTACAGTATATTTGATGACATAAATCACATGACTAAATACTGCAGTACGAGAGAAAATTTCAAACTTTGTTTTAGGTAATTTTGGAAGATTTGAAAATGTTAGAAGTGAAGCCAGACAGATGGACGCATACATCTGACCATTTTGACTTGATATTAGAAATGTGCGAACGTTTGTTGCAAGAAGGGAAAGCATATGTTGACGATACGGATGCCGAATTGATGAGAAAAGAACGCGAAGGACGCAAAGAAAGCCGATGCCGTAATAATAGTAAGCTCGTTTGTTTAATAATTTAATAAATTAACGAAATCATTATTTTTATCATTATTTTATGTTTAATCATAAGTAGTTTTCACTTTAAAAAGGAGGATTTTATGTATATTAGTGTCAGAATATCATACTTCAAGTTCTTTAGTTCAAGTAGGTTATATATGTATATTTCTTTACCATTAAATTTATCTAATAAAAAATGGGGTAATGCACCAGTAGTTGTACTATTTATTGTTTTACAGTGCAGTATTTTCCTTTTCATGTTTCAGAATTCATGGAAATAGAAATAAGTATTAAATGATGGAATGAACTTATGTTTTTTCATTTAAATTTTGAAGCTCCCGAACAAAATTTGGCATTATGGGAAGAAATGAAACGAGCAACCTCAAAAGGACAGAAATGTTGTGTTCGAATCAAAATTGACATGCAAAGCAATAATGGTGCAATGCGCGATCCAACAATTTATCGCTGTAAAGCAGAAACTCATGTTCGAACTGGAAATAAATATAAGTTAGTTTTTGCAATTATTATTGTCAAGTAGCATTCTAAATCTTAAAATATAGCTGCGCATTTTTGTGGAAAGACTTTTTTCAACACCGTTAGTGTAAATAAGGGTCAGGAAAGTAGAGCTTTTTAAGTTTTTTCCTTTTTTTTTTTGTTGTTATTAGAAATTTGTCTAAAAAATTTGTCTTTTTTATATTTGCAGGGTTTATCCAACATACGACTTTGCATGTCCTATAGTGGACAGCATTGAAGGTGTTACACATGCACTTCGTACAACAGAGTATACAGATCGTGATGATCAGTACTATTTTATTTGTGATGTACTAGGATTGAGAAAACCATATATTTGGTCCTATGCTCGACTAAATATGACAAATACTGTGATGAGTAAGCGAAAACTTACGTGGCTTGTCGATGAACATCATGTGGAAGGATGGTAAGGATGGTATTATTGCAGCCCGTTCTCAGACAAAAAGTTTTAAACTTTGACATTTTTTTTTAATTTTTATAAAAATTTGTTGAAACTATTTGGCTATTTTGTAATGATATTAGATACTAACTTTTTCATCCTATAAAGCTGATAGGTTCAATCATGTTTGAGCGAATAACTTGAAATTCTAAAGCTATTTTTCCATAGTCTCCATCACTTTGGTAACAGCCTGAATATTTTATTATCACTTACAGAATTTGCTCCACCTTTCTTTTTTCTCTTTTTTCTCTTCACATAAATTTATTCACTATCTATTTCTCTCTCTCTTTTATTTTAATTTTTCCATCATGCTTATAATTTTTCTTTTTTTTTTACTCTTTTTAGAGGTTATTTTCATAGAAATCAAAATATCTATTGTTACAGCGAATGAAATTATGAGAACCTAAAGCATAATTTGTTCACATAATGATAATTTTCTTAAAGGGATGATCCACGATTGCCAACTGTACGAGGTGTTATGCGACGCGGATTAACGGTTGAAGGTTTAAAGCAATTTATTGTTGCTCAAGGTGGTAGTCGTGCCATTGTCATGATGGAATGGGATAAAATTTGGTCTTTTAATAAAAAAGTTTGTTTATCTCGAAATTTTGTGTTTTTTCATATGAACATTTAATAAGTTATGCATTTGAATATTGTTTTTAATTTAAAAATTTGTTATAGTAGTAGTAATTTTTCCACATGAAAGAATAGAAATTCGTGTAGTTAAACTTTTCCCTTGTTTAAAAAATAAAAGGTCTAATTTTCTTCATTGATTTGTAGGTAATTGATCCGGTTGCTCCTCGTTATACCGCTCTTGCTTGTCCAGAAAATCTTGTTCAAGTAGTAGTTACGGATAATTTGGCTGAAGAATCGAAGAAGGTTTCATTACATCCAAAGGTTACGTTATTAAATATCAAATGTTTCGATTTAAAGGTTTCTGTCTTCCTCCTTTCATTCAGTGCGATTTGTGTGTTGGGTTATTGTATTGTGGAGATAGTTATGGCATTCAGTGAGGAATCAAATAGTAGTTTTTCATAACGTATCACTGATTTTTTTTTTTTGTTTATTTCAGAATCATGAAGTTGGAACAAAAACTGTTTGGTACAGCAAAAAAGTGTTGGTGGAAGAAGCTGATGCACGGGAAATGAAAATTGGTGATTGCGTGACATTTATCAATTGGGGAAATATAAAGATTTGTGACATATTAAAAGATGGTGATAGAATAACAGAAATCAGAGCGAAATTAGATTTAGATAACAAAGTGAGTTGCAGTTTATCTTGTTTTCTGCTTTCTAAACAATCGAGTACGTAATTAGTTGATGAATTGAATTTAATGATTGATAGCTGATCGCCATTTCTTGAGTGTTGCTCTTTCATTAGTAAGATATCTAATTGAATTGATGAAATTTCCACCACTTTTCGATGAAGAACCATAATTCCAAATATTTGTCCTTTCTATTGATTAACTTTTTAACTAACCTGAAGTGCAGTTCTGATTATATCATTTTTCTTTTTTGGTAACAACAAATTTAATATAATTATGTAAATGTTGAATAACAATTCAGGATTACAAGAAGACATTAAAAGTAACATGGATTGCTGATACGAAAATGGGACCACAAATTCCAGTAAAAGTCATTGAGTATTCTCATATTATCAGTAAGCCCATTATTGGGAAAGACGAAAATTGGAAACAGTTCGTTAATTATGATTCTGTGGTACGTTATATTTCAATATTAGAAATATTTCATTTCGCATTAATGTTGTTCATTAGTACTTAATAAATGAATAGCTCAGTACGTACGTTGTGCTTATGCATATCTTTTTTTGGATTTTTTTTTTTTTTTTTTCTTTTTTTTTTTTGGACAGCAATGTAAAAGGAAAATACATGTGTAACTTTTATTATAAATCCAATAAGCTAAGATTCAAATATATTTTTTATACTTTCCAAACTTCAAATTATTATAAGAGCCAATAAAGTATGTCTGAATATTAACGTCAAGATATGACTTGCAGGAATATGTCGACTTCATCGGTGAACCCGCAATGAAAAAAATACGTAAAGGGGATATTATTCAGTTGCAACGTAAAGGATACTATATATGTGATTTGGAATATACGTCAAAAAGCGAATATTCTGGTTTTGAAATGCCTGTTGTTTTGATTCTCATACCAGATGGCAGCAGTAAACCTATTAAACAAACTCAGACGGTAAAAGAAATGCCTTTAAAATAGAAAAACGTTTAGAAAATAAAAGAAGCAAAAATGAAATTTGTTTCTTGCTCTGAATTTATTTGTTGAGCCGAATTATGATTTTTGACTATCAGGGCGAACATTATGGATTGATTTGAGCTGATCTGAGCTAATGTTTGATACTAGCTGGTATTATTTTTATATATTATTTCAGGCTTCTGCCGTAGAACTGGGAAAAACAAACGGTGAAATTCAGATAAATGGAAATGCATCAACAAGTTAGTTTTGCTCTTATAACTTTTCTACTTTTAAAGTTATTTTATTTAATGAATTCAAAAAAGGAAGTGCGAAAGATGTATATAGGTATTCAAGAATATTTATGAATTTAAATTTTTTTGCTGTGTAATTATATATCTTTAATGTTAAGTACCCGTCTTCTTTTCTGTTCTGTTTTTTTCGATTCAAAAGTTTTTCAAACATTTGAATTTTTTCCAGGTGAAATGAACATACTCAAACTTAGTGAACAAATAAAAGAGCAAGGTGATTTGGTCAGATCTCTGAAAGCAGCAGATCCAAAGGGTGTGAAAACTAAAGAAGCCATCGCTACTCTTTTGAGCCTAAAAAAGACTTTTCAAGAATTTTGTGTAAAAGAAAACACCAACAAACTATCCTTATCAGATGATGCTAGCGATTTGTATCAGAGCATTGAGAAGCAAGGAAATCTTGTTCGATCTTTGAAAGCTAGTGATCCTAAAAGTGATGATACTAAAGCTGCTATTTCAAAGCTACTGGATCTTAAAAAACACTACAAGGATAGAACTGGTTCAGAATATAAGCCAGGGTCAACAATTACATCGCAAAAGCAAGCAGATGTGACGACGCGAAATCTAGAAGGACTGTACAAACAGATCGAAGAACAAGGTGTTGTGAAAATGAATTAACCTTTTCATGCCTTTATTTTTTCTTGGTTCTACAAGATTTTATATAAAAATTTGATAATGTAAAAAAAGGTTATATAGGTGACATTCCCTCATTAAACAATCCTACTGCTAAATTGCTAAATTTCTTGCGATTTCTTTCAAAAATTTCACAATCTTGGAAAATTTTTTACAAGCGCTATGTTTTCCGTAGCTTATCACAAATCATAGTAAATTCTTTCTTCAAAATGTGTCTGAAGAGTTAATCATCTTTGTAAAGCCCAGCATATTTTTAACGTTGGTGCAGTGCTTTTTTAGCAACTGAAATTGACTTTCAACCATTTAAGTCAAGTTTACTTAAGCTAACACTTTTTATTTACATATTAGTCTTTAGTTATGACTTCTTATTTATATGTTAGTCTGTTTGGCATTACTTACTTTTGTCGGTAATTGCTAATTATTACTTCTTTTTCTTTAGAAATTGTCAAATCTGAAATTTGATTACAGGTAATATAGTTCGTGCACTGAAAGCTGCTAATCCAAAAAGTGAAGAAGCAAAAGCAGCTATAGCAGAGCTTTTGAATTTAAAGCAAAACTGTAAGGAAATATCAGGGTTCGAATATAAACCGAAGAATATACTTGTTACGCCATCCGATAATAAACTCAGGAGTGATAGCGCAAAATGCAAGGAAGCATTTGTGAAAAAAATTGCTGAACAAGGCGATTTGGTGAGATCACTGAAAGCAAAAGATGCAAAATCGGTGCGTTTCATTTCTTCATTGTCTTTTTCATAGAGATTTTAGGGAATTCTTATTAACTTGTTAAATGAAAATTTTTTTCAAGATATGCAAAGCTAAGAGAAGATATATTCAGAATTCCGTTTTTCATTTGATTTTTGCTGCAAGTTCTAAGGCTATAAAGTAAATGTGCTCTACCGTTCGTAGTATAAAAAAATTTTCTTCATTCCAAAATATTATTCTCTTTTTTTTTAATGTTTAATTGGAGAAAGAATTTTAAGACTTTGAATTTTTTATTATAGCAGGAAGCAAAAGATGCGATAGCGGAATTATTGAAATTAAAGAAGCAATACAAGGATGAATTTGGTGAAGACTATACCGCCAATGCTACTAATACCAATTCTTCCACTGCTAAGGTATAACTATAGAATTCCTTAATGGAAATTTTTAAGATTGGAACAAACGATTGTTGTGTTTTCTTTTTTTGATTCTTCGTAAAAGAAATTTATTGTTTTTGAATTTATTGGCTCTAAATATCTGTTATATATGTTAAAAATAATCCTTGTTCAATCTACGAATTGACTGATATTGACGTATTTAGCTTTTTTGATCGTAAATGATAAACTTATCTCAAAGTGTTGTTACAATTTTTTCCACTTTGTTAGTAGAGTTGTAAGGATATGACGCTTTTACGATGTTTAATAAATATTCGATGCTACCTGGAACATTCTTACTCTGATCTTATTTGTCGTTCATGTCATTAAGTTAATTAGTTCAACTTTGTTAAGTTATAAAACGTAAAATTTGCTCAGATTTCGAAATCTCCAAGTCGTTTTTATATATTAAATGCTTTAGAATAAACTTTCTGTATTTTTGTCTATCCAACACTCACATTATCTACCAAAAAAAGATTACTGGTAACTATTTTCGTCCATACAACAACAAGAAACATCATGGCAATTTTTTTCTAATATTCTTTATATTAACTAATTTTACACTTCAGTTTCAGTCACACCTAATGATTTCTGCTTCATTAATTAACTTAAAAAAATTTGCTAATTCTATTAGTGGAGATTTTCTTCAGGATGAAATATCTGTCTTTTCGCATCATAGAATTATTTCTAGTGCATTATTTTAATGTACTCAAAGTTCCCAAGAATAAGGCTTTATTTACATTTGATTATTGTTTTCAATGAATAAATGTTTATAAATATATACAATATCTATCATCCATAGGTTCTTTTTTTTTGTTTTTTTTTTTTTTGTAGAACATATAATTTTCTTGCTCTCTATTCAGAAAGTTGTGACAGTTACGAATGAAGAAAGACAAAAAAGTGATGGTAAAAAAGAAAAGAAGGAAGAAGTTAAGCCTAAAACAACATTGGCATCGATGGAGATGGTGAAACAGACAAAGTTAGGCCTGGATGTTAAGAAGGAAGAGAATTTAGCAGAATGGTATTCGCAGGTTTCTTTTTTCCTTTTTGACAGAAAATTCTTTTAAAATAAAATAGAAGATGTGCCATTTATGATAAAAGTCAGGAGTTTGACTAAAATTCAAATAGTGTCAAAGTGTGAATTTTACAAATTTCTGTCTGAGAAAATTTCGTTTTTCTATGTTTTCTTTCTGATTGAGAGAAATTACTTTAAAATAAAGTTAACAATGTTTTCTAATCACAAAAATTGTCCAGAAAATTCATCAGTAGCAAATTGAAGCTATACTTATTTATTTCATTTATGCAATATGTAATATTGACAATGGTATTGTTTTCTGGAATTTAGTGACAGTGAACGTTTTGCTTTCTTAAACTGTAATTTAATATATATCTTACACTTTTTTTCTAGAAATGTCAAAAGAGAAAAATGAAGGAAAAAATGGAACGAGATTTAACACTTCAAACTCTATACATTTCTTCAAGTAGTGCTAGTCAGTAATTGGTAATGCTGTACTGTATTCAGTTATTTAGTTGTGAATATTTAGATTATAATAAAAGCGGATATGATCGAATATTACGATGTATCAGGTTGCTATATATTGCGTCCATGGTCATTTGCAATTTGGGAAATAGTGAAAAAATGGTTTGACACAGAAATTAAGAAATGTGGCGTACGCAATTGTTATTTTCCAATATTCGTTTCACAAAACGGTTTGCAAAGAGAAAAGGAACATATTGATGATTTTGCTCCAGAGGTTTGTCACAATTTAAAATTTCCGATTTGAGAATTATTATGATACGAAAATAGTAACAATTAAATAGTGTACTACAGGAATATTTATGAATTTTGAATGAATTAAGTTAATTCAAAAATTTAAAACTAATAATTTTGCTAATAATAATCAGATCTAATGGAGTTGAAACTAATAGTTCAACAGTATCTTTGCTTAAGCAGTTCTACTAATATCTATTATTAATATTTGTGCTGAAACATTACAGGTTGCTTGGGTAACACGAGCTGGAAATTCTGAATTGAGTGAACCGATTGCGATACGTCCTACTAGTGAAACGGTAATGTATCCAAGTTATGCGAAATGGATTCAGTCCTATCGTGATTTGCCTATTCGTTTAAATCAGTGGTGCAATGTTGTGGTAAGCTTTTGCTATGATTTCCATTCACCGACTGAAATTTCTTTTTCATTTCTGGCTGGAATTGACGACGACATTAGGCATTAATATATTTTAGCTAATTTATCTTCGAAATGACTTTTATTGAAAATTGAAATTTGATGTAGTATTCATAGTAATTAAAAATTAGGATTTTTGCTAAAGTTAGAATGCTGTCAAATTTTGAATTTTAGTATTTCTATTTAAGAAATTTTGTTTGTTCATTTTAGCGCTGGGAATTCAAGCATCCGACACCATTTTTACGAACACGTGAATTTTTATGGCAAGAAGGACATACGGCTTTTCAAACAAAACAAGAAGCTGAAGAAGAAGTTTTTGCAATCCTGGATTTATATGCAAAAGTTTATACGGATCTGTTTGCTATACCAGTAATTAAAGGTCGAAAATCAGAAAAAGAAAAATTTGCTGGTGGTGAATTTACAACTACCGTTGAAGCATATGTTCCAGTTAATGGACGTGGTATTCAGGTTTGTATAACGTTTTGAATTTTTGAAAATTGCAAATTTATGAAATGATTTGTGAGTAATTACACTTATTAAGTGACATATTTTTAATTTTGGCTTAATGTCTTGTGATTCCTGATTTACTATAATCCTACAAATGTCTATGCCTTCCCACTATTGTCTTGAATATTAATGAGTATGATAATGTTTGCTAAATTAGAAAATCGTTGATTTCAAATGAAATGAATTTTTAAGTAAATTTGTCATTAAATTCAAAAATTGACCCTGGATTAAAGGGTGCTACATCTCATCATCTCGGTCAGAATTTCTCCAAAATGTTTGACATTTCGTTCGAGGATCCGGAAACTGGTAAAAAAACATTTGCATGGCAAAATAGTTGGGGCATGACGACAAGAACAATTGGTGCAATGATCATGATTCATAGTGATAATGATGGCCTAGTACTACCTCCAAGAGTTGCACCTATTCAGGTTTCTATTCTTAGTTTTTTTAGTTTAATGTTTGTTTAGTTAATAACATTTAGAGATTTTACATCATATCAAGGAAATTATTTTATCGAATTTATCAAAAAAAAAAACAGGCAAAATATATGTAAAACTTTTCAAATACAGAGCATAGTGATAGAATTTCCAAGATTTTTTAATTTTAACTACCATATTGTTGGTTGAATAGTTAAAAATTAAATATAATAACTCTATTACTTTCATTTGAAATATATAAATGCATTTTAAAATGACAAATATGTTAAAATTTGTTACCAAAGTGAAAGAAGTCATGCAAAATGAGAAATGCAATTTTAGGTGATTATCATACCGGTTGGCATCGCATCACAGATGCATAACAAAATAAAGCAGGAAATAATTACAAAAATAGAAGAAATCATAAAGACTCTCGAAAACTCCAAAATTCGAGTCGACATTGATTTGCGTGATAATTATTCTCCTGGATGGAAGTTTAATCATTGGGAGTTAAAAGGTGTTCCGATTAGGCTTGAACTTGGACCGAAAGATATTGAAAAATCTCAGGTACTACAGCATGATAATAAGCAATGTAATTGAATTTGATTAAGTCATTCATTTATAATTTAAACCTAAATTTTGAAAAATGAATTGTTGATTCTATTCCTGTTTGATTAAAGAAGCACCAGTTTTTTATCATGAGTACTTCTTTGAGAAATTAGTTTAGTTGTTGTTTGGCCAATAATTTTATTTCCAGATAGCTTGGCAAGATATTTTCTTAAACTAGTTATTTGCTTCGAGCTATTTAATACCTACAAAAATTTTACTTCTTTTTCCTTATTTTTTCTTAAATATCTAAATATATGTTTGCAGGTCACATGTGTCACTCGTTATAACAAACATAAATCAGTCATTCCGATCGATAATTTATTAGCAAAATGTTCTGAATTACTAGATGAGATACATACTAACATGTATATAAAGTAAGTTCCTAAATAAAAATGAGCATTCCCAAAAATGTATGCACATTTTTAGCTACATTCAGTCTTCGATTTGAATTTGTTCCATAAGCTATATTGATTATTAATGAAGATAAAGACTATATTTTGATAGTAAGGCAAAATAATGTTTAACATTATTTTGCCTAACTTCTTTATATTCTAACATTACAAAATTTATTTTATTTTTTTTTTCTTCAGTGGTAGTAAAATCTTGAACAAAGTAAAAGTAAACTTCCTATAAGTGGTATTAATTCTTTATAATTTTTTATTCAATGTTATTTTCTAAAATTTTTCAGCACGAAAAGAATACGTGATGAGCGTCAGAAAATTACAAAACATTGGTCCGAATTCAAAGAACTGCTAGATCAGAAATGTTTAATTTTGGCTGCATTCTGTGGTTTCTCACAATGTGAAGATAACATCAAGAAAGATAGTTCCAGTGATGAATGTGGTCAAATAGGAGTACCACTAATGGGCGCTAAAACATTGTGCATACCGCTGGAACAGGTTTGTATTACCTTGAATTATGTAGGTTTGATCAAATGACTGGTGAAATTTTACATTTTGATATGGAATAAAGTTGAAGAAATAGTCAGCTCTTATTTTCATATGGAATAAAGTTGAAGAAATAGTCAGCTCCTATTTTCATATGGAATAAAGTTGAAGAAATAGTCAGCTCCTATAACTATGTCAGGTTGTTTCTTGTAACTTTTAAGATGGTAATTCTCACCTTTGTCTACCACTTCCATCACTTGAAGATCGCTTGTCAAATAATCCATTACAGTGGCTTGGATAGTCACTTGATCGGAGTTTTCCGTTTTCACTCCTTTTGTGTTTGAGTTGCCGTTTTCACTCCTTTTGTGTTTGAATTTGTGTTTGAGTTGTGCGGCATACTCGAGGAGTCCTATTGCCAAAGGAAGAGATCTTATATTCTTCTTCATCAGTTTCTAGGAGATTTAGTCGATGAGCTAGCCTTTGTGAGATAAAGGTCGCATCTGCGCCGACGTCAAACAGTACTAAAGCTTGTACTTGATGTTCAGGTTTATCAGGATTAAAGACATTAATTTCTCTACATAAAAGCAGTACTCGTTTCTTTTCAACTTTTAGTTGAATTAACAGATATGTTTGCATTTTTGGTAACAATCTTCCCAGAATCACGAGTCTTAGTGGTACAAAGGGCGCTATTGTGGGATTTTTTGCAATAAAAACAACTTGCTCTTTTTATGCAGTTGAGTTCTTGTGTCCAGATTTAAAACAATTAGAGCAAACATTGATTTCCTTCAATCGATCAATTCGCTGCTCCACTGTAGAATATATGTGACACTTGCTATCCCAGTGATTGTTATTGCAGAAGATACAGGGTCTCCTTTTCTTATTTGTCGACCAATTTGGATTCTCTTGATTTAGCTGGTTCCTTTCGGCTGAAGCCGTTCCTCTTGTTTGCTTTGATTGTTTTATTGCAATCAATGCTGAGTTTTCTGGAATGCTTGCGTTAGGATGACGTTTAATTAAATTTTTACGACTGACGTTATCCAAGTATTGCCATTCCATTACCTGGTCGTTTCTATTAATTGTCTTCCTGAGAAGCTGTCGAAGTTTTGTTACGGACCACTGGCCATCTTTCTTTTTGTTGATAAACCTGGTTTAATATCCAGTTTGGCAATTTGGATTCTATTATCGTTTCGATGGTAGGTTGCTCTACGTTTTCGCCAATTGCTTCTAACTGCTTTAGAACTCTCTCCATTTCTTCGATTATTGTTTTCCAGTCTCGGTTGTTTCGTTTTGTAGATATGAGTTCATTGTAAAGTAATTTTCTTATAGTGGAAACACGACCAAATTTCTCCACTAATAATTCTCTTATAATTCTATAGTTTTCAGGTGCCCTATCGTAACCTCTTACTAGCTGTAGGGCGTTTCCTCTTAAGCAAGAAACCAAGTAATTTAATTTTTGGATATCTGGTATGTTTTGAGAGTGTACGGAGGCTTCGAAACTACTCCAGAATTCTCTCCATGTTTTAGGGTCTCCACTAAACGTTGGTAACGACAATTATGGTAAATTTACTACTGGACGACATTCAGTTAAGCTAGGTTCTTTAATTTGTGCTAGACGTTTAAGGGCTAACTCTGTATCATCCTTGTACATAGATAAGGTTATAATGGTATCCGTACCTATGTTAATTAATTTTAAAATACCTCTATCGTCGTTCGCCATTTGTTCGTATTTTTCTTCTTTTTTCTTTTGCGACATTGGGGCTAGTTGAATGTGTTCCAACCATTTGTCGTTGATATTCTCAAGAGTGCCAACGTATTTTTCGAGGCGCATCAACTTTTCTTTGATGATCCTTGCCCTTGCTTCGTATTGCTGGCACAATACTTCTACTGTCGCTTTTTGGTCTAACGGTGTTAGATCCATTTGTTGTATTTCATCGAGGAGTCCCTCGAGATTCGCTTTTACTGGTGTAGCTTGAACAATTATACTGGCCGACATACCTCACCTCGGGCACCAAAATTATTCTTTGTCGTGAAACCTCAAACTTGGGTAATTAAACCTTTATTTAACATGAAGCAAATAATAGCGCTTTATACATATCGTACGGATGCTACACCGATTAACAAACGCGTAACGAAAGATATAATTATAAAACATTAAAATAATATCAAAACCACCCCAAAATGCAGAATGAATCACCGTATGGAGGACGATGGTTTATATGCAGAACTGAGCTGACCAGATATCCGGCAGAGGATATTTAACTGATGTGAAACAAAGACTGCTAACAAAGGGTTTGCTAACGAAGGGTTTGCTAACAAAGGGTTTTTGTTGTGTGAGGAAAAGGAATCAGATAAGAGGAACTTGTTAGTTTTGGATATAATAATTTAAATATTTCGTCTTTCACGACAATAACCTTATAAGTAGAATATTTGCCTAATTAACTTCTAATGATGATATAATTTGCAAACAAGAGATAAATCATTGCTTACTTGAATGCTAAACTGTATTCTGTTTTTTCAGCCTTCGGAACAATTACCAGTACATTGTATACATCCAAAATGCAAGGAACAGCCTAAATTTTATGCACTTTTTGGCCGCAGCTATTAAAAAAAGTCGACTCAGCTACACTTTTTTCGCACTTTAGAAAGAATTAAAAGGAAAAGAAAAACCGAATTGCCTTTAACTTACTGCGATATAACATACATAATGAGAGAGGAAATATTTGTACCTTTATTGCTTCGCCAACCGGTGTAACACCATATACAGATGATTTGGATGTTACTGCTTAATTAGTACCAAAAAAAACAACCATGTGATTCACTCCTGTTCTTCACCTTACGCAGATTCTTGAAGTGCACTTTTTAGTATTGATATCCTAATATTGTTACATTGAAATGACATTTGTTTGCTAATTCTTTTTCTTTTTTTGTCTCTAAGTCCTTCTGTTATTTTCTTTTCCTATTTGTTACTATTTAGTTCAATACAAGCAGGAGCATCAAAGCAATTTGATCCCTTATTATATAATGTGCTGATTGAAATTTCTGCAGATTTATTTTGGATGTAGAAATAATTTTAAAATAATAAGGACTTTATATAAAATAGGATTTAGAGTATTGCCATACTTACCTTATGTTGGCATTTATCCTATGACATGTTTTGTTGACTACTGTTTATTGCCCGTTGCAGAAAAAAGAATGTAAAAGTAACAAAAGAAACTTCAAAAGAGCATATCATTTAATGGATAAGGAATTCATAAAACAAATTCAGTGAATTAAACTGAGTGTAGAGAAAGAGAAATGAATGAATTAACGCCAGAATGCAATATTTAAATATTTGAATGATAAGCCCACATTACAAAATCACTGAAGTCGAATTAGTTGTTGTCGAAATGTCTTCCTTTTAAGATGAAGAAAGTAATTAAATGAAAAATAATTGCTTAAAAATTAAGAAGCACTTTTCGAAACTTTTTAAAGTCTTAAAATCATTTAATTTGGTGGATGAATGAATTGATGTACAGCATCAACAATACATTTCGCTGAAATTCCGTATTTTTCAAGTAGTACGTCCGATGGTCCGGAATGTGGAACATCAAGAACGAATAATGAACGAACGCGTATATCCTTCTGATCGGAAACAGCTTGGCATACGGCCTCACCAATGCCTTAAATAAAAAGAAATTTGTCGATATTTTTGACAAAATCGTATATCAAAAACTTTCTTTAGAAGTCCGGAATAAAACCGCGGTTCAATACCGTCATCAGATATTGCAGTAAATGATGCAGTTTTACAAATTCTACAATCGTAACAGCTGAGAAAACAAGGATGGACAATTCCCTTCTATCATAAAAGAAATTACATAATGATCTTAATTTAATATTCGAATAGTAGAAAGTAATACCTCCGGCTTGATAATGATCCTCCACTGTAATTATACGATTTTCTGCTCTTCTGGCCGATTTTACAATCAAATCTTTATCAAGCGGTTTAATTGTGAATGGATCCATCACAATTACTTCTACACTCTCCGACTGCAATTTATCTGCTGCTTTTTTTGCTTCATAAAGTGTAATACCTGCACCGATTATCAGTACTTTTGGTTTCGTTGCATCATGAACAATCTGAAATGAGAACAAACTGCATACTAATTACTGTTTAGCAAAAAAACAGAGAATCAAATCAATTAAATGCATCGTATTCAAAAAAGAGATGTCTAAAAGTTAATTTATATAATTAGAAAAGACAGCAATAATCATTCACTTTTCCTTTTCCAATTTCGAATTTCTCATCATTGCCATAGATAACTGGACAAGCAGGGCGTCCAGTACGTATAAATGCAATACCACGAGTATTGGCAGCCAATTCAGTTGCCCGCTCTGCTGCTACTGCATCAGTTGGATAGAATACGATAGATCCAGGTATAGTTCTAAATTTATTAATATAATAGTTAAAATTTTATGAAAATATAAGCGAAGAATTTAGCTATTCAAAATGAACATACCGAAACAATGCGATATCTTCTAAACCCATTTGTGACGGACCATCTTCCCCAATAGAAACACCAACATGCGAACCAACACATTTTATGTTTGCAAATGATACCGCAGCCATACGAAGCTGATCAGCAGCACGTGTGAAGAATGCAGCGAATGTGCTATAATTTAAGAAACTTACAAAATCATCAATAATTGAAAATCTGTGAGCACACCATGATCACAAACAACAGATTTCATAATATTAAAAATTAAGACACTAATTCAAATATCATTTGAAATTAAAACATAAACGAGGAATAAATTTCCATTAGTTTATTGATATCTAATTTTCATCAGTGGAGACCGCTGTATATTGCAAATTCCACACATTAATAAAATTATTCGGCTTTGAATGCAATGCATTTAATGCTTCGGAAATTTTTTCCTCGAAACTGCCCACTTCACAATTTTGCTTTTTTCCTTATTTTAAAACAAAATTATTTTATATTACTTTCAACTACTAAACTGCATGCAGTACTACCAATAAAACTAGACTACAAATGCAATTCTACTAAACATATATTACATGCACTTTTCCATACCAGTAAAAAATTAACTTTTGATAATAGCAAAAATAAATTCCCTTCAAAATCAAAAACAGAAAGAATTAAATTAGTTTTATGTGACAAAAAGTTGGGAAATGAAAAATAAATCGGCATCAATTTTAAAAAGATTTTCTAGATGCATAATTTCAATATCGCCTTGTTAATTATACAAAATTAACACTTATATATAATAAGAAATATAAGACTGCACACCGTAAACTTACAATAATGCCTTCAAACAAAGGCTATATGATTGGTTGCGTATACATGTATATATAACACGCTACAATAATATTGAAATTGAGAAATCTGAGAATAAGTAATGATGACTTTTATATTCTGATACTATAGTAAAATAGATAAAAAGCTTTGGTAATGAATATAACTCCCGAATATTCAATTAATTTTTTTAAACGGTTAAAAAATCGAGATGTGAACATTGAAAGCATAACTATGGAAAGAATTAGAAGGTATGCTGATGTATTGTTGAAAAGTGTATTTGATCATATATTGAATAATGATGGTAATATTAGTCCATGTTTTTAAATTGAACTTTAACTTTAAATGCAATAAGTTTGTTCCTCTTGAGTTTAAAAAATATGGAAGCTGAAATCAACTAAATCTTGTCTTAATTAAAAGTTATCAATAAAATAAACCTTGCAAATGGAATAGCACGATCACGACACTGCAAACCAACAGCGACTCCAACAAGATTTTGTTCCGCAATAAAGCATTCCACGAATTGTCCTGGATGTTTCTTAAGCAAATTCTCACTAAATGTTGAATTTTTGGTATCACCATCTAATCCAATTATTCGTGGACAGGCATCACCCAATTTTGCTAATGCTATACCATAAGCCTGGCGAGTTGCCACCTGAAATAGCCATCCATACCGATGAAAAATTAAGATAAATAAAGGAGTCTTTTGACACTAAGAAGGTTGGAATCACATGAACATCTATCTACCATATTTTTAGGTACGTTAGTCTTCTAACAATGGCAGTGCAGATTATGGATCATTTGTGCACCGTCAAAGTTTAAAAAATTGTGAAGTTTAAAAACCATAGCTAGCTTAATACTAGGAAGTACAATATGACCAAAAATCCATTACATGATTATATTTCTCCCAAATAATTGTATGATTATAGACTTAGTTTTGATAGATGTAGGTTGCATTCTTTTAGCAAGCAGAACTTCAACATCTGCCTAAATACAACCCGTACCTTGATCTGCTGCATTATTGGTCATCATCTTTTCTAGACGAATCAAAATTAATTTTAATATATCTGCTAAAAATACATACAATTCTAAAGGAATATAAAGAATACCTTATCACCAACTGTGTATTCTGGTGATGCCATTTTAATATGACCAATTGGTAGCTGAACATTTGGAGCATCATTTACTGGAAGATTTATTTGAAGTGTTCCGGCAATATCTGCTTTGTTCATAAGACGTTGTTCAATTGCCTCAATAGTACTTTCAGGCACTGGTTTTCCGTGCCAGTTATCCTAAAATAAAATCAAATAAATTACAAAATGAAATTAATATTAAATGTAAGATAAGCTGGAAATTGACAATGCTTGACGAGATATTAAAGCAAATGGTTGCGTCAAAACTGTTTAAAATGGCGAGTTACACAGCTATAAGTCTTCTTTTTTTTTTCTTTTTATTTACATATACTTATCGCATCAACTTCGATAATTCATTTAATATATATCTTATAATAAACTTGAAAAAGTTAATTCCGAGTGATTGTATTACGCTTGTACCTGGCCACCCAATCGTGATACAACATAGCAACATAAGTTCGTATCCCGTCAAACAGCCAACAATTATGATCTAGCAGAGAATCTAGGATATTCCCGGCAATTTATTCCTCCGGTCATAGCTGGTGCTCTGCTGTACAATATTTTAGTTTCAAACGACATCTACAAGGTCCCGAACCTCCTTTCGAGGAGTGATACTAATGGTCAAACTTGTCTCTACACTAGGACACCACTGCTAATCTGTTTAGCATTAAAGTGGCCTAAAGTAGTAGTTATTAAATTTGACAAAGCATGAATAACTATTGATTTTAAACTGGCGAACTAACTGGAACTGAACCCCTATAATTATTGCAGTAGCACAAACTGTTCAGTCATCAAAAGATTATATTTTAAAAATACGAAAACTTACTTCATCTTCAATTCCAATGATACCTTTTCCTTTGAGCGTTTTTGCAATGATGGCTGTTGGTCTATCTTTTGTTTGACTAAATAAATCGAAAAATATTACAATGAACTTCATTTCAACTACGTTTAATTCCAAATAGCAAGTAACTGTTTTAAACCCTCCACAATATTATTGCCAGAGTACAGACTTTAGCTTTGGCTTGTATTAACAGGATTCATCGCCTTTTGAAACTAGTAAAAAATTTTGAAATGTCTGATCAAGTGCTGATCTTATCTCTTACCGTTACACTGAAGTGAAATATCTGAAATTGTAAATTGCAGTATTAAAGTAAAAATTATACAAAATACATGTGAAAATCTTCTTTTTTTTTTTCATATTTTTTTTTCTAAATAAATCCACAACCGTGCAATGTTATACGCATTTAGTAGCTCTACGACATTACAGCCATTAACAACAACTGTATGACATCCAAATGACTCAAAGCGTTTTGCCATAGCATCAGCATCATGTCCTAGCATCGTCTGTTGCGTTTGTCCTAGACGATTCATGTCTACGATTGCAACCAAATTGTCCAATTTGTAGTATGATGCAAATGCTGGAATATTAAATATTCAAGTAATTGATTAATTTATTTTGTAATTTCTGATTAGCAACTTTAACGCTATTAAATAGCACACGACATATCGATTTTTCATCTAAATATCAAAAATCGTTACAATTAAAGAACAAAACATACCTGCAGCTTCCCACACCGAACCTTCAGCGCATTCACCATCACCCAATAGACAATATACACGATAACTTGCCTAAATTTAAAGAAGTTTTTTCAAGAAACAAATTTTGGTGAATAGGCAATAATCTGACTGATACTCTGTAAAAATCTCTGTAAAAACAGTTTATATGGTTAAATAAACAAGAAGCATGTAAATCTGTGAAAATGTCAAATGCCACCCTTCGATGTCTAGAAACCATAGATCTGTTATCTACTAAGCTAGCCAGATGATAAAAATTTCATAATCTAAGCATATAAGTGTGGTTCAAGAAGTATACATTATCAATATATTTTCCAGCATAAGCCATTCCTGCAGCACATGAGAGGCCTTGTCCGAGAGAGCCAGTAGCAACATCGATAAAGTCTAGTCGTGGCGTTGGATGACCTTCTAGATCACAAGTAACCTTCCGTATATTCATCATATCAGATGTTGATATATGTCCCGCTTGATGCCATGCAGCATACAGTACCGGGCATGCATGACCCTTAAATAAAAGAAATACTATTGCAATTTTTATGATTTGAAATCAAATCACTTACTGTTTATTTCCTACAATATCGTAAAAAACTACTCGAAAAAAAAAAAGAAAAAAAAAAAACAAAACCTTTGATAAAACGAAACGATCAGAAGATGGATTTTTTGGAAATGTTTTGTCAAACTTCATTTCATTAAAGAAAAGAGTTGCAATAATCTCCGCAGCTGAGCACGAACTTGTGGGATGACCTGATTTAGCTGCACAAGTCATTTTGATCGAATCAATACGCAGATGATTTGCTACATCATCCAACTGTTGAATATCTATTTTTCCCATTGTTGAATTTAGTAAGCGTTATTGAACTTCCTGAAATCTAGACATTTCTGTAAAACTAATGCAATTGCCCAACGCTTTTTCTACAAGCAAACCATATGAAAACGTTTCTTTATAAAATTAGATCTCCTGCATTAAAATAGTTTCAACCTATTAATCGAGTAAGAGATTTAATCCAACTATATTCCTTCTTTTTCACTTTCAAACAAAAAGACAACAAAAACCACCGTACATGAATTGGAAATAATTAAAGTTCAAAGATCATCCCATAGTATCATCATCATATGTCAAAACGTAGTTGAAGACCGATCAGACAATCAATATGTTTCAAAATGAATATGTCACATCTCAGAACTCTATCATATGTTACAGTGTACTTTAATCTTTTTTTCCACTTTTTTTTTCTACCCGATAAGCAGAATACTAAGAGTCCTTGAGAAAAGGTTATCATTTAATGCTATAACAGTAATCAACTAACCCTGATTGAATTTTTAAAAACTTAAAATAGCATGTAAACAGAATAATGCACAGTGCAGGAACAAGTCTGCAAAATGACTGGGTGGAAACATTTTAAACACACAGATACCACACGCAAATAACACCAAAACAAGAAAATGCACCGTTAACAATTAAAGACATATGAAAGGTCATATTTCATCATATGAAAAGTCTAAATTCACTGCCAACTAAATGATTACATAGCTGTCCCTAATTTTATTAAATGACAATGGTATTTCAAATTTTATTCATTTCTTATTTTTATTTTAATCTAATACTTTCAAGTTATAAGTTACATCAAAATTTTTTAAAATCAAATTCAAGTACACAAATAGTTCGCAATAAACATTTCTAATTTTTTATATAATATCTTCAAAATTTTTCAATTTATGACTAAATGAAAAAATTTATAACCAAGAAGCTATAAAAAACTACCGCCATTGTCTAAAGTTATTCTATTTTCATAAGTGAAATTTAGTTATAGTCCGTAAAACCTTCCAATAATCGAATCGTATTAAAGAAAGACATAATCTAATCAAAATTCAACAAAAAAAAAAAAAAAAGAAAGAAAGAAAGAAAGAAAAAACAAAGCATACATGAACAAAAATAGAACCTTAACGGTGCAATGTCGAATTTTGTTAAACTGCTATGTGACAAAACTTTTTATCACTTTAAAGATTTAAAGAAAAATATTCACATCACTTTACAAATTGTCAATTATTATGACATACATGCAGCATGAACATTCCTACACTGTAATTTTCAGTAGATTCTATTTGAGGTGCATTTCTTTAGAAAAAAAAAAAAAAGAAAAAACATAATCCAGATTATTGGAATATTTATTTTACAAGAAAAAATATCCCAGAAATCGGTCACTTCAGAAATCAGCTAGCTACAAAAACTTGCAAATTTTTTCAAAAAATCGCAAGAAATATACGAACTAACTACAAAATAAAAACTGAAAGACGGAATTATAAAATGAAGTGATAAAAGTGATAAAATGGAGTATCTATAGCAAATTGATAAGCTATCAGTCGGAAGAAAAAACAGCAGTGGTAAAATAGTATGATCACATTATTATCAGTGCTGCAACTTTAAAAGTTTTCATCTAAAGTATCGAATTATCCGACACTTTCTTTTCAACGATGTCGCAATGAAGATTGTATTCCTGATCGATGCCAATGTAAGAATCGGACATGATAAAAGTTGTAAAAATATGTCGACCTCTGGAAAGCAGAAAGCAAGTAACAATTCAATAAGCATAAATTAAAATCAATCCATGCATAAGCTTTTTTCTAGCTGACTTAAAATGTCGTATCACTCGTTGATAAGTTTCTCATAGTTGTCTTTCAATATCCATAGTATACATTACAAATTTCTCAGAATAAATCACAGGATTTTACATCAAAGGATATGCTAAATATGTTGCTGTTTTAAAACATTAACATTTCATTTGTTATGTGGAAATAATTAAAAAATTTGTAATAGAAAATCGTCAGCTATCTGGAAAATTGAAGTCGTTTTAGTACTCGTATCTCTCAGTTTCTTTGAAATGTGAAATTTTCAAAAATTTTGCACTTTTTTCAATCCATAAAATACGAAAACTTACAATCGTTTGGGCATCCTAAATGGAATACTGAGTTGCTTAGAACCGGTAATCGATAATTTTTTACAGCACAGTAATTCGCCTGTATCTTTCTCACCGATGATCACAATCCATCCAGCAGTTTTTTCTTTATGGAAACGTGGACAAAAGGCGTTCGTTTCAAACTAAAACATGGCTGTTTTATTCGGCTAGTTAATTTTTCTGATTGAAATAGAAACTTGTAATCGAAAACAAAAATACGCAAGAAAACGTATTCGTATAAATTTTTATATCTGATTAAAATTATGAACATACTTTATACGGGCCGATTAATTCGACAGTGAATAACATACGGTATAACATATCTGATTCAGCAGTTATGTACTTTGGCCATCGTTCATCTTGCAAATAATCGATTTCGAAAACCTGATTTGTATCACATAACACACATTTCCTTGGCTGTAATATTGGCCATTTTAAAAGAGTATCAACAGCCTGAAATTATAATATCACTAAGACAAATTCAGTACAGTTAGCAAATGTGATGAATAGCATAGATTTAGCAATGGAAGAAAAGCATGTAGTTATAACGAATGACAGAAAAAAGGGTGAGCTGAAAAGATAGCGCAGATTTTAATCACATATTTTTAATGGAATTATGGACTTAATAGTTGGTCTAGCTAGCATATTAATGCAGCTATTATTCACTTCTTCTTAAATATAATTTCCGCTCAACATTACCTTCTTCTAAGAAACTTTTTTCAATGATTCAATATTAGAACTAAAATTCCGAAAAGAAAAACATCAATATTACACAGATAAGAAATATTAAAACAAGCAAAAACCTCCGTTGCTTGAAATTCATCGATAACTGTCATGTCCAAAAGTTTCTTTATGGCCTTTTTCCTAGCCTGTTCGATATTTGCTTTATCAAGACCAAAGTGATTTTTTAATATAGGTATTGTTAAATCAGTCCTATAATCAACAGCTAAATTAATTTTGAGAAAAAAAAAAAAGAAATAAAAGACTTTTTTTAAACAAATAATATAGTCGTGCTTACTGTCATTGATATTTTCATTACTGGTAGACTAATCAAGATTTAACAATTTCAACTTAATCGAAAGCATAGCAAACCATCCAGTCCAGTGACATTCATACACAGAAAAAGTTGAAAAGTTTAGTGGCTTGGAAATATTTCGTACTTACCCAATTCTTTCGATAATTTCCTCACTGAAATGAGGAACGACCAGCAAGGGATGATCTGTGTGCCAAACAGCCTGAGCGATCATTTGCATCAAAATAATAACAGAAAGAGCAGTTGATAGCCACTTATGCAAGATACTTATATCCAACATTGCCTAATAAAATATTAACAATTTAAAACACATTTTAAGCTTGGAAAATTTTTTATACAATTCCTAATTTTAATGAACAATCATCCTAAGCACAAATTTAGAAAATATGTATTTCAAGTTAGTGACGAATTATAATTTGACTTCTAAATATCGCTTCAGTCAATTATTCGTTTCCATCTACTTCATAATTTAATGTCTCACAAATGTTCTCATAGTTTCAGTTTATTCAATAAACATACTTATTTAATAAGTTCCAAAAAATCATTACATTTAAGATACGAAAACACTGATCTAACATTGAGCGTTGGTCAGTTATGTAATCTGTCATCAGCTTTATATGACTTAAATGAGCTTCCAACAGTAGAAATGCCTTTGTATGTGAAGAATCCAAAGCAGCATCAACTGGCAATTTAAGTGGCATAATCTGTTGTAGATGACTGAAATTAATTTTAAAAAATAAATACAGGTCACTCAATGCCAGTTGTTGAAGCTAAACTATTCAGCAGAAACATAAAAGGAGTTAAGAACATATGTATCTGCGATGCGATATTAATAATTAGTGAAAGAAAACTGACCCATTAATTTGATCTTCATTATGTCGAACAGGTATCTCATCATATTCTGGGCAATCCTGAAATAGCTTTCCTCAATCTCTTCAGATAGTCAAAGAGAATCTTCCTGAACAGTATCATTCTTAATAAACAACTTAGTAAAAAAAAAATTCCTGTATTCTGGAAACAGTACAAGGCAACTCTTCATTGCATAGCAGCAAAATCCATTAATGGTTTATATAAATGCAAAATTAAAAAAAAAAAACTGAAACGTACTGCTAAAACTTTTATAAGCTCTTCTACCGTTGCTGTAGGCGTGAGACAACTGGCAAAAAATCGTACAGTTTTATGATTCAAATAATAAACGCTTGCGATAGCTCCAAGCGGAGCTGAAATAAGTGACTGCTCGTCCTGAAATTTGATATAGAAGATTAATTTAAAACAATATAAATAAATAGTAACACAATTCAAAATATCATATTTATAATACTAAGAAAAAGTAGAGAAATGCTAATTTAATTTGGTAAGGAAATTATATCCCGAAAATTTCCACTTTTCCAATACTCAAAACGATCATTTTCTATAAGAAAAAAACATTTCAATCTTCAAGAAGAATAATACTTTCTTGTGAAATAAACATACTTCATTAATGATAATACAGTTAGAAAGCACAAGTTCTTCAATACAATTATCAACCACTTCCACAAGGAATTGTGTTAGAGCTTCTGGTGTTGTATCCACAATACCATAATAACTGTAAAAAATAATATCAGATTTCGTTATTCACTTATATTCAGCTAGAACAAAGTAATATGTTTTTTACAACTGCACAACTTACTACAATTAGATCCAAATATCTTCCTTAAAAAAAGATGAAATCGAACTCATATAAATACAAATTCTTACCTTGGATTTGCAAAAAGACGACGATAAAGGTATGTATTAGCAATGTATTCCATTACATGTTGTTCTGAAGCAATAGTTCCAGCGTAAATTTCTGCATTTACATGATTT